GGTCTGGTCTGGCGGAACCGCATCCGGGCCGTGCTCGCGCGCGCGCGCGCCTTGGGGCGTGCCTGTGTCTCCCGCGCGCGCACCTACACGGGGCACCTTACCTAGGTACCTACCTACGCAGCGACGGGGTTCAGCTAGGCTGGGTTAGGGCCCCTTCGCCCAGACCCTTCGCGCGCACGCACGCCTCTCGCTACGGCCTGGAGGCGATCGCGGATGGAGGGGGATCGAGATTGGAGGGGGGGGGGGGCCACCGCGATGGGTATGCGTACCTGCCTACCTACCTACCTACCTACCTACGTACGGAAGCCATCCGCGCAGAGGGTTGTTGTGTGGGTATGGAATGGAGGGAAAGGGGGGGAGGGGATGGCGATGAGGAGAGGAGGTATTCTTATTGTAGGTAGGTAATGCAGAAAGAAGCATGAGAAAGAAAAAAAGAAAAAGCGAACCCGGACCGACTACTAGGGGCAGCCCAGGGGAAGCAGAGCGAGCGAGCGGGCGGGCGCTGTGCCGATCTAGAGGGTTCGCTCGGCTCGGGGCGAGTCGTGTCGAGCGTCGGACCCTACGACGCTGCTTACATAGCAGCGTAGCATGGCAGCTTAGCTACCTGCCTACCTACGTCTCTACCTACCTACCTACCTACCTATCCATTCGCCCACCAAATATTACCCAGGTAGAGAGAGGTGTGTGTAGGCCATGTAAGTAGGTATGTAGGCGTGTGTGCTAGGCAATGCAAGTGTATTAGATTGCTTACCTACCTAGCTACCCACCGACCTACCTACCTACCTGCCTACATACATACATACCTACCTACATATGTAGGCCGGCAGATGGGGATGGGCAGGTCACGCCTCCTACCCACCCAGCAAGTAACGAAAAGAAAACGCCTACCTAACCTACCTAACCTCCCACGACGGCTACCAGCTGACGGCCGCAACGCCCGGGGGGCCCGCCCGCCTACGGCTCGTCTGGCCCGTCCTCGGCCGATTCTACCTAGGTAGCTCCTGGCGCCTGCGCCCCCCTTAGCCCGCCCTTAGCCCGCCCCCGCCTTCTGGCATGAGGGCGCAGGTAGCAGTACCCAAGGTTATATAACATACGGATGCGTGCGTAGGCAGGCAGGCAGGCGAGTATTTATATCTCTATACATGTACGTATGCAAACGCACGCACGTATGTCAGGTATATATATATGTACATACGCATGTATGTACCTATGTATGTACCTATGTGCGTACGGTACGCGGGCCAGCAAGAGGAGGGGGAAAGAGAGGGGATCGAGAAAGCCCCCCCCCCCTTCCCCCCCCCCCGCGAGGTAGGTAGGTAGCGACGGCGGAGCTGAGGATAATTAAATGAGGACACGAGCGAGGATGATGACGATCGACCGCGCGGCCCGCTCGATAGGTACAGCCAACGCGCAGAAAGAATGAAAGAAAGAATAAGAGAGAGGCCCAGCAAGGCGCGGCGATGGGTACGAGATCCGATTGCGCGAGCGGCGCCGTCGCGATTCGTCATCTCTCTTGTCTCGCTCTGCTGTTCCGTCTGTCTGTCTGTCTGTCTGGGTCTTCTCGCCGCGTCGCCCAGCGAACCCGCTCGCCCCCCCCCCCCCCGCCCCCTCTCTCGCACAGCCCACACGAACTCGTACTGCACGCTCGTCCCTCGCCGTTCGTCTCTTCTATGGTACGCGACGCAGCCCTAGCTAGCCCAGATGTCGATGTCGCGTACGTAGAGAGTAGGAGAGGGAGGGAGGGAGAGAAAGTGAGGGAGAGTCAGATGTGCATAGGTACGTGCATAGCTATCCCCATGTCGCTTATGTCGCAATGAGATAGGCATTTGCGTACCTACCTACCTACCTACTCCCTACACATCTCTCTCCCTGCCCGCCGACACGCCGGCACCATGCAACGGCCCTCTCTAAATAGGTACCTACGCGTGTGGATTGCGGTGGATTGCGGTGGGCGTCTGTAGGTGGGTAGGAGGTATGTCCCCGCCAAACATCCACCAACGACAGACAGCCTCTCCCTCCCCATACACACCTGCATTGCCTATGTGCACAGAGCTCACATGCACACACACTCTCTCTGTCTTGCACACGCACATACACACGCACATACACACCCACCTACCTACCTACCTACCTACATACCTACATAGGCGAGCGCACCACGGGACCACACTGCGGGCGCGAGAGGGGGAGGAGGGGTGTTGGGATCGCGCTCGACCGCCGCTCCGTTGGGTTTGAGACCGGCGTGAAGCCGCAAGGCCGCCAAGCCGCGAAGGAGAAACGGGCAGCAGCAGCAGCAGAGCGAGCTCGGGAGGAGAGGAGGAGGAGGAGAGGAGAGGAAAACACATGATCGGCCACGCAAGCGGGAGGGGAGGGGAGAGAACAGGAGGATGGCTGGCCTGCCTGCCTTACCTAGGAGGTAGGTAGGCGGGCAGGTTGCCCAGGCGGCATATACCTGCCTACCTACCTACCTACATGTGCATGCACGCGTGTGCATGTAGGTATGAGTAGAAGCCCATACCTGCGCTGCGGCCGACGTATTTGGAGACGCACCGACGACATGCCGACCTACCTACATATGCCAGCCACACACGCACACACACGTACATACAGCTACCTAGAGGTATGGGAGGTATGGCACATATGTACGTATGTACATACACACCCACCTATATAGGTAACCTACCTACCTATATACCTCCCATACCTTGTGTGCTTAGACATCCACCACGCCGTGCCGCGCCGCGCCGCGCCGCGCCGCCACGCCTAAACGTACGAGGACCTAGACCGCCGCGGCGCCTTGCCCCCTCCCTCTCTCTCCCCTCTCTCCCCCCTCCCCTCCCCTCCTTCAATCCCCCAACACCTCTCCTGTCTCGGGTCCGTCCGTCCGTCCGTACATAACCTACCTACCTACCTGACTAATCGACTAAGTAAGAGGCGCACGTAGCACCCCGAGGGCCCTTGTCCTTCTTGGCCTCCCAGGGAGGGGGGAGGGGAGATGCCGGCGGCTTGGGGTGACACACACACACACACACACAGGTTGCAGCCGCGCGACCCGACCTGACCCTCGCTCGCTCACGCCAGCCCAGTCCGGTCCAGAGCAGAGCAGAGCAGAGAGAGAGCTATTTTAAGCTTGTTTTCTGGCACATTTCCCCACGGGGGGGAGGGGGAGGGGGAGGGAAGGAGGAGGGGGGGCGCTCGGCGAGGCGTCCGGTTCCCCTGCCCTGGTGCGCACGCACGCACGCATCCAATATAATGTAGGTAAGGGAACGCGTGTGGATGTATTCGTAAGCGGACGGGCGGGCGGGCAGGCAGGCAGATAAGTAGGTAGGCAGGTAAGGTAGGGAGGGAGGTTGGTGTGGTAATCTAGCCCCGTGAGATAATCATGGGATAATCATGGGATGTAAAGTAGGCATAGGTATGTACACACACACACACGTACGGGTGGTATGGTATGGTATAGTATGGTATGGCATGGTATTGGTGTTATATGTATAAAGGGTCCGATCGACAGGGGAAAACGGATACGATGATATGTATGCACGTACATAGGTATATATGCATACATCCATACGTACATACCACACAAGGTACAAACCACAACATCCGCACCTAAACACACGCGTAGAGGACAGCCAGGTAAGGCAGGTCTCCCATCTAGGTAGGCAAGGGAGGACAGGGGGAGGGGGGGGGGCGGCGGTGGCATGATGAGGCGATTCGGTACGGCAGCTGAACGCCCGGGAGAGCCACGCCCACGCACCAGGAACGCGCTCTAGAACCTAGCCTGGCCTGCCTGGCCCTGTTCTGCCCGCCCTCGCCCTACGCCCATGTGACTGTGGGATGAAATTCCAGAACGCGGCTCCGCCAGGCCGTCTGTGTATGCAGCTACGCACGCCCACGCCGTCCCTGCGATCGGGGGAGGATGGTGTCCTGTTGATTTTATTTTTAGGCGCGTCGTGGGGACATATGCCGATCACCTTCTCGCGTACCTCCAGCAGAGCTGCCCGATACTACCACCAGGAGCTTCTCCCTCCGGCCGCCATCAAGCCATGGGCCCGTCTGGCTCTAGCTTCGTATGCTCCAGCCCAGCTGTTGGAATACGCCTGCATTGGTTGAAGCTGTGACAGGGGAGGGAGAGGGGGGAGGAGGGGGGAGGGGGAGGGGAGCACACTCTACCAGCCGATTCCTACCAGGATCGGAGTTTCCCAGCTTTAGCACATCGACCCGATCGTGACCCCCCGTGCTCGTACCCAGGGCTGTTCTGTGGCGGCGGTGCCGTAGATCGAGGCGGCGGCTATATGCGCAACCCAAGAGCTGCAGCCTGCGGGAGTGGTGTCATGGCCTAGAAGACGCCATCCTCGAGTCGGACAATATTGTCTTGACCGAGTCTCACCGGGGTCTTGACTCGACGTCGTGACCTGCCCAGGCGGGCAAGCCAAACCACCACTGCGCCTCCCAACGGTGTACCTAGGCCTGGACCGGTGTGCAAATATCGAATGAGTCTCAACCTGCCTCGTCGGACCGTTTCCATCTCGGGAATATTCGTGCCCCTCAGAAACCACGTGTCGCCCCTATTTACCCCCCCTCCTGACCCCCATCTGGAGAGAATCCCATTCCCTTATTCGCGCCCCCAACATCCGTCACGGCGTTTGATTATCGTAAGTCTGCAGGCCAAACACGATTGGTAGTGAGTCGATCCGATTCGATAATCGGGATCGTAAAGGTTGGCGACGACGGGATTCCCATCGCCAGCCCCGCACCTTAGCGCTCGCTAAATCCCATCACCCGTGTGTTTCCGTCGTATGATTTTGGGTCGTACTAGAGCATCCGATAAGGCGTCACCCTAACGACATTCGATGGAGCGATGCTGTGGTGTTCGGCTATACTTATTAGCTCGCGAACATTAAAACCAGGGGATATAGGTAAGAGGTAGGTAGGTAGGTAGGTAGGTAGGTACAGGCTACAAGTCGGACAAACTTAGTTTTTAAGGATCTTGACCCTCGAAGAGAATGTGGATTCCTTTGTAAATATCAGGTAAGGGTAGGAATTCCTAAAGAGCGGAGGTAGGCGCTGTGCCTTAATAGCAAGCCTGCAGACCTAGCATCGATACAGCCCAAGCGGAAGACCGAAACCACCGCCGAGGCCTTCCGGCTCGGCGGATTAATCAGAAAAGAACGTCTAAGAGCAACCCAAACCAAGTAGGGTTCATAACCCAGCCGCACCTAGGGAAAAAACACGAAGCCGCGCCGAGGTACTAGAAATGGTCCTTCTTTCTTTCTTCCGGGATGCCCACGCCTCACGGGGGTAGTTTCCTCTCGTCACCTGGGCGATAGCAAGCTCTCGGGCAGCTTCTCCCGCTCAACAAACACCGCAGTGCCGTATACCGACACTTGAACGAAACCCAGAATTTCGCCCTCGCTGAAGCTCATGCCGACGACGGCGTTGGCGCCCCTCGAGACGCAGTCGCGGGTCATCCTCTCGACGGCTCGGTCCCTCGCGTTATAGGCCATGTGCGTGAGATTGCGGATCTCGGAGCCCGTAATAGCCGCCTTCAGCAGCGACTTCGTGTCCTTGATAGCATATGTCGTCGAACCATATGCGGTGCCAAGTACCCTGGTGATGCGGTAGCCCGAGAGCTCGGGTGTAGTGGTCGTCAGGATCGACGGTGACGCGCACTGAGGTTCGTTTTCTGGTCTCAGGCTGCTGAGCGTCGGCGTTGCCCCCGGGTTGTGGGAGGCTGGACGGCCGGTCATGTTCCCGGCACCCGGGATCATCAACGTCGAACGGCGGTTGGTGAGCATCTTGACGGATGATGTCCTTGTTCAATGTGAACGTCCGGGCAGTAGTCGACGTAGAATGGTGACGCTCACGGACGATGGCGCACGGTGAAGGGGGGGGAAGGGGGTATTTCTGGGTAGATCTTATAAAGATGACGTATACGCGATAAGGAGTTTCTAGAAAAGCTGCGATGGCGTTGCTGTCGATTTCGATGATGCAACTTACATAACAGCGAGCTTGGACGTTCGATGCAGAAATGATCAGACTTTTATTAGATCTCTGGGCTCTGAGCTCGGGTCTAGAACGAGATGGCGAGCGACGTCATTGTTGCTGAGGCCTCATTTGGCTTGAAATTGACCGTCATTTGAAACGGAGTCTGCGTCATGCCACTTGGGCGTGCTCGTGTGGACATGCCCTAACCTGGTTTCTCCATAGTCTCGACCTGTTGGGAAAATATGAAACGTCGCTTTAAATTGCCCTCGGCAGCCGCATTTCACGTCGAAAATAGCGGTGCATGGCCGAAACCGAGGGGGATCTTCACATGGACGTTCTAACGCGCCAAAGTGCTCCGGCCTTGGCTACCTGGCTTGGCGGCCAGAACCCTTCCGACTTCATGGGAATTGGGACGGCACTGCAGGCGTCCTGGTCGGCCCAGCGTAACGGAACTGGCAGAGGGCTGCAGGTCGCATAATGGACTAGGGGGTGCCGATGATGACAATGACGTTTTGGTTCTCGAGCGACAGAAACGCTCCTGGGAAAAGGGGGTGAGCTAGTTCGTGCAAGGGCGCGTGAAGGGGTTGAAGTTCGTTAGAAGACACGATGTCGTGGTCATTTCAAATTGGCCCCCGGGCGTTGTCAAACGCGGTGTGCATAGGCGCGGCTTAGTAAATCTAGATATCACCAGATATTCACGTCAGTCCTGGGTTTTGACGCAACCAGATCAGGGCGGAAGCAAGTAAGCCAGCTCTAGGCATTCCCAGGAGTCTAAGTCTAGACCGACCGTCAGAACGCCTCGGAGCAGATCGTCCTGCGCTCGCTCGTCCTGGGACCCGGCAGCGTAAGCAGACATTCCTGTTCACCGGGGCACGAGATGGTGTGGACTTAATTCGATCGCCAGCGTGCCAATCGTCGGTTCGGATTCGCGATGGGAGGAGGAGGTTGAAGGGAGGAGGGAGAGGCGTCGTGGTAGGGCTGAGAGAGGCGGGCTACTGTACAAAGCTCAGTAGTAGCTAGAGGTAGCTTAGGTACCTGATAAGTTGAATCACCGCCAGTTGAATAGGTCATTACCTAAGGCCGACCAGCAGGTAGGTAGTTACCTGTGTACATAATCCGCCGCTGGTAGCCGTTGTGCTTGTAGCGCTGGCAGCATCCGGGCAGCACATGTACTCACCTGTACATTGTACACGCTACCTCCTCGAAGTAAGCCTTTCACCACCTCGCCCGCGGTACTATCACATAAGCGTGGTACTGGGTACCTGTCCATTGTCGCTGGCCGAATGCGATGACGACGAGGGCCACCCTTCATTTATGTGTCCCTACAGCTCTCCTCCGGAACGCAGCACATCATTTGGCAGGCCGGTGGCGACGATCCGTCGCGATTTGTCACGCAGTCCCCGCGGATAGCCCAACGTCACCGATCCCGGCATCCCTCCTCATCCTCAGCCTCCAACGGACCCGGGTTCCCACACTGCCACTTCAGACACGTACTTGGCCTCTTCCTGCTGGTTTTCTGCCTGTAGCTGATGTGGAATCGCCATACCCATCTTGACCTGCTATGACGTCAAATTCGCGATAGTAATTATCACTTGCCTGTCTCGTCGACGGGACATCTTCCACCCGCGTGCTTATAAGTATCTGGCCTTTCTTACGAATCGGCCGGATCTCCGTCCACCGTCTCCTCCAGCTGGCCTCAGGTCTGCGCGCTTAGTCTCGATCTCGGCGTCCACAATCGGCCGGACGTAATTCACACACCTACCTAGCCTCGTTTTATGACCGCGTCCTCAGCCCCCTCTCCGTCTCAACCCACCTCCACCTCCGTCTCCGCAGCCATCCTGCTCGGCATCCTCGTCGCCGCCATGTCCGCCGCCGCCTTTTCGGGCTTCCCCCCGTTCATCTCGCGCGTCGTCCGGCCGCTGACCGCGCGCCTCGGCATAACCGCCGACACGGGCGCCGGCGTCTCCGCTCCTGCCATCCCCGAGGGCGCCGAGAAGGCCACCCTCGCCGCCGGCTGCTTCTGGGGCGTCGAGCACCTGTACCGCAAGCACTTTGGCTCCAAGGGCCTGTACGACGCCCGCGTCGGCTTCACCGGCGGCGACGTCGACCACCCGAGCTACCGCCACGTGTGCACGGGGAAGACGGGCCGTAAGTCGGCGTCGTGCCCCCCTTCTTCTTCTTCTTCTTCTTCCTTCTTATTCTTCCTTCTTCTTCTCTTCACCCCTCCCCCCCAATCCCGCTCCGCCCGCGCTGCTCTCCGCTAACCCCACCGCTCAGACGCCGAGTCCGTCCAGCTCGTCTACGACCCGGCGCGCCTGACGTACCGGCAGCTGCTCGAGTTCTTCTACCGGATCCACGACCCGACGACGCGCGACCGCCAGGGCCCGGACGTCGGCCCGCAGTACCGCAGCGCCGTCTTCTTCCACTCGCCCGAGCAGGAGCGCGTCGCCCGCGAGGTCACCGCCGCCGCCGCCCAGCAGTGGTACGGCGCCAGCGGCGGCGGCGGCGGCTCGGACTCCGCCATCGCCACCCAGATCCTCCCCGCCGGCACCTGGTGGGACGCCGAGGACTACCACCAGCAGTACCTCCACCACAACCCCACCGGCTACGAGTGCCCCACGCACTACCTCCGGACGTTCCCGCCGCTGCAGTGAGCGGCGGACGGGAGCGCACGCCGGAGATGCGTGAGCGAAGGGGTGGGGGGGTTATAGGTCGGTGGGCGACGGCTGTGCGCACACCTTAGGAGCCGTCACACGACATTCCGGAGGTGAAGGCGTACTAGAGGTAGTAATTGCATGCATACGTAGCTACGTAGACAGAACTTAGTCAGGATCAACAAGGTTCGCAGGTGACGCGGAAATCCCTATCGCATTCGACGTGCTGCGCGTCGTCCGACTCGAAGTGCTGTATCTCCGTACCGTCCTCCCCGGAGCGGAACGGGCCCCCCTCCCCTCCGGAACCCGCTGGTGCTCCGAGCGAGGCTGTTTCCCGCGTGCCCAGTCCCCCGTTCCGTATTCCCTCATTTACCGCGCCGCGGCGTTTTCGCCCCCCGACGGCCGACGAGACGGCTTCCAGCTTTGCCGCTAGCCTGACGTACTCGTTTGCCTGTGCGTTGGGGCGCGCGTATATATATTTATATGCGCGCGCGTTGGTTTGCATATGTATAAAGAGAGGAAAATACAGAGAGAAACAAAAGAGGCTGCCCCAAGACCCTCGCAACTCCGTGCTAAACCGCGTTGGCTAGCTCGACCTGGCCCTGTTACGCCGGCCCGTCCCACCTCTCCCGCCGTTTCCGTCGTATTACGCCTAGGAACGCCCGTCCATGTATTACCGCCTGCGCGGGGGAGACTGCAGCGAAGACGTGTTGTTGTCGCCGATAGAACAGCTTAGTACGAGGAGTCGCGCGCCCGTGCGTGTTTCCGCGCCGGGGTGCCGCCCTCTGTTGCTCTGCTGCCTGTCGCGGTCATTATTCGTCGGTACTGACAAGTCCCCCTCTCGCTGTTCTCCCGCCGTCGCATCCTCCCACCCCCCTCCTCCAGGGGGTGTTAGCAATCCGCGTCTTCCAGCGGATCCGGATCCTTTATCATGCCTGTGACCGGGTCGCAGTAGTGCCCGGAGCTCCACGTTATGTTCGTATCCGCGCCCTCAGCGGCACGTTCGGCCCATCCGTAGTTTTTCATCCGCGCGTGGTCGAGCTCGCTGATGCGAACCCGGTGGTCGAGCCTCGACGTCTCAATGTCCTCAAATCGTCTGCATATGTCCCCGTGGACATCCTTGCGGGCATAGTTCCGCGACGGCCGCGCATCCCTGTGGCTGTCCCACTTGGGGCAGAAGTCACAGTTGCCCAGGTCCAGCCACGAGGTCAGCACGAAGCCCCACCCGAACGGCTCGGGAAGCGGAGTCACGTCGAGGCTGAAGTCAGTCGTGCACTTGTCGCAACCCAGGACATCTCCTAGCAGCGTCGGTACGTCCATCGGGTTCCATTTGGCGCCGGACGACAGCCACCGCAGCCTCTCGGCAATCATGTGCCCCTCCTGCTTCGAGACGTCGTGCGGATCCGTACGGAAGCAAGTAGGCGTGTGAAAAGGGTTCACTTCGTCGCCGTGATCGGCTTGACATAGAGGGTCGATCCACTGTGTTAGTAGCGGCGCGTACACGAAGTCCCAGCAGAGATGATTGCACATCCTATACACCTTGGGTAACGATAACGAAGCGGGGAAAGGTTCCGTCACCTGCTTCCCAAATAACCATAGCGCCAGTGCGGTCTTGTCTATCGAAGAGACGATCTGCTGCCGCCTCATCAACAGGTCGTCATTGCGGTATCGCGCCCGCAGAGAAACCTGCACCATGATCCTGGTTTGGTATAGGGTGGTGGTGTTGTTGACTTGCTGCAGCAAGTGCCTGTATTCGGCACCGTGGTTCCGGCGTTTGGTGATGGAACGAAGAAGCTTCCTGGTCGCACGCGGGGGCATGTGATGTTCCGGTGCCCAGTCCATACACCGGATAGCCTTGTTCGGCGCAAACGCACGATCTTTGAAGGTGACGAAGGGATCATGCAGCTTCTTGCATTTATAGCAATAGACGAGATCTTGTAAATCGTAATCCAGGGAGCTCAGAAGCGACCCGCGAATCTTCGTCTTGGACGAGTCCGCCTTCTTGATGAAGGCATTCAATGCTTTATACGACGACGGCTCGTCTGGCGGTGTCAGCTCGAGGATGGCGGCGGACCGCATAAAACGGGCCATCAGTTCCTTGTTGACAAGGGCTAACACGATAATTTGGGCATGGCTCAGGTGGCTCGTGATGGCATCGAACAATTCCTGAGGGAGGAGCAATAAGCCCGAAACATTCTGTCGGGGCCGCCTCTCGGACGACGATACGACCACAGCATTCTTAGCAGCGTCGGCCTCGGGATCCATCACGTCGCTACTCATGCTAGTGCCGGCTTCAGTAGGGCTAAGCGGGTTATCGATGGACGACTGATCGTCGTTATCGACAGCCTCATTGGAATCTTCATCGCCGCTGTGACTCTTGAGGCGCATCATAGACAGCCTCTTGATCATACCGCTTAGCCGGCGAGAGTGGCCAAGCTTGGAGCGGGCGTTGCTTTGGTAGTTAGGTCTAAATTAGCGCTGATTGGATTGCATTGGCGGGCGAGCGGGCGACTGCGCACGGTGTGGGATGCGGTTGGAGGGGGGGAGCCAGGTGGGAAATAAGATGGGGGGCGGACAGGCCAACCTGGTAGGCCACGACAGAGGGAGAGGGTGAGAGACGTAGGTGAGGCTGGAGGTGTGCACGTGTAGACTAGCCTGAGCAGGCGCGAAAAAAGTAGCAGAGGAAGAGGCAAACAGACAAGGACAGGATGGCAACGTGACGGCTCACCTGAGTATCTGTCTTCCCCCATTGAATGGAGACATAGTCCATTGCCCCAGGCGGAAGGGACGCCAACGACTGGCCGGATCTCCTCCGACAACCTCCCCAACAATGCCTGGGTATGTACGTAGCAGGAAGAATCGGACGTGAATCGTGACAGGTACGGTGCGGGTACGGATTGCCTGTATGCAGCAGAGAGGTAAGATGGATGTAGGTACCTTGCGTATTTGGTTTCGAGCAGCCGAGGGACGAAGGGGACGCGGGCGACCGGACGGTCCGGGATGGCAGCAGGTCGTCTAAGCTATCGCAGGTCGTTCGCGGGTGAGGGAGAGGCCGTGGAATCCTGGAGAGGACCAGGGCGGTAGAAGGGAGAGGCGAGGTGTGGCCTGTCTCTCGTCTGTGTCTCTGTTTTTTTTTTCTCCTTTCGGGATTTTTTTTTTTTTTAATTTCTCTCGCTCACCGACCGACCCAAGCCAAGTCCGCAGTCAAGCGAGTTGGTGAAATTGGACTGGGAAAAGGGCGTCGGTATGTACGTGTGCCCGCGCGGGCGCGCGTGCTTGCGTGCGTGCCTGTATGGGTGTGCGTGTGGGTGGGTTTGCTGTAGGTAGGTCGGGAGTAACGGTGGACGTAGGGGTGGGAGGCCGCGGGAGGAAGAGGTGGCGGTGGATTCGTCGATGATGGTGAGGCGGATTGTCGACAGACAGCGGGTGAGAGTTGCCTGAACTGGGCCGGACCGGACGGACTTTACTATCCAACAAGCCGACTTCTGCTGAGGACCACTTCTGCTCGGTTTCAGCCTCAACGTGCTCCTGTTGTCGAGCATTTGCCAATCGTTTCCCGTCAGCTGAGCCGCCTCCTCAGGGTGCCATATAATATATGAGTATCCAAGCCCAAGTTCGCGAACCTACCTGATCTCTGGCGGGGCCGCCCCCGGTAACCGGTGCTGTCCCTGCGATGGGCGTGACCTCATCATGCCTACGGCGCATTCGACGGGTACTTGCGAGCCCGCCTACGTCCCCAGCACTGAACATGTACCTCCCTTCATCTTCACTTGCCTAACACGCTGCCGACCAGCCCATCTGCTTAGGCGCCGTAGCCAGAGCCAATCAGTGGCCCCTATGGTTTGTCGGCCAGCTGAGCCAGCCCTCAACTCCCCCTCCTACTTGCAGCTAATAGGTACTCCCCTACCCGCCAGGTATGCCGCAGTACCTAAACATGCTTACGCTACGGTTCCCCGAGATCTCGAGCATACCGCGTCTACACAATGCAGCGTTCAATATATATTCACGCATACCTGTGCACACTAGGAGCGCCACGCACTACCTCCATTCTACAGATCACATCTACTTCTTTTCGACCGATTCTTCAAATGTAAAACGACGGCCCGCTCCGTCCCGGGTAGACGAGGGTAACATTACGATCCACCAGGCCCCCCCAGCAATGGCGGCGGCATGGCTCGATAATGACGCGCTGTCGTTTGGCCTCTAGCCGGAAACATCGTGTCACACGGCGTACGCGAGGGACAATACTACCTATCGCGATTTCTTTTTTACTCTTTTATTTATTTTTTCATCAATTACTAACGAATGGTAGAGACGCCCGAGAGAATGTCACTGTGGTCTGAGAGGAGAGTGTCCATCCCGTCTCCGACGCCTCGAATCGATCGATGCCCAGCAACCTAGTCATGTTTGTAACAGCCCGTTTCTTAATAAGCCTTGATCTTAACTCCCCCCACCGGATAGCATTTCTCCTTTGTAACACCTCTTTCGACCTCATAGACCTCCCCAAAGTATTCTCCTCCTTCACTTCCTGCGGCTCTGTTGCAGCATCAAGATCTGGACCATGCGGATGAAGATGTTCAGGAAGTCGAGCTCGAGGGATATGCTCTCGTTCACTGGGTCCTTCTTGATGATACCCTGCTCAGCTAGGCGCGCGTGGTAAAGGACCTTCTGGACGTCGTATAGCGTGAACCCTCCGAAGACCGCTAGCCCACCGTACAGCCAGATGTTTTCCGTGAACGCCAACGTCCGGACAGCCGTGGCGGGGATGACGAGAGGGGCGAGGCCGGAGACGGCAACGATGGCGGCACCGGCTAGGAGTGGACCACCGATGTACATGTACTTCTCCTGCTTCGCAGTGGCGCCGACGAAGGAGATGGACCCCATCATGGCGACGGTGTAGAGACCGGCACGAGCGATCAGCGCGCCGGGAACGACGGCGATGAGAGGGGCAACGAAGGCAGCCTGGGTGGCGTTGAAGGCGGCCCAGAGGGCGTACTTGGGCACGTAGCTATTCCCGCATCAGCACATAATGAGTCAGAAAGAAGCCAGGGTAAAACTCACTTGTCGGGGTCGATGGCCCGAGTCCCCAGCATAGTACCAAAGCTGAGGGCTAACCCACCAATAGCCACAACCCACGGGTTTGTTACCATCAACCTATAGACGAAACCGGTCTGGACCATCTGCCGTGCCGTGAGGCCGATTATGCCGATGCCGAGGCCCGTGTGGAGGAAAGTAGAGTTTAGGTAGTATCGCTCAAAGTATGGCATGCCGCCATCCTCTCGGGTCTCGCGGTTGAAGACGGCGTTGATGGCGACGAGAGTACCGCCGAAAATTGCACCAGCCGTCAGTAGCTTGCGCAGGTTCGAGCCAGAGTCGGCTACGGAAGGAGCGGATGGCTGGATATAGGTTCTCGACGGCTGTACGAGAGCGCTTCGGAATGTGGCACGCAGGAGGGTCGGTGTGAAGACCGTCCGCGGCGTGAAGAACTTGGACGATCTGGCTGAGGACTGATGGAATGCTCGGGCGGGTGTTCGGAAGGAGGATTTCGCGAGCTCTGGCAACCTCGGCGCCAGGCGCGCAGGTCCTCGACGGAGAGTGATGGTGAACGACATGGCTGCGCTCGACGAGAAAAAGAGCAGAAATTAGGAGCGACAAAGGAAGTTGCCGGAAGATGGATGAAATCCAGTAGGAGAGAAGAAGAGTTGCGAACGATGACGCCGGCCTAATCTGCTTTACTCTCGATGGCTGATGTAATGAATAATGGCCAGTGCGCTGGTGGCTCCGAAGAAAAGTCGAAGGTGGGGCGGAGAACCGATTAGAACCAACCCGATGATGCCCTTTAACTCCGGTCTAGCTCCGCGTAGAAGGTGACTCGAAGCACGGCTTAATCTGTGTCTACGTACCTCCTCTGGGGTTCTTCCACCGGCTGGATTTCCTCGGTCTTGGGTCACTCAACACATTGCCGCCTGGAAACCCTGGCCACAGGAGCAGCCGGCCAGCTCCAGGGGCCTATCGTCACCTAAGCCTAACGTATGGATTAGTGTTTCCACCAACCTACTATAGGCTCCTGTAGGTACGAGTCCGCGAAACCCAAGCTCCCGGACCCCCGTCTCCAAGGCTCCGGCGTGAGACAAACGTACCAACACCGAGGAACCTAATCTGGCGAGCCTGCTCACGTGGACGGAGAGAACTGTAGCTTTCTCAAAGTTCTGGGCAGGTAGGTATATCCAGTCACATTCGGAAGCACACCTACATCTAGCGGAGACGCCCGTGTCGTCGAAGAGCAGGCATATGAATAGGGAATCTATTTTGTACGACTGTGCTGGGTTCCTCAGGAGCCCAGATATGAGTAGACGCATCCGTATGACTCGCACCCCCGAGCAGTCCTAAGCAAATCTTGAAGCACATACCTAGATGTCCCTCCCACTGACATCCATACAGCAAGGCCAATACCAATGACTCCTCACTAACTTTTGGATTCCTGCCACCCTATTCACTGCCCTATTGACTGCCTACGGCACCTAGGAGATAAAGCTAATATTCACTACAGAAGGAGAGCTGTATAAAAGCGCGTTAATTAGTAGTTAGCTCCCAGTTATCCTCTTGATTGATCAACAGCATCAGATTCAGCATCCTAAGATCCTGATACTAGGTACCTAGTTATTTTACTTGCTGGTATTGTGGGATCACAGGAAGCGGACCAGCCAAAACGCACAAACTCTAGACATTAACGCGTACATGCGGCTTCTGTATTAATTCTTTTATTTTGTATTTTTTAGCTACCTACTGCAGAATGGAACACACACATTTTTTGTACGGTTTACTCAGCCCCAACTCGTATACATAAGACTCGAGTCCTATCTATCAGCAAATGTCGGGAAGAGGTATCCCGTCAACCTCATCCACTCCTTAATACCCTATACACAAGCTCGTTGTTTCTCTCTAGGCAGTAACACCAACTTGAGAGCTCCTAACGAACGCAACCTTGAGAATTACGGTGAAGGTCGTAGCTGCATTGGCCCTTTTAGTCGCTATGGCTGGCCCCGTGGCATTCTATAGCAAGAGCTGAGCCGACGTCTTCCTAGCCTCACTCGGTCTCGATGGGGGCCCTTATATGGCAGACGTCGTCGTGCGCAGGTACAACTCTGCGCCGCGCCTTTCGGACTCGCCCGGTACCGATCTAGATCCTCCCAACGAAGCGGCCGCTTTACCTAACCAGTATTTCTCCACTGGCAATATGGAGATGTGCCAGGCTATGAATCCGGCACGACGGGCGCCCTCCCTCGGTCGACTCTTTCGGGAGAGGGGACTGCAAGAAACACTGGCGATGCCGCCGTATTGGGTTGGCGTCTTGCGGAACCCCGGATCGGGTTGTGGGGGCTCCGCGACTACGAGAAGCCTTGAGTTCCTTAAAGTGACAGTACGTTGTTTATACGTGGATTCTTCACCGGAACTACGTCCGTACCCATCTAATTTCGCGATTTCGAACTTCAGGCTCATATGATACGCTGATAATCGGAGCACTTGGCTAGCAGACTAGACTATCGTTCTCGCACTCGCCTTCTAGATTTACGGTTAGAGACGTATTCTTAGGTCGCACGAACCTACGAGGGCAAGGATAGTTTAAGCTCGAGCCTTTTTTAAAAAAAGAAGGGGAGGGAAATAAGATGCTGGGGCGTTTTCAGGTGTCTCTATTCTACTAGAGTAGGTTCTTTTTGTGCCGTCGCCGAACTCCTTATTCCCTTCCAGGTCCTTCGGCATGAGTCTCTGAAGCGGGTCGTTGGTGCAGAATAGGGGTTAGAAAGGAGGTAGTTAACCGCATGGTTTCTTTGGTATTATGCCCATCCACATCGACACATGTACCGTCATACCATGCGCCCGCTAACCGGCCCCGGTAATTGATCTCGAATTATACAAACCAGCGCACACAGATTGCCGTCGGCGACCTCCACGGGCGATAGCCTCATGGCGCAAAACGGAGGCACGCCCGCCCTCCCCCTTAGGCAAGCCGAACGCACCGGCGATCCGGGATCTACATCGCAAGAGATACCGCACTCGCACATAGCCAGCGCGATGCGACCTCGGCGTGCCGATCGCAGCGTGAGGTAACGTAGCAACTATTAGGTACACTCTCCGGGACCGCTGGGAGATCTCTAGCTGTGCTAGATGCACAAACGTACGGCAGATGCGGCAGTTCGTCATCCCTCGGGGCACTATCGTTCAACGTTCTCCTCTCGCCCACATGCCGCGTCCTCTCTCGCCAGCCAATGGGCATGCGGGAATATCGAATGATTTTGGCCACGTGGTACGGGAGAACGTTACTACCTAGTCTGCTGCGAGGTCGACAATGACGCCGAAGTGCTTCTTCGGCGACGGGAAGAGGGGGGGGGGAGAAGAGGGGCGGCGGAGATGGACATCATTCCATTAGATAAGGGTGCTCGCGGCATCGCATGAGACATCCACCACCTTCCTGTTTCAATGCTCTTCCAGCAGCGTTCTAGAAGGGGTCGTATTTGGGGGAGACGGCCTACAGCGTCTGGTACGGGTCCTGGGTCGACCGGGTGCTGCGTTCCCATTCGCTTTTCAGTGTGCCGTCAATTCTCCAGCCAGGCCACGCAGCGCCGAGCGCGACCTGGATGGCTGGACTTGCGGCCGAATGAGGAGATGGCCGGGCCGCTCGAGGACGGCGAGTCCGCGGGTGGACGTCCCGTGCTGGGCAATCCTAACACCATCATGCAGGCGGCCGTGCTTCTGGAATTAGGTGCGATGGAACGGCCGCGAGAGCATATCGTCGTCCGCAGCTGGGCCCGGGAGGCGTGGCGGGTGGCCGATGACGAATGGCGAGAGGCACAGGTGGGGAAAACTGGAATCTTTCTAGAAGACGTTCCTATTCCTCGCCGAATCACAAACCCCCTTCGGGTGTGGGGTGAACCCCCTCCCCGTGGGCCAGGGTAGGGGGGCTCGGGAATGGTAACGATACGTAGCGTGCAGGGGGTGGAGAGAGAGGGGGGGCCAGAGAGCTTGCGAGCCCCAACTTGCCTGCCCGAGGAGCCCCTAGCTTAGCTAGCCGAGGGTCTACATTGTCCTTTCGCTTCCCAGTGTCCTAGGCGACGTGACGTGTGCAGATGGATGTGGAAATGTGTACGGAGAGAGAAGAGAGAAGGGGAAAGGCGTGGGGAAATCCAGCCGGCGATCGCGGGCGACGGGCCAGAAGAGGTTTCATCCGGGGAGGATTCCGTTTGTTACTACTGCCCCTAAAAAAAAATCTGATCGGCCGCCTGATCCTCAGCCCCTTTTTCTCGCCATCCCTCCAGCTTGCGGCCAGCGAGAATAAATAGACACGGAGTATAGGGTGTATCACCAGAGAGACCCGGGTCCCACACACCTGGGGAGGCACGGAAAAGCCAGGACATCGCTCACGTCCGCCTCAGTCGCTCCAATAGGACGACTCGTACGCGCAGCGATCCCACCGCGGCCAATGGAAGGCCTCCCTCGTTCCCTTGGTTCTCTGCTTATAGCGGTCTGCTTGGCAGCCTGCACCGATTTTAGATTTGGTCGTACTCTGCAAGGCGCGGCGGGAGGCTTGTTCGTAAGACGGTACGCGCAACATGCTTACACGCGCACACATGGACGGAGGATACTCGTCTCGTACCCGGGGCTGCCTGTTGTCTGTTGCCACTGCTGTGTAGGTGGCTGCTGGTGCTGGTGCTGGTGCTGGTGCTGGTGCTGGTGCTGCTACCGGTACAGGTGTGAGGGGGATGGATGGGAGAGACGAGATGGTTCCTTGGCGCGGAAACGGTACCTGGATAGTGCAGGTAGGCAGATACCTTAGGTACCTCCTACCTAGGTACCTAGGTACCTACAATGCTTGTCGAATCCACCACTCCCAGGAGCCTTTTCCCTCTAGTGTATCGCGCCTAGCGCTAATTGCTCGAGGTACCTCGGGGAGGAGGCGGGAGGGAGTTGTACATTAGGTCGGTGCCTTGGTAGGTGCCTAGGAGGTAGGTACATACAGCCTGTCCGTTGGCCCTTGCTGGGAAAGACTACTAGCATCGTCATCCTAGCAGCCGCGGGCCTTACAGGTACCTCTACCTGCGTAGGTGCATTACAGAGGCTAAACTTAGCACGCATAGCATGTACGGTGCTAAATCAGGAGGTATAGGCTGGGCAACCTACCCACCTATCTACCCAGGTACCTACCTGGGAGGTAGGTACTTTATATATACATCCCAAGGCATTACGCTGCATCAGGTACATTTACATCCATACTCTGGCACATACCAACCTACCCAGGGACCATACGTTCTCGTTAGCAAGGTCAAGGCAGGTCCAGCAAATGTGTCCTGATATACACGTACCTGGGTAGGTACCTGAGGGGTATGTATCTAATGTACCCGGGGTGTATTAGGTGGGGCGTATCGTTCAGTGCCAGATCGCGCTCCGTGCGGATAAGCTCTCTCGCTCTCGCTCTCTCTCTACCCACACTTCCCGCACGACGGCCCTGGATCTCTCCCTGACGGCCAAAAAAAAAAAGGCAATTGTCTCTGCTGGCCACCAAGACGGGGTAGACGAGACGAGACGAGACCGCTCCCAAGACATCGATGAAGAAGAAGTAGGCCCTGGCCTAGTGCCTCCACCCGCGCGCTTCGGCGAGGAGATGCGCATCAGCTCCAATTGCGTGCCCGTCTCAGACTCTCGTCATTCTGCATCTTACGCATCTAGCTCTGGTCTATCCCGTCCTGCCCTGTCCTCCTACTCTTCTGGGTCACTCTCCGTTACTCTATCCCACATCCTCACCCACGCTTGCACACACACATACACACACACACACGACACGCACGCACACAACCTACACGCATCCTGACTATCCGAGCTAGCTACCTGCAGACTCCTGCGGCCTACCAGCCTGCCAGGGGTAACCAAGTGGCATACAACAAAGAGACCATCCTCTCTCTTTCTCTCTCTACCTCCCTCTTTCCCTCATCCACACCACAGTATACTCCTCTTCCTCTCTTTTGCCTCTCCCCCCCAGCGTTGCCTCGTCACGGGGTTAGCCTGCATGCTGCCAAATGTTTGTCATAGCTCTCGGCGCCGTTTGTAACCCTTAGCCAGCATCGCCCTTGGAAGGACGTAGAACGGTGGGAGAATCCGGATCTTATTCTCCTTTCCCTCCCTTTTCCTTTCTACTTACCGGCTGAACGCGTACGCGCTGTCTACTGTCTACTTGGAGGGCCATACGCATCACTCTAGCTGCCTGGGTGGGGGCTTGCGCCTCGTTGATGTGCACGGCGCACACAACTTGCAACGGCAGATCCGCCTTTTCGGACCAATCCTCGCCGCCTCCCCCCCTTGGGGTAGTTGAGCATCAAAGCTCTCTCTGCCTTGGATACCGGGTGGGTACGCGATCACTTGTGAGTTCATACATATAAGCGATGCTGCTTGTCTTATGTCATGTTGCAAGGGGGGAACAATACATAGTTGGAGAGAGCTGGTGAGAGAGACAAAGAAAAGAGAAAAAGGAGGGTGGTGTAAAGCAAGAGGATTCACTACCAAAAAAAGAAAAGGAAGAAAAATCCCCCCATACGCGAGAGAGAGGGAGAAAACAGAAAAGGAGGGTCTAATCGAGCTCAGTCAAAGGTTAGAATCAGACCGGCCATCAAGCAGCTTGAAGCGATCCCCTTATACGAGGCTCCGCGAATCGAGCTCATCCCCTTGCCTCCAAGCACGCGACTTTCCGCCCCCCCCCCCGCCATGCGCCTTCGTCTCCCAACATGACAGCTTCTCCGAGTGACTTCTAAAACACGCGAGTTGAGAAGACAGTGGATAGCTCGGCTAATGATACGGTGTGGTTCTAGCATCCCTGGCACTCAACCTTCCAGAACACGGTTCCGAAAAAAAAAAGAAAAAGAAAACATACCTACCGACCTACTTCTTCTCTCGATCCCGACCTTCCGCTCGGGTTGAAACCAGGATCGTCACGTTCCACATAGTAGACTGAAGCCGGCCGGTACCTAGAAACCCCAATATCTCCCTCCCCATCTCTGGCGCTCTCTGCCCAGCGTGGGGAACCCGCGATTTTCAGCAGGCTATAGCATGACCCGTTCCTCGCCTAAAGTGCCGCGCGAAGCCTTCCCCTCCTCAATTTAAGAGATCTCAACCCGATATCCGTTGCCAGGCGGGGTTTCGAGGGCAGATACCGTCTCTCCCAGCCTGCGGTTGGGCGCCACCGGGCAAATTAGCATAGTAGGCTTGGCCGCCACAAGGGGGAGACTCGCAAGCAACCATGAGGCGGAATAGAGTCCCGCACCCTCCGCCCTCACCCTACAGGGCTCTGGCTCATCATCCGGCTAATGGCCAGCCCGCCGACTCCGTGTCCCTGATCAGGTCCTTCAACAGCGAGACGAACCCGACCCGGCCGATACGCCCCTCCCCGCTCGCAGTCTCGCCTATACCTGACATGCCGCTGGACCTGCTCGACCGCATAAGAAACTTCCCGCTCTTCATGTCCGCCCCCGAGGAATTTCTCGTAGCCATCGGCAAGCATCTCAGGCCCCAGGTCCACTCGATACACGACCATATCCTGACCGAGGGCGACGTAGCGAAGGCGATGTACTGGCTGGTTCGCGGGGTGGTTGGGGTGACTTCGAGGGATGGCGAGGCTGTGTACGCCGAGCTTAAGCCAGGCGCCTTCTTCGGCGAGATCGGCGTGCTGATGGACATGCCTCGGACCGCCACCATCGTCGCGCGCACAAAATGCCTCCTCCTCGTGCTCAAGAAGGAGGACCTCTCCCTCGAGCTACCCAAGTTCCCTGACATGGAGAAGGCCATCCGGGAGGAGGCACACGAACGCCTGGCCATCCTCAACAAGAAGCGGAAGGAGAGCGGGTACAGTCTCAAGGTGGCTAAGGGATCGGTGACGGCTCGGGCCGGCAAGGTCTCCACCGGCGAGATCGGTGCCATCAACCAGGGCACCGTAGTCAATACGAAAAAGAGGAAGTCTCCGAGCCCGGGTGCCATCGAAGACCTGACCGCTGGCAGCGCGCTGGGAAGCGGCCTCGTAAACGTGCGGCAGACGCTTAAAGAGCTCCCCCTGTTTTCGACGCTCCCTCCCGACATCCTCCATTTTCTGGGGATGAGCGCGCAGTCTAAGACCTACTCGCCCTTCACCGACATCATCCGCCAAGGGACGCTGGGGAATGAGATCTTCTTCGTCGTGCGGGGCGAGGCGGAGGTGATTCACGATCCGCCCCAGGGACAGCAGGAGAAGAGGATAACCCGGTCATCCCTGATTACACCGCGTCTGAGACAAGGCCAATATTTTGGAGAAGTTGCTAGTCTGGGCCTGTCGCTGCGCCGAACCGCGACCGTTAGATCCATCACAGCCGTCGAATGTCTGATGATCAGCGGGGAAGCCCTGAGCGAGCTGTGGAAGCGGTGCCCGCCTGATATCAAAAAGCAAGTCGAAGACACGGCGAGAACCCGGATCAGATCGTCAGACGGCGACGTAGAGATGACGGACGCGGAGCCGATGGGAAATGATATCGCATCGTCACCCGCATCCCTGGGACCTACGCCACAGGTCATGTTTACTAAACCAGCCTCCCCAGTCAAGGACGAGTCCGATCAGATGGAACCGAAGGATCCGGACCCGTACCTCAGCGTCGACATGGAGAATCTCAGGAACCGTCGTCGAGGGTCTCTCGCCCCGCCAACGCCCACCAGCGAATCACCTACCTCGCCGACGTCCAACGGTCTCCGCATGCACAAACTCGACACCTCGTCGCCGGTCAGGCTCCCGCCGCCCTACACCCGCTCGCCAGACTCGGAGGTGCCCGCGAAGAAGGCCAAGATCCAGTCTAAGCGGCCGCTGCCCGATCAGAAACCCGTGCTCCCCGACGACATCCTCGAGACTATTTTCCAGTTCCTCGACCTGGCGGAGCTCCTGCGCCTGCGGCAGCTCTCGACGCACGTGCGGAGGCTGCTGGCGACGTCGCCGAAGTTGTGCGCGCACGTAGACCTAACGCCGCACAACCGGCGGGTGACAGACGAGGCGCTCATCAACGTGATCGCGCCGTTCGTCGGCCCGCGGCCGCTCGTCGTCGACCTCAGCAACTGCTTCCACATCACGGACGAAGGTTTCTCGGCGTTGTGGCGCGTCTGCGGCCGCAATGTCCGCGTCTGGCGCATGAAGTCGGTCTGGGACGTCTCCGCCAACCAGATCCTCGAGATGAGCGAGAATGCCAAAGGCCTCGAGGAGGTCGACTGGAGCAACTGCCGCAAGGTCGGCGACAACCTGCTCGCTCGCGTCGTCGGCTGGGTCATCCCCGAGCCCCTACCCCCGCAGCCCGTCGCGGCGAGTGCCGCTACCGCTACCGCCATGGCGAAGCAGACCGTTGCGGCGTCGAATTCGACCGATGCTAACAGTGCTAGTGCCAATAACAACGCGAAGGCCAACGCCAATGGTGGCTCCCCGCGCGCCCGGACACAGCAGAGGCCACAGGCACCCCCCGTGGTCATCCCGCCGCCGGGCACGGTGATCGGGTGCCCGAAGCTGAAGCGGTTGGACCTGTCGTACTGCAAGCACATCACGGACCGGTCGATGGCGCACATGGCGATGCACGCGTCGGGGCGGCTGCAGTCGCTGACGCTGACGCGGTGCACGTCGATTACCGACACTGGGTTCCAGTCATGGGCGCAGTTTCGCTTTACGCAGCTGTCGCGGCTGTGCCTCGCCGACTGCACATACCTTTCGGATAACGCGGTCGTCGCACTCGTCCACGCGGCTAAGGCCCTGACGCACCTCGACCTCTCCTTCTGCTGTGCGCTGTCTGACACGGCGACGCAGGTTGTCGCGCTTGGCCTCCCACAGCTGCGCGAGCTGCGCATGGCCTTCTGCGGTAGCGCCGTCAGCGACAGCAGCCTAGCCTGCGTAGCCCTCCACCTCAACGACCTCGAGCGCCTCAGCGTCCGCGGCTGCGTCCGCGTCACGGCCCATGGTATCGATAGCGTTCTCGACGGCTGCGGCCGCCTCGCCTGGGCCGACATCAGCCAGTGCCGCAACCTCGAGCCCTGGATCAAGGCCGGTGGCGTTACGCGCTGGGGGTATGATGAGAAGGCAACGCCCCAGCTACAGCAGGACACGATTTCTTCCCCAAAGGGCGGCGTATCGCGGAGTCGGCGCGGTACCACGAGGCCACGAGTCGCGTTCGTAGTCGAGAAGGGCCCCGGGGGACTCCGTTAAGGACCAGGAGGTCGCCGCGTCTACCACCTGTCAGCCAGCGTGCATATCATAGTTTTGGCCTTTAGTCTTTCTTGGCTACTTGCGTGGGCATCTACGATGCTCTACGGTTTATGCCTACTCCCGTGCACCTTTACGGTCCGTGTCAACTTTGAATGCGCCTTGGGTAAGAGGAAGAAGGAAGGGGGAGAGTGGGGAATTTTCTGCGCCTCTCACTCTGATACAGGCACACTCGTACAAACATAGCACCGGGACGGACGGCGATCTAGACTACAAATACGTAGGCGCAGCGATAGACAGGGCAGGATACATCGACAGCGATGATGATTTCAAAGCGGGACGGGACTCGGCGTCCCCGGCTAGAACCGAATAGATGGCTAGCTTGCACGCCTCATTAATACACGCGACGAATTACCGGAGAAGCCGGCTCGATCTTGACGACGATTGTGATAACGAATAGATGAAGTCTACTAGCCGTCACGTCTGCACGCCCTAGTTAGACGGTAGGCACACGCAGCCTGTTGTTAATTATCCTCGCATCGTCTTAAGTGTCTTTTGATAGTCCTCAGGCAACAACGCAGTATCGTAATAATAGAAAAACCTGTACGATTGCTTTAACTCGTGGTAGTTTTGGTAGTTGTACTGCTTAATTCTATAGAGGCTATATTTACACTCTCTATCGCCTTAGCACGCCTACGTGTTTCGTTTTCTAGAAGATAACTACAGAGAGTCTTCATTATACCTACAATCCGAATTATAGCCCAAGTCTACTTGAGCATCGTCCTCTTCGGCTGGATGTGGAGGCAGCCATGTTCACTCCCGCTCTGCAACGCGACGCTCCGTGGGGTAACTCGAGGACGACTAGGGGGCAACTGGCCCTGTCTGTCTTGTCAAGCACATCGCCAATGTTGCGATTGGCCCGCAGACAGTGGATTCGACCCCAAGGGCTTCGCATATGAGTACTGCGTAGTATAAGGGGATCCGAAATGCGACTCGACGCTCTCTTTTCGGCAAAGGGACAGCTTAGAGAGTCTTTACATAATAGCCTGGTTTCCCCAATCTTCCCCATACCCACCCTGGAGCCGATGGGGGTAAGGGGAAGGAGGGCCGAGGTCCATCGGTCATTTTAAATCACCTAGCTTAGGATCGTGTAGCGCACTATTGCCTTCTAGGATTAACAAGTATCATACGAGCTCGATAGATGTTGTTCGATAACTTACCATTCTCGTGTCTCGGACAACCTTAGCAGACCCCTCCCTCCCCCCATCTGTCTCTCAGTCTCCCCTTTCGGTCTACCCCCTTTCCCCTCCCCGAAGAGATGATTTTCCCTCCGCCTGCGGAGACGTGCATCGCCCCAGCATGATCGCCCCAGGTTGGAGGCGCCGGAAGTTCGGACGACGCTCGCTTAGCGAAGCTGTATGGGGAGCCTAAGTCTTGCGGCTCAGTTTAGGGTCGAGGGCGAGCGTCTTGGGCTAAGGATGGCACGATGGATGATTGGCCTCACCCCCAAATGGGGTCTACCGTGTAGGAGAAGAGCCGGCGTGCCAGGGCTAGTCGAACCGTCCACGCGGTAATATTTCTTACCTTCGCCCTCCGCCTCTCACATATTAGCCCATGACATCAGCAGCGGGGGGGGAACTTGGCATACTCTCTCCCTCTCTCTGCCTCTTCAGCCGGCTATCGCCAGCTAGGCCACGTACCCCAAATAGACCCGTCTCCCCACAGCGTAGGGGGCTAGGAAATCTAGGCTGCGGGGAAAGGCGTCGGCTTGATCTATTAGCTGGGCACCTGGCTTCGGCAAGTGGCTGGAATCGCATCCAAAGTCGGGATTCGGAAATACTCAAAGGATCTCGGCGTACAGGTAAAAATGGTCGATAAGGAATCGCCAGATCCGCAAACTAGAACACATATTGTCTTCTCGAAACAACCCTGCGCACCACGACTTCTCTCCGCAATAGGTATATACCGATGCTTGTTCTCGAGTAGGGTGGCCAATCTGAAGACGCAATCGCCGGCAAAGAGCAATGTCGCACCCATTTGAGAAGGTAAGCACGGAAACCTGCCAGCATAGGAACAAACCATCGGTCTATTTTGCCGCCGGTTGTGGAAAGAGGGGGAGCTGTTCCCAGCAGGGCCAGCGCTACGCGGGCGAACGCGCGCTGACAGTCCCCGTCAGGTAGTCATCGTCGGGGCGGGGCCGTCGGGCCTCCTCCTGGCGCTCCTGCTGTCGAAGCACGGGATCCCGGTGGAGATCCTGGAGGCGTCGCACGAGCTGGACAAGCAGCCGCGGGCGGCGATCTACGGGTCGCCGGCGATCCCGGACCTGAGGCGGGCGGGGGTGATCGACGAGATCCGGCGGCGGGGGATGAGCCCGACGACGATGTGCTGGCGGCGGTTCGAGGACCACAGCCTGATCGCGGGCATGGACGGCTCGGTGCTCGCGGACGTCGACGGCGAGGACCTGCGCATGGCCTGCCTCGTCCTCGACCAGCTCGACGAGCTGCTCCTCGAGGTCTTCCTGTCCAAGTACAGCGGCAAGATCAGCTGGAGGCACCGCGTCACCGGCGTCGGCCAGGACGCGGAGCGCGCCTGGGCCGACGTCGAGACCCCCGACGGCCCCAAGAGGGTCTACGGAGACTACATCGTCGGCTGCGACGGCGCGACCAGCCAGGTCCGCAAGTCCCTCTTCGGCGACGAGTACCCCGGCTTCACGTGGGAGCGCCAGATCGTCGCGACAAATGTGAGCCGTCCGAGGTCTCCGTCGAAAACACGACGGCCGCGCGTGGAAAAGAGATGGCGATGGCTGACCGAGAGGCGCAGGTATACTACGACTTTGAGAAGTTTGGGTTCAAAGACTCCAACTTCATCCTACACCCCGAGCATTTCTTCGTAAGCGTTTATTTTTTTTCTTTTCTCTCCCGCCCTCCGCCCCTGGGGAGGGGAGTTAGCTGGAGAGATTCAAGTACCTACCTTCTCGACAGCGACTAATACGGCGGTGACCTACATCAGATGGCGGCCAAGCTGACGACGGACGGGCTGTACCGGGTGACGTACGGCGAGACGCCGGGCCTGACGTGGGAGCAGATGAAGGAGCGGCAGCCGTGGAAGTACGAGACGATGCTGCCGGGGCACCCGAAGGCGGGGGAGTACGAGATCGTGAGCATGTCGCCGTACAAGATGCACCAGCGGTGCGCGAAGTCGTTCCGGGAGGGGCGGGTGCTGCTGGCGGCGGACGCGGCGCACCTGTGCAACCCGTGGGGCGGGATGGGGATCACGGGCGGGTTCGTCGACGTCGGCGGGCTGTACGACTGCCTGGCGGGCATCTGGGACGGCAGGGCCGACGAGTCCATACTCGACCTCTACAGCCAGAAGCGCATCGAGAAGTGGGAGACCGTCATCGACCCCATCTCCCAGAGCAACTTCCGCCGCGTCTCCGACTCCGACCCGGACACCCTGCTCGAGCGCGACCCCGTCATGCGCGCCTGCAAGGACGCCGAGAACGACCTCGCGACCCAGAAGCAGATGTACCTGTCTTTCTTCGACATGCGCTACGACTTTACCCAGCACTACAAGAAGGCCTGAGCGCGAGGGAGCAAAGAGGAGGAGAGGGGGGCTGAAGAGGGCGGCCAAGGTGTGTTTGTTTCATAATCTGCTGGTGAATCCCTATCGAGCCTGTCCATATATAGGAGGTATATATATTAAGCTGTCTCAAGTACATAGTTGTATCGCACTTTATGAGATGATTAATTCTCCCTACGAATTTCGGCGCCTAGAACGACTCGCCTATCCTCTGATATGAGCCAGCCCATTGTACGCCCCCTCATGTACGAGACCCTTTCCCTCATTATCTTCTCATCGCCTCCTATCTGCTGGTATATCCTATACTCGTCTATTCGTCTATTCATGGTGCCAATGAAGGGCCGTGACCTCTTTAACAAAATCCCGGTCTCGGCCTGCTTTCCAACCCACCATCCCCTGGTATCACTCCAAAAGCAATGCCCCAACAGCGCATCCAACATTACGCCGCGCCTACTATAAGGGTGCGTCATAGTACGGCCGTATATGTGAGCCCCTATCTCCCAAAGCTGCGTTTTCTTCGGGACTGTTTTTCACCGCCGCTCAGCATTTCCCCTTGAGAATCGAGCCAAACTTGAGGTACTTCGCAAGCAGCAAGGTGAGCACCGCCGCCAGCATAACCCCTCCACCGAAGATCCAAGTACCCTGGAACTCTCTCTGCGCGGCCTCGACGGTGTCTTCCAGCTGGGGGCGCTGCGCGGCGCCGCCGAGGGGGTTGCCGACGAGGGCGCCGAGGGCGGCGACGGAGTAGCCGATGCCCATGCGGGTGGCGTAGTCGGCGGGGGCCGGGGTGAAGTTGGCGATGGTGACGACGGGGAGGGCGACGGTGCCGCCGGAGAGGAAGCCGTAGGCGGCGGCGGCGGCGAGCAGGCCGGGCAGGTCGCGCGCGAAGCGGAAGAAGAACATGGCGAGCGCGGCGCCGACGCCGCACGGCACCATCACGTTCAGCCCCCCGTACCGGTCCGCCAGCCAGTTCGGCACCACCCGCCCCGCCAGGCTGCCCCCGTTCATCGCGCTCAGCACGTAGAACGACGTCCCCGGCCCGACCCCCAGCCGCGCCGCGTACGCGTCCACGAAGAAGTACGGCACGTACGCCGCCGCCATGATCAGCGTGAACGCTAAATAGCTCGCGAATCAGCACACATACATACACACACAGGGGACGGGGGTGAGAGGGCGAGCTGGGCCTGGATATCCACGCACACGCACGCAGCGCAGGCTTACCGATGCAGAACACGACGTAGGGCTTGTCGCGGAAGTGCGCGGTGCTGAAGCGGGCGCCGCGCGGCTTCATGTTCGGGCGGAGGCGCAGGATGGCCATGGCGACGAGCAAGCTAGCAGTGACGACGAAGGCGAAGACGCGGACGGCCCAGGGGAAGCCGAGCCGGGCGATGAGGCGCCTGTGCATGATGGGGTACACGATCCCGGCTACACCCACCAAGCTCGTCAGCGGGGTTCCGGGGGGACGGGGCGCAGGTAGGTACCTACCGAGACTGCTGCCGGTGGCGGCGACGCCGACGGCGACCATGCGGCGGCGGCGGAAGTAGAGGGGGATGATGGCGACGGAGGTGAGGCCGAGGAGGCCGGTGCCGGCGCCGACGCAGACGGCCTGGGCGAGCAGGACGTGCCAGTAGCGGGTGCAGGCGCCGAGCAGGAAGAGGCCGAGCGCGGCCAGCGCCGCGCCGCCGCCCAGCACGAGCCGCAGCCGCCCCGCGTCCAGCAGCCGCCCCGCCGCCGCGCCCACCGCCATCATCAGGAACACCTGCACCGACCCGATCCACGCCACCGCCGACGGCCCCGCCCCCGCCAGCAGCGTCGCCGTGTAGTACGCCTGGAACACCCCGAACGAGTTCGGCAGCCCCCTGGCGCCCCGCCCGGTCAGCGAGTCTTCTCTTCTTCTTCTTCTTGTCGTCGTCGTTGGGAGCGCCGCCGCCGCCCGCGCGCCAAACTCACCACGTGTTCGCGAACAGGATCCAGCACCCGAGCACCTGCAGCCAGGGCCCCACGCCGCGGTCCATCGGCAGCCCGTCGTCGTCGTCGTCGTCTTCGTCGTCGGCACCCGGGGCTGGAATCGCCTGCGCCTCGGAGTCGTCGCCGTCCGAGGCCAGCGCCGCCGCGGCGACCACCGCATCGTCCTTCTTCGGCTCCGCAGACATCCTCGCCGAGACTGGTTGTGTTAATGTACGGGTTTATTTTTCGCTGATACAACAACCGCTGAACCAAGAATAAAGCCTGCCCCCCCCCCCACAAAAGATCTTGACGCGAGCACGGTATAAGCCGACTACATATACCTGCCTACGACTGCGCGGGCCGACGTCGACGGGAAGATCCCTCGTCGGTATGCGATTACATAATCAATATTCGAGATCGACGGGCCATTTTGTCCTTGTAGGCAGGTATAGGGACCCGAGCATGTAGGTATAGGTCTATTTCCCGTATATTAGACATACACCTGCGCGCCTAATAGCAGGGGGAGTCGAGAGGGATGCAGGAACATCTTTCCGCCTCTTCCTCCCGCTTACTCACCATTCCCGCCGGCAGACGTGCTGCGTGCGATCTTACGATGGCCGGGTTTCTCTTAGTAATGGCCGCCCCCCCCCCGAGCCGCGGCAGAGCCCAGCAGCAGCGACGAGACCCACCTCGGATCGAGTGAGTGAGTTGTGTGCCATGTTATCGTGGTTTGTGTTGCGGGTGTTGACTGCCGATCTGAGGGAATCCCCCACGAGGTTCTTTGTCGCGCGAAACACGCCCGTCTAAGTGTTCACTTAGGTAGAGCTGGATGCGCTACTTGCCTACGTGGCCAAGCGCCCAACGCAACACGGCTGTCCTGTGTCTGCTGTAGGAGATGACGGGGCTAATACACGAGAGAGTAAAGAGAAAGGAGTCAAGGTATGGAGGTAGGAATAAGCTATGGTTTGCAGACTACCCTGCTCCATGTGCTCGCCAGGGCAGCCAATAGAATGAAACGGGAGTTATGCCAGGATGGCTAGACTCGAAGATTCTCTGCTCAATGCTTCGTTACTGGCAATTGAGCGGAACCCGTTATCCGTCCGGAATCAGCATTCCATCAATACCCTAACCTGCTGAGGTTAGGCACTCGCCGTAGACAGTTAAAACTCGATACCATCCACCAGTCCGTAAATTAGCTAGTGAGCACATTAACCGAATTTCTAGAGGTTAGCGACGGAAGTGAATTGTTTCAAACGCCATAGTAGAATGCTGGTGAAGACTAGTTATGACATTAGGACAAGTTGCGGTTGAGGATTTTCGGGTATCACAACAAGATCCGTAACGAAAAAGCCCGAGGCCTGTATGCCCAGACGTCAAACTCACTAAATATGTTACATATAACTTTTAAAGAGCCTCCCCCGTCCTGCCGTAGCGGACATAATAGGATAGGCATTGAATTTACAGGAATTTACAGGCTCGCTTTCCCCCTCGACTCGAACGGTAAGGTTAGCACGATGAGCCCGGCGGCGATGAACAGCGCCCCGCTCGTGTAGACGGGCGCGGCCGTCTCGAGGTTGGCGAACATGGCGACGATGGGGGCCATGATGCCGAAGATGCGGTTCGCCGTCGCCGTGAGCGCGTTTCCCGTGCCGCGGTCGCGCGTCGGGAACAGCTCGGGCGTGTAGGCGTAGAGCACCGCGTACATGATGTTGCTCGTGAAGCTGTACGCGCAGTTCCAGCCGAGCAGGCTCTGCGAGTTCGTCGCCGTCGTCGAGCAGTACAGGAACACGCCCGTCAGCGCCGTGCTCGAGCTCAGCGCCCCCTTGCGCCCGAACTTCGGCAGCTCCACCAGCAGCCCCCCCACCAGCGCACCCGGCACGCCGAGCACCGCGATGATCAGCGAGTTGCGGTACGTGATGTACGTCGACCCGTCGCCGAAGTCGACCCCCCGCGTCGCCTGGATGTAGGGCAGGAAAGCGTTGTAGAGGGGGTACCTGGTGATAAAATGGATTAATATCGAGGACTTGAGTAGTCTTGGCGTTTTCGGACTTACCCCAGACCGATAAAGGCCCAAACTACCATCAATGCGGCCGTACTGTACGCCAGCTTTTTCGTCACGAAGAGGGCCCGTATGTGGGTAAAGTTGACCGCTTCGAGCCTTCGCTTCACGGCGTCACTCGCCGTGGTCCCTTGCTCGTACCCGTCCGGCTCGCACGCCTTAAGATCGTCGACGGTTAGGTCCGAGCTCTTGCCGTTCCGCCGCGCGACTTCGTGGACTATGTGCACGGCCTTGTCATCCAACCCCTTACCCATAAGGTACTTGGGCGACTCGTAGATAGTGAAGCAGAAGAAGCGGAGGATGAACATGACCAGCGTCAGCCCGCCGACGGTGATTATGAAGTATCGCCACCCCATGTTCTTGCTCCTCGTGCAGTCGTTGTCTTCCTGTTGGCAGGTCATGTAGCCCAGGAGCGGCCACGCGATCAGGTTCGCGATGACCTGCGCTAGCGCCCAGTCGACGGAGAGAACCGTAAGCAGGTACTGGTGAGACCCGGGGAGGAACTCGAGGAATATGGCCGAATCGACGGGGAGGTTGCCGCCGACGCCGAAGGACCAGAAGGAGGCAAAGACGCCAATAGCGGCGAAGTTGGGTGCGGAGGCGGCGATCATCCCCCATACCGCGGTTAAGCCGAGGGTCAGGTTGAAGGCCCACCTCCGACCAAAGATGTCGCAGCCAAAACCCCAGAACATAGCCCCAGCCAGTAAGCCGATATTCTGGGCCAGGCTGAGGAGCGGGGGGCGCGACGGCGAGAACTCATTCGTGATGGGCGTGAAGATGAGAGACGTGACGATGGGCCAGAGGTTGTCCGAGGCCCAGCCAAACCCCACCACGGCGAATAGCTGCCATTGGTACCACCCCATGCCGATATCCTGAATCTGTAACGCCAATACCGTTAGGGCGATCTGTGTTGCACGGAATGGCGCAGTAAGCACGAGACATGGAAAAGAGAGAAAGTTCTTACGGCTCTGTTTAGCACTCTCGCCTTCGCCTCGTACACGGGGTCGATGGTGCCTTTCGGGATCGTGCTCAGATCGTTGGTCCCGACGTCGATATCCTCGCCCGCGATGGCGGGCTGTTGCCCATCGTCCTTCCCATCTTCCTTTAGTCCCGACATGGTGTTTTCTGGGTAGCAGATATTCCACTCGATGGTTAAGAGGACCCTGGACCACCGGAATCACCAGACGAATAATTATACCGACAAGAGCAAGACCAGCAGTGCCTAGCAACAGTGATAATAGCAATATGAGGTCATCTCCAAGGTGCGTAGCCCAGCCCTGCGCAGACGTCGACCGAATGAGAAGCTAGAGCTACCAAGCTAGCCACTACAGAACGTAGCAAGGAACGGAGGAGGTGGGGAGGAACGGAGATAGAGTCGTCTTTTTATCCTGGTCTTTATCCTAGTTGCGACGGACGACCCGCGGATCGAAAGCTTGTTCGTCGAAGCGCGAGAGGGAGAGAGGAGAGACAGAGTCCCGTGCCTACCGTACGATGTGCTCTCACCCTACTGTGCACGCTACATTACCTGCTGTTCACGCGTAGCCCAGGCACAGACACACACGCTTTCGCGCCCCCTCTCTCCACACATAACATGCGTGTCCACCTATTACGCCTCTCCGAAGGCATCCAAACAAAGGAACCGGAAGCCCTCAGCTTCGATCAGGCAAGGTAAGCTGGCGATGGCGTGCTCGCCAATCCTGGCGCCGGGGGGCGGTTTGACGCAGGCCTGACGACTGGAGATTGGCGGGCAGCCTCGTGCCATCGCGGATCTTCCAGCGATCGAGGGGGGATCCATGCTGACACCGCCGTTTGTTCCCCAAGCCAAGAGGGCGGTACCCCGGAGAGTTAGGGATCCTGCCCGCCGATTGTCGTTCCATGGAACCGAACTGGGCGACCGAGAAATATGTGCGCGTGCAGAGGGAGATGAGACGGAGAGAAGGGAGAGGGAAAAAAAAGAGAGTAGCTTGACCGGTGCCTAATATAGGAGGTATTTGTACTACGCCTATGTGGGTTGCGTATGACACGTAATCACGGGTAACAGAATCGGAAGGGGATTACCAGGTGAAGCAGATGCGCAGCAGTATAGGTAGCTAATCATGCTTGCGAGGTAGGTAGTAATGGAATCAGCGAATGCTATCGTCGTCCGCTAATGAAGCCTTTTCTATTGCTAATACGAATAAAATCTCCTGCCTCATGTGTATGAGTAGGTACAGGTAAAGTGAATAGTAGGTAACGCCGCGCGAGCTGTAGTCGGTAACCTGTAACACCCCGTCATCGCCCCGTCATTCCTTTTCCCGCCCTTTGCTCGTAACGACGTAACCCGCATTAGGTACCTAGGTACCTAACCCAAGCTACGTTACATTTCCATTACCTAGGTAACCCATTTTACCAACGCCGTTGTCATCTCTCCTCCTTTTCCTTTTCCTTTCCCTTTTCCCTTTCCTCCTTTAAAAAAAAGGCAATCAATGCTCATAAACAACAATCCCTCGAACTAGCCGTGGACTCCTCACGGGCTCTCCCGCGTCCTCGGGCCCGGGAGAGCCCGTGAGAAGTAGCCGCACCATCACCACCCACACCATCCGCTCGATCAACCACAACGATAGCAGCATATAGTGCTGCACCCCTTCGCCGCGTTCCTTGGGCCTAGCCCGCCATCGTCAGCACCCACCCCTCCATGTCCTCTCTGCCAGACCTCAGCGGGCCCAGCGCCTCGTCGTCCAGCTCCTCGACCCGCTTCCCCTCCTCCTTCTCCCTCTCCCTGTTCGCCTCGCAACCCCCTGCCGGCAGCTCCACGCTAGCCCCGGTCCCCGCCGTCCCGAGCCGCCGCCCCAGCGCCGCCGCGAGCACGACCAGCGCCCGGTAGCCGAAGAGCGAGCGCGCCGCCGGGCACTCGTGCGGCGCGACGCCGAACGGCATGTAGGCCTCGCTAGCGGCCAGGGGCGCGGCGCGGCGCGCGCGCGTGCTGCTGTCGGAGCCGCCGCCGAGAAACCGCGCCGGGACGAACCGCGCCGCGTCCGCGCCCCAGATCCGGACGTCGCGCTGGATCTTCTCGACGTCGGCCGCGACGGTGACGAGCGGGGTGGAGGCCGGGCCCGTGAGCTGGGAGGACAAGGGGGACGCTCGCGCCGCGCGGTAGATCCGCTTCGTGGGCGGGTAGAGACGTAGTGCTTCCTGTTTGGGGGGGTAGAGGTTAGCGGACGGGTACTCGTGGCGGGAGTGGCTGCTGGCATGCCGAGTCTTGCGGGTAGGTGCAGGGCTAGGTGTGGGCGGTGGCCAACGAGCAGGGGAGAGGGAGAGCATGTAGGTAGGCGAGCACAGGGGGCGAGACCGTCCCGCGAGAAAAACATACCTTTGCAAACGCCAGCGCCGTAGCCTGTTTCTCGCCTTCTTCCTTGAAGCACTCAGGCACACTGTCCATCACCTCGTGGAACATCCGCCGCGTCTCGCGTCCAGCCCGGAACCCGGCCGAGACGAAGGCTAGCAGGGCGACACGCCACATTGTCTCGTACGCTGGCATGATCAAGTTCAAAGGGTGGTCCTCAGGCACGCTCGACACGCGGTTAGGCAGCAGGCGTCGCAGAGCTTCCTCCAGCGTTTCTTTGTCCCGCTGTAGACCGTCTGCCAGCGCCGTGGTCGTCGAGGCACTGCCGTTTTCGCCGTTAGGTGTCCAGTTCTTAGACGCCACCCAGAGGCGGTTGATTGCCAGCGTCGCCGCGTCTGCATCGTCGACGTCGACTGCGTCCGGGTTGACGCCAAAGAGAGCAGCTAGGATGGTGATGAAGACGAATACGCGGGCAATCCGCGCTAGAGGCACATCAGCTCCGGGGGCAGCGTCGCCGCCGAAGCGGGCGAGGGCGCGGCCCAAGGCCCCGTCCGCGGTGTGCGAGAACGAGGTCCAGCCGGCATCGTTGTTCATCCTATTGATGAAACCCCTGGCTTCTCTCAGGAACTTGCTGTGGACGTCGGGCATACTGGTGGTGAACGAGTTGACGATGCCGAACGTGTCGACGAGCCTCGCGTTGGGCGCCGCCCGCGCTGCCAGCCGGCTTGACAGGTCTGTGGCGCCGCATTCCTTGAAGGAGGCGATATCTCGCTGCTCACGCGCCGACTTCATGGCGACGTCGTGCTGGAGAAGCGCACGCCGGGAAGTAAAGTACTTGACGGCCAGCACGGTGACGAAGCTGATGAAGCCATACTCGATGGCAGTAACCCAGAGTGAGCCAGTCATTGCTGATATGAGGGTAAGAAAAGCGTCTACGGTCAAGTTGATGGTCTATTTGACCTCGAGGAGAATCACGACTACCCCGTCCTTTTATGCTCGAGACTTTCCCAAGGATGCCAGGGGCAGACACGACCGCAGCCAGTTCTCCTTAGGCACAGGGCTTCTATCGCGCTCAAACGCCATCATTAGACCTTCGGCGAGATCCCGTACCGCCGAGCGAACGACGGCGTCGGACGAATTCACAGACACCCTTTCCAAGGTCCCTATCCCGTACACAAACGCCCACCAAGACGACGCCACCAGCCAAGGGGATTGGTTGATGAGGGCATTTTCACCCTGGGGCACCTAAACATCCCTCCAGCTTCACAGTGTTGACTAAGTTAGGCATACCTAATACTGTGGGCAGTGTTGGATTTACACAGGCTGACATAACAGACAGCAGTTTCAGAAGCCCCCGCGGGCCAATGTAAGTCGGCCACATAGCTTGATACTGAATGACGGGTGCGAACAACGCCGCTCGTATCGCCGGGTCAGGAATGGGTTGACATTTCTAATCCTCTACTCTTGCGTCTCCCCGGCGCAAAAGGGGGCGGACATAGCGCGTGGCCGAGTAAACGACCCATCTTGTAGAGACTAACTAGATAGGGCCTGCTACAATTACGCCAATCCCCTGTTTACCTAGGGCTGAGCCTGAGTCGATCGTCGATCGTCGGTGTGCCACTGGGTGTACCGGGGGATATGCTGCGGCGCAGTGCATCCCTCTGCGGTATGGCACGGCGTGCTTATCACAACATCCCTGCCGTCAGTCGAAGATTACGTACTCCAGTTCTCCTCCACGGAGCTGTATACCGGACTCTCCTTTCACCACGCACGCTCCTGATGTCGTTCGTCCGTATCGGGAGGTTGTTCCACCCCCCCCCCCCCCCCCCCTGCGCGGCTGATAGGTGCCCGTTGATTTCGTGTGAGGGCCTAGTCACGGTGGATTCGTGTCCGGAGAATTGCGCTGCATAAACTCGGGTCACCCTCCCCTTCCCTCTCCGCTGATCCGTTTCCCTCCTACCGCTCTTTGCTGCCACTGATCCCTCCGAGTATTTCGACGAGCCAGCCGTGTGACGATCGCCTCTCCTGGGTGGCGATATGCCAGCTGGCCGAGCTAGATGGTTGGTTGGTTGGTAGGTGGACATGTAAAGAGCAGCAGGGCACCAAAGCAGCGCCGGTGTCGAGGTACGCTTGTGTATATTTGAGCTGAACCCACAGTTCCCGGCGGCGCTGGGAACTATACTGCCTTGTATCTATGGTATCTAGTATGCCTGTGTGTGCATGTGTGTGTGTGCGTGTCCGTGAGTGTGAACCCGTCGTAATCGCTCTGCCCCCGCCGAGAGTGTAGACCCGTCGTAATCCCCCGCTCCCCCCAATTTTCCCATCTCCCTCCCCTAAAGCTCACCCGCTCCAAGTCCATGTTTATACGGGGAAATGAAGCAGCCAAGTGAACGCCACTGTGTATGCAAGCGATGATGCACGTCGCTTTCTGCTGTCCGGATGATGTACATGTTGACCCACCCCCAACCCGGGGGAAGTCCATTCCTCTTTCTCCCTCTCCTGAACGCCGGTGTGGCTGTGCTTAGGCCCGCCCACCCGCGCGTCCGTCCGAATAGAGAGATAGTCATTACCCGCCGTTAGCCTCGTAGCATGACCTCTTCCCCCTTTCCCCCCCTCTCTCACCGGGCCGCGGTCTGCGTCCGCAGGCGTAGGGTCCGCAGGCGGAAAGTGGCCGTCTTCATGTCGAAGTTCTCAGTCTTGGGGTCCCAGAAGGCGGCCGCATCGATGGTTAGGAAGCAGCGCGACGTCGTGACCTCGACGAGCCCGCTGACGTAGATAGAGCCGCGCGGCGGTAGGTCGCGGATCGGTCGCCACGTCTGCGCGAACGTCTGTTTAAACGCCTGCCACGCCCCGCTCGTGTGTTCTTGTGTGTGCCGGATGATGTAGATGTCGCGCACGCCCTTAGGCTTGCCCGGCTCGGCGCCGGGCGGCAGGGGGAGCGCGCCGCCGGCCCCGGCGTCGGGTGCAGGGGGCTGCTTCTCGGCCGGCGGCTCCGCGTCCGTCGTCGAACCACCGCCGCCGCCGTCGCCGTCATCCGTCGCCGTCTGTGTGCTAGCCGACGGGAACGACGTGCTCGGCTTCTTCCACTTCTGCTGGATGCGGTCGACAGCCTGTTGCAGCGGCGGGCTCGGTGTCGGCTCGAGCCCAAACAGCTTCGCGATGTAGAGCGCGTTCTGCTTCATCAGCGCTTCCGAGAAGCTCCACAGGGATACGGTGAGGGCGGACGGCCAGAGGGCTCGCTGCGTCCGGAACACGACCAGTGAGTCCACCGGCTGTTCGCCGACATAGATACTATCGCTGTCTATGCATATACTACACAATGTCAGCGTCGCGAGTCGTTGCGGAGAGGGGAGGGGGAGAAGTAGCGAGGGAGGGGAGGGAGGGGGGTGACAAACCCTTTTCGAACGAACGTGGGTGGCGGCCGTGGCGGGTATTGGATGTCTAACCAATACCTTCCTAGTTTCATGTCTCGGCCGCATCTTTGCGTGAGTTCGGGCGTGGCCACTGCCATTTTCCTCACGATCTCAGCCAGGCTGCCTGTGTGGCGATTGTGGTCAGCGTGCGAGTTCAGTTTCTGCCCTCTGGGTTCGCTAGCTTACCCTGGATGGCCCTCATCTGATCCTTGTTCTTGCTCACGCGGACAAAGGTCTTCCACTCCGGGTCTGAGTATCGGTAGGGCGGGGACGGGACAGCCTTGGTAGTAAAGGGCAAGGGGATGAACAGGGGCTCGAGTAATTCCTCCTCCAGCTCCTCCCGCTCCGACGTCGTCAATTCCTTCTCTTGCTCGTCCACCCAGGCGCCGAGGGTGCCGAGGACGGAGGCTTTGTAGACCCGGTAGCAGACATAGTAAATGCAGCCGGCGATGATGATGTTCCTGCAGCGCGTGACTTAGTTCATGGTGATGGTAGACGGGCAAGCGGCGATGCACCGCCAGTGTGCTGTCCTACCTTGGTCGAAACCACTTGCGGCGGATGTTAACTCTGTGCACTTGGATAAAGTGAGGCTGAGGACCAGCAGACTCGGCAACGCCACGGGCGGCGTGGACCCTAGAGGCGAGGGAGAAGAGATTCGGTCGCGACCGCAAAAGTCGTAACATGACGGGCAGGCGATGGAGGCGCGCCCGGAGCCGGCGGCCGCGAGGGCGAGATCGGCTACAGCTTTCTCGGCGGGCAGTTGGTACTGGTGGGGGCACCCGCGATAGGTACCTATATGTAGGCAGATAGGTATGGATTTACGATGGTCGCATCGAAGTGGTCGTGGATGTGCCGGCGTCGCGTCACATCGTTACCGTCGCAGCGGCTCGTAGACGAGGATATCGGCTGGTAAGTAGTGCGTAGAGATAAAAGTTGTTGAATTGTTGCGAGGCAAAATCACAGCCTCCTAATGTTGCGAGTTGGTGTCCGAACCTCTCTCATTGTAGACTATCTTATCACATCGCCTCACGTGCTCTGCTTGGGTCTTTTCTCGACCTCGGATTTACTGGATTTACCGCGTACAGTGTGAGATCTGGTATATCTTAGCTAATAATCCCTTACCTAATCATCCCTTCGACTTGTAGGTAGGTACAACAAACCGGCGAAGGTACCTGATTGATGGTGCACGTCGACGATAAACCATCTAACCTCGTATCCTCAGCACCTCAGCACGCGCATCAGAAGCTCTCCGCTGCTCCATCCCATGACCGATTGCTTCGGGCGCCGAGCTTCAAACGAGACAGCAACCTCGCCATCATGAAGCTACACAGCTTCTTACTCCCGACTCTGGCCGGCATCGCCGTTGCCAGGGTAGAAGAACAGCCACAACACGCAGAAACCTACATCATCACGCAAGCTGAGACGACCACCACCTCCTCGAATCCTCCGTCCATACCGAACGATCTCGCCCGAGCCATCCTCCTCCAACGCCTCAGTACCCCCGATAAACCGTCGGCGCTGGGCCGACTTCCCGAGTCCCTCGCCGACACCGACGCCGTCTCCTACATCAAGCAATTCGGCAAGCAGCCCCGGCCGCTGTTCGAAGACGCCGCCAGCGAATCGAGCCAGCTGGTCATCACCTTCTCCGGCATCACCGCCGACAACTATGATAGCCTGAGGGCCGCCCTGTCGCCCCTGCCCGTCAGCTTCACCGTCCCGGGACTGAGCCGACTGCCCACCAGCCTATGGAATCAGAAGAAGCGGAGCTGCGCGTTCGCGTCGTCCATCAACCCAGAGGACGGCAAGTGCTGGAAGGGCCAGACTCAGTACCTAGCGTACGACGCCGTCAAGGTACGTCACACCTCGCCCGCGTCGACCGCGGAGATCCAGGGGGTAGGTAAGAGGGAGTAGAGCAGCATGCTGACTTGCGTGGGTTGTATGTAGGACAGCAGCGTGATCGCCGAGCTGGGCAAGAACCTCGACGCGCTGCGCGCCCGGGCCCGTGACGGCAAGCTCGAAACGACCATCGTGCTGCTCGCGCCCGCCGGGGCGGCACCGGAGGAGCTCCGGCGGCGAGACGGGTTCGAGTCGGAGGAGGTGATCGCGGTGAAGGACGCGGACGGCGCGCGCGCCGCGTCGGGGCCGGGGGCCGGGACCACGTTCGTGTCGGACAGCAAGCCGCTGCACGCGTTCGCGTCGCGGCCGCCGCCCGTGTTCCCGGCCTGCTTCGCGTCGCACAACGCGTGCGTCACCGCGACGGACAGCTGCTCGGGACACGGCGAGTGCGTCAACTGGTGGGCCAAGCGCGGCGCCGCCAAGCGCGACGGTGACGGCGACGGCGACGGCGACGCGTGCTTCGCCTGCCACTGCCTGGCGACCCCGCACGGGCCCAACAACGTGCAGCGCTGGGGCGGCGGCGCCTGCCACAAGCGCGACGTCAGCACGCCGTTCTGGCTCTTCGTCGGCGTCGCCACCGTGCTCGGCGCCACCGTCGCCTTCGCCGTCGGCCTGCTCTTCTCCGTCGGCGAGCAGAAGCTGCCCGGCGTCATCGGCGCCGGCGTCTCGCGGTCCAAGTGAAGCAGCGCGGAGTCGTTATATCCCTATTTCTTGCTATTATTGTAAAAGAACGCGAAAGAAAAACAACTGGGGCCGAGAGAGGACGTCGTGGAATTTGGAAAGCGGCCAGGCGGGATAGATGTACTGGGGCCGCGCGCGGCTGTAGAGGAGCGGCGGCGCAGATGTGTAAGAGAGACGAGAGAGCAGGCAAACAGGTAGGCCGATGTGGGAACGCCGAAGCCGGCATCGCACGCCCGTGTATTCGATAATCGAGGAGGAGGATATGGCGTGGTGCCAGCTGCCTTCTGCCCGCCTACCTGTTTGTTTTCATCCGCACGGTTTCTCCTCCCGTGGAAACGGGGGCGGGCAAGACTTTTTTCGGTATCGGTTTTCGTTTATATATCATCGTGCGTGCGTAGAAAGGTCGATAGGGTCAGGGTTAGGCAGGCCAGGCAAGTTCCATATATAGGTAGCACGCACACATAGCAGGACAGTTCGATTTCTGCAGTATTTCTTTTTTCTAGCCCGTTAGATCTAAATTGACTTGGGAGTTACCTTCATTCTATTCCTCGAGTTCATTCCCTTCGTCCCGTGGGTATCATAGCTATCTAGCGCAACGGCAAGGCGCGGTATAAGAGACTAGTACTACCGTCACGACCACTGCGAGTCGTAATTCTAGCATGTTTTTATTGCCCCATCCACCATCATCATCTTCATCTTCATGTTTCCAACCCTCCCGGCTGCCTCACCGGCGTCGTGCCGAGGCTCTCGAGCCCCCTCTGGCCCGGCGTGTCTCCGCCTCCGGCCCTGACCTGCTCGAGGAGAGATTTCGCCGCCGCGAAGTTATCCGCGTGAGCCGTCCTCCGCGGCTCCCCGTCAGCGTCTCCGCTCGCGTCTCCCTCCGCCGTGGGCGACGCAGCCGCAGCGCCCGTCCCGCCTATCATCAGCGCGCGGTACCGCTCGCCGGCCTCGTTGAGCAGCCTCTGGACCTCGGGCTCCCTCTTCAGGACGCCCTCGCGCTCGGCCTGCAGCTCCGCTATGCGGGCGCGCAGCCTGGCCATCTGCTCCTCCTTGGCGCGCATCCGCTCTTTGAACGCGTCGACGAGGACGCTGAGGTCCGGGAGCGGGGTTATCTTCGGCGGCGGCGCGAGAGCTCCCCCCGAGGACTTCAGGAGCCGCCGCCGCTGCTCCTCCCGCTCCGCAGCCAGGCCGTCCATGCCCGCGCGCGTCTGGGCTGCCTCGTAGGCGGCGCGGCGCTCGGCCTCGCTGTCGTCCGAGGCGTCGCCCCCGCTGTCGTCGCCCTCGGCCGCGGTGATCAGGGAAGCCATCTCGGCGCGCCGACGGCGACGAGCCTCGCGCTCAGCCTTACGGCCGAGGGACAAACCGCCGTCCTCAACGAACTCTTCGAAACCCTCCCCGAGGTCCTCGTCTTCCGCGACCAGGCGCGTCGTCTCGGACCTAGGCAGTTTGTTGTTGGAACGGGAGAGGACGGTGAGGTAGGAATCCCCGCGCCCGCGTTGGTCCTCGTCGTCGGAGAGCGAGATGAAGTCGTCAGCTTCTTTGCCACCGCCACCTTCGCGGGCGAGACGCGCCCGCCGGGATTTCTTTTCCTGGATCTCGGCCTCGGTTAGGATGGCTGTGGCGTTGGCGGGGGCGGGAGGGCCGACGGATAGCGAAGTTGGCGTATCCACAACCAAAGCTCCTTCGAGCTCCGATGGGTCGAGGACCATCTCGTCTTCGTCGCTCGTCGGGTGGAGCTTAGAGAGGTCCTGAGGCACATTCGGGGTCGAGAGTTGCAACTCGGAGAGATATTCTCGGCTGTAGCGGGGACGGTCCTCGTCGCTGTCAGTGGAGCGCATTGGTAACCGGCTAAGTGGCAAGTTGTTCTTGGAGAAGCCTTTCTTGTAGGCGTTGTTTTCCGCCGCGGCGTGTGCAAGCGCGTTGTTGCGTCTACTTGATGTGAAATTGCCCTCCCCTAAAATCATAGAGTCTTCGTCCCCGGCAGGTTCATCTTCTCCGGGACCACCGAATGATAGCCGTGACGTCGAGGCCGGCTTCTTGCCCTTTGTAGAAGCCGCTTTCGCCGCTGGTAAGGGTCGAGTTCGTAGGGACACGCCGCCATCCTCGTCATCCTCTGCCTCTTCTACAGCCTTTTTCGTTCCCGCTTGGTCGGAGAGTGGGGTATCGTCGTTACTGCTAACGCCCTTCCGGAGAGAGGATTGTTTAAAGGGTTTGCGGCTTGTCTTGAAGGACGGCTGCAACGCCGGTCCCTGCGACTCCTGCGGCGGGTTCAGTGATTCGGCCGGGATTATATCATCGTCGTCGTCCCGGACAGCAATTTTACGGGCTTTCCGTTTGGCGCCGAACGCGCTCATCGTGCGTAGATGGTTTTGGACTCGATGCTACTCCCGTCGCCAATCCCAGCGAATGAAGGAACGGTGTCTTAACAAGAGAAGCTGTTTATTATAGGAGTTATTTCGAATTTGTCTGTGTGTCAGGGCAGGATGGATTCACCCAATGCTGTCGTAAAGCAAGGTTGAAAGTTGAGAGTTGAAGTCCACTCGGTGTCGTATTATGGTGGTAGGTACCTGGAACCCACTTATCGATGGTGGTGCCTGGCTTATCTTATCGCCACAGGCCAATCACCAGAGAGGGAGAAGAAATATGGCAGGCATCGAGTACCCCGGTTCTCTAACACATCCTAAGTGATTAACGCCTAAATCCACAGTGTGGGGTTGCAGAGCCTCAAAGACGCCGGCCTTGTGGTTGAATACAGGCACCTTATGGTAGGAGATGAATTGGGGAGATAGATAAATCGAGGTCTGTGGAGAAATGTATTTCGAAAGTAGCGCCTGTGCAATATGTATACGTGTAGGTACATCAATTGGTTCGGCCATGAACACAGTTCAGGTTACCAATCATACCGGTTGGTTAGGGATTAGGTAACCTGCAGTAGCCGTAGGTACCTACGTAGAGGTGGGTACCTACTCTTCTCGCCGCGAACTTACCGCGATCCACTGCACCTCAAGCTCTTTTCCGCCATCAACACCCACCTACTACCACCCATCCCAAGTTCACGTTGCGAAACACGCTTCCCGCCAGCTCCATCCATCTCACCGGCCTCTGAAAATATGGCGCCCGCACAGCCAGAGCTGAAGAAGGTACCTGTCGTCCATCTCGTCAGCCTTGGTAGCACCCCACTAACCCTATCCGACACAGTACCTCGACAAGAGACTGTTCGTCCAGTTGAATGGGAGCCGCAAAGTTATAGGCATCCTCCGCGGTTACGATGTAGGCGATATTTTGCTTCCCCTCTTACGAATCGAATACACGTGTCCTTTTGCCGCCAGTCTTCTGACCGATGGTGTAGGTCTTCCTGAATATTGTGCTGGACGATGCCGTGGAGGAGAAAGATGGAGGCGAGAAGGTCAAGCTAGGGATGGTCGTACGTATCATAAGGACCCATACTGTCGGCATTACCACAGGCTAACAGCTATCGATCAGGTCATCCGAGGCAATTCCGTGGTGATGCTAGAAGCGCTGGAGAGAATTGGCGGAGACCGAGATAAATGAAAGCACGACGACAGAGAGTACTACAGCAAACACCAAAAGTTCCAGGCAACGCCTCGGTTTTGATACCCGTACAGGAGCGAGACGGGAGTGCATTTGACTTTTTTAGGGATCTAGGTCTCATCGTTGGCGTTGATGCAAATGGCAAAATCTTGCATGGGGTACCGTCCATAAATAGGGGTAGTTCAGTCGCCCCATCCGTCTGGGGGGGGGGGGATCAGCTAACAACGGGAAACAAACTCGACGTCAAATATCACCATTTCAAGAACACTGGATTTCCAACAGCCATTTCAACCTAGACCCGAGGGGAGGTTAGAAATGTCGAAGGGCGTGACTAGCGAGAGATGTGCCCCGGTAGCCACACCGCCTTTCCTCCTTTGAGTCCAGTCAACTGGACCTGGCATCAATATGAGGCGCTTTCTACCATGGCATTCTGGCAGTCAGTTGGGGTTCTTTCTGGCAGGAACAGAAGCCTCTAGATTAAGTAATAACTTCGATGACACCCGATGGATGGAGGTGTTGCGGCAGCGAGTAATCTCGTACCCTCGGTAACCTTAGTGCCTAGGCGGGTATTCCAAAGTCCGTATCAGTTACTCACCTCCCCCTCCAGTTGGCTAATCAATGGACCATAACAGCGGTACGATTCGGCTGATTCGGGCTAACGTTGCTATTGGGCTCAAGCTGCAGAAGCTACGCAAGAGTGACGACCGAGTTGAGTAATCAAGGTCGAGTGAACTACGCAAATTGTGGTTATTGTTCAACTCTTTGAGCCTCCTAATCCATAAGCGTTAGCCAAGTGAGCGATGATGCCAGTAGCTCACTACAAATTTCCCAATCGCCATATGTATAAAAACCGAGACACCCTCCTCTCATCCATCTCCTTTCTTTCGTCATGTAGAAAGCTATAATGAGCCTACACTTCGCCATCTCGGTTTTCCTTGCCGACAACGACGACGACGCTGCTTTGAACGACGACAGCAACGTCATCGGATCCTAATGCCCACAGTGTCTCGTCATCCAACGGAGCTGAGCCACAGCTGACTGACATGATCGCAGCACTGATCGCCATAACTCATCGCGAGAACATCCTTCCTGGTTCCGCCAACTCCGCGGGGACGGACGGCTTGGTCGAGGTAATGCGCGCGCCGCCAGAGTTCCATTTCTCTATCATGGTGTGCGACGAAGCGCACGTCTTGAAGAACGAGCACACTTTTACCCATAAAATGATTGCGGCCCTCAAGTACGAGAGCCTCTTGTTGAGCTCGGCCACGCCTATGCTGAATCATCCGAGAGACAATCTCGCCTACCTCCGGTTGGTCTTCTGGAAACTGCCGCCGCTACCCCAGCTACCGCCCGGAACCATACCCTCGGACCTCCGCTGATGAAGAGCCCGCCTGAACTTCTGTCACGTAGGGATCAGCGCGTATATGCCAACATACTACAAGTCGTAGAATGTAGGCGTCTATGTTTTACGCGACAACTTCCTAAAGGGATCCGTCTACTATAATGGGCGTAGAGGAAGTGCAGGTCCTAACACAGGGCGCTCACGACGGCGGGGCCACGCGGTTCGTTTCAACAACAATTCGTAACAGTCGAGTGCCGGTCTCGCGGGATCGAATGTCACTATTGAAATACCTGCTGTCCCTGTCCCACCTTTTGCCTTCGTGCTCTCTGAGGCCATCGACGTCGTTCTGGCGCCTCGGACAGAAGACGGATTGCCAAACCGATTCATCATCATGGTTGACTCCCCCTGGACACAGCAGTAAGCCCATATCCCGCCACTATCCCTATCCGTTCCCCCGTCTCGTGCGTTGCCTGCCCTCGTGCGGGTTTGGAGATCTCTATCTCTCTCCCCAACCTCTCCTCGTTTAACCAGGCCCACTGGCCAGAAATCCTTCCTTATATCTTCGCCGTACTTAACTCTTCCACACACGAAACGACTCACTTATCACCCTTTCGGATACTATATGGTATCGAACCGCGCCAACTATACGTCCTATCCAACCCCCCGTCGAACGACTTCCTAACGACTCAATCACAGCATAGACACGACGCGTTTGACGCGATCCATCTAGCTGAGGCTAGAATGAAGTTAATATATAACTACAAATATCCTGGCTTAGGCGACTTGGAAGGCTACGCGTATATTGAAGAGAAACAGCGTGGGCACGTTGTAGGTGACCCGGATAGAACAAGCAACTACCCAACTGCCAACAACTGGCCCAGTGCCGACCAGACGAGGTTATAGCTGCAAACAGCTGTAAACTGTTAATCTGCCAGCTGAAAAGGCAGCTGGGAGAAAAAAGGGGGAAGGAACGCATATTCAAAGGAGTGTTCTATTGTCTGTAGAGTGATGTCTACAGGATTGCTATGTGATGAAGGTTGTACGATGAGAAACTGAGTGCAAGACCCATGTAAATACATATTAGAAAGGCTACGTGGCCTAGTCTCGCCGCACCACTACACTTCATACCTCCTTTGTCTTCGGGCCAGCGACTACTACATCTCTATAACCGTAGGCCAGACTTAAGATATGATTACTGCATTGGATTCCTCGTTTAAGGATTAGTAATCCTATATTAATTTCATCCATCTTAGACCATCGTATGCGTTGTGGTTACTGATAGAGTGTAACTTTGCATTCACTATCCTGGACTCCAACAGCGCGTGCGCTCTGTTCCTTCTCACTATTGAAAAGGAAAATAAAACTAAAATCGCATAAAACTCTTTATACTATAAATCAATTAATCCAAAAAAAAAAAGATTCTTCATAAATTAATTTTATCAAGTAAACTGATTACGTACGTAAATCCTGAGCTTTTCTGAATTTTTACGTAGAAGAATCATATGTTTATAAACGTATACAAAATGCCTGGTCTGCAAAGCGGTGGCCCCTGGAGGGGTACGTCAGCTTATCTGTCTGAAAATGATGCCTATAGTTACCCTATAAAATAAATTGTGAGGCATTTTACGTACCCCTTCTCGAGAGGAAGGGCTGAAAGGCAGCTGATCGGTGCCGGCGAATAGGGTCATTGTAGGTAATTTGATGGTCAAATGATATATCACCGCTGTTGCCGGCACTCGACACTGGGCTCATGCGAGATCTCGCATGGTGCTTGGAATTGGTGCTTAGAATCATCTCTTGCGCGTAGCACTCGGCGATAACAACACAGGAAAGCATCACCGCGATGGAGCTTGCGGCTAGTATTGAGCCTTTTCTTTGCCCCCTAGCCGCGTTCCTCGACCCCAATGACAATGATTTCTATCGGTTGTGCCAAGCAGAGCACAATGAGCTTGTAAACGAGAACCAGTCAACTCTCATCTGGGGCTTGTCGGCCTGCAACCCGTGCAACAGGGTAAACGCTTTCTCCTCCAAAACGGATCATTCATGGCGAGTAGATGGCAGCACAGCGATGGGCCGCCAACTCTTCATCACGCCAACATTCCTGCTTCCAGAGCTTCCCGTCAAACGTATCGACCTCATCATACCGTGTCAATCAAAGCATCCAACTGGCATCCGGCGAATGCTCCGCTCGTCAGCACTTTATCACGTATCGAGCGCGTCAGTTAGGCAATTAGAGATTGTGCAATATCTTGAGCATATCCTCTCTCGATGGTCATCCGGGATTCCATATTTTGATCAGATCTACAAGGCTGTGCCTTTTGGTTCAAGGATAGTTGTCGAAGAGCTCGCCGCCGATATCAACAAAATCAAGGTCAGATTGATACCAAACAAAGGCTTTGCGGAGAAACTCGTCCCACTTGTCCATCTTTACAACCTTTGGAAGCTGCCAGCGGGTTCTTGGCCAGTCTCCGTTCCCGTAGAAGACTTGCAACACATATCCCACTTGAACGGCAATGTGTCGGTGGTGCAACTTCCACATAAACATGGATCAGAACTATTCGTCTTCAAGACGAACCTGAGGGAGCCTAACAGCATATACCATGAACTCAAACTCTTGCTCACAATGGCCCCGCATCCGAATATCATACCAAAACCTCGCTACGTGGTGACCACTGCAGACGATGGAGCACCTTCTCCTAGGCTGCTGGGTTTTATCCTTGACTACTATGGATCCGGGACGCTGCAAAGTGTACTAGAAGGAAACTCGCGTCTCCCATTGCGTACAAAGATGAGATGGGCGATGCAAATTGTGCGTACAATGAGTGCGATAAGCGAAAGTCCAGCTCAGTTCTATTCGGATCTGAAGCCGGACAACCTCATGCTCACGCAGGACGGCCTTGACCTGGTCTTCATCGACTTTGAACAAGCGGGCAACTGGGACACGTTCTTGGCACCTGAGCTCTCATACCAACTATGGATGGAAAATCTATCGCATAACCCGGGTGTCCCACTAGCACAGCGCGAGAGATACGAAAACATCCTCAAGATAGTAGGGAGGCACGGATCAGGAGAAGATGTTCTTGGCCCCACGGACACGTTTCGGAATTCATGGAAATCTTTGCCACCTCCGGAAAGAGAACAGGCCATGGTTTTCACTGTTGGGAAAATTCTTTGGTGCATATTTGAAGAAGTCGCGCATACCCGCAACTCGACTGACGAAAGGTACGAGAAGGAAACACCAATAGAGTTCCCAGCCTTCTCCCGGACGCCAGAGAGCCTTAGGTCGCTGATTCAACGATGTACGATGGGCGCGCCGGAGTGGACACTGAAGGCAGAATACAAAATCATACGCGAGGACCTCAGGTTTGTATCTGTGCCGACATCGGGGGTGATCGGTGCAGGGGACGAATGTACGCCGCACGAAGCCGTGTATGCTGCCAAAAGAATGTGGACATGTCGTGTGCGGCAAATGCAAGATTTTATGGAAACCAGGGCTCGTTGGCTCGCGGGAGCTTCAGTCGAGGGAGACGACGTGATTCTTGGGTATCCTTGTAGACCGTCCCTTGCCCAAGTGCTGTCATTCCTCAAGCTGGAGGACAAAGGAAAAGATGCGGCAGAGGCTTGAGGTAACCAAAGTTATTGTAATATCGACGTATTGTTAGATACATTTACTCAATCTTCTCGCGCTCGACCGGCTATGATCCATCTAGGGGGGGGGTCGAAGACTCAAGTTAGGTAAAACAAATGATTAAAGTGAGAATGCCCGCTTGGTCTAGCACATGCTTCACTACCTAGATCTGTGTCACTCTTCCTTGTCAAATACAAAGGCCCGCACTTCAAAGCTCTCCCGTCCACAGTCTTCAACTCCTTCGATCTTGAAAGACGAGTGTAGACAGACTGGTAAGATTTCGTTAGCGCCAAGGGTCCTAGCTCTGCAACGGAATGAGCAGTCATACATCTTACTCTAGCATCCACTGATGAGTCGTGTATCTTCAGCATTGTCACCTCGTTGGGTTCCTGGTTGGAGAGATAATACCACTTATGCCTCGGGTTAAATCTCGAATAGAACGTCTCGCCTACATACTTCCGCCGAACTAGATCCGTCGTGACGAGGTCTTCTTCGCGCACCGTACTTGAGTCGCATATTGCCAGCGGCCAGTTGGTGGCAGTCGTGAGTGGTTTCCAAACGCTTGGTTAAGATTGAGCCAATTGGGCGATAACCGTGGTTGCGGACCGGTACCACTTACTTTACAATTCTGAACCTTGTCTTCCTCAGACGCTCAGCGTCTTCGGGTAGGTGTACCTCGAGTCTGGTTATAGCGCCTTTGTAACTCTGATCTACAGGAACTCAGTATGCTGTTATAAAAGTAAGAAGGTTAAGATTGCTCACCAACGTGAGGATGGGTTACCGGTATCATCCTGTCCAAGCCGTTGTTCAAGTCTAGAGTCCTTGAATGGAAGTTCTCCATATCCAGGCTCGATCTCAACTGTTGTGCAAGCAAAATTAGCTGCTAGTGCTAGTCACAAAGAGGTCATAGGACGATGAAAGCCGGCATAGTCAACGGACCTTATAGTCGAACACCTTGACAAAGTCAATTGGCTTGCCATCCTGGCTTTCCAGTGTCAATTTTATGAACTGCTCTACGTCTTTGATGTAACCATCTCGAATCCAATCATGGCCTTTGCTTTGAATAGCGTCAGCCCCAAGTCCAGCCCAGTCTTTTGGACCTTCCCATTTCCTCCAGCAGACGCTCTGCTTATCGAGGGTGAATTGGTCTTCTCTGCCTCTAACATCTTCGACAACGGTGGTGCGGTCCTCAAATTGCTGGTTTGTACGTCTGAACCTTTCGGGGTCATTCTCGATGGAAGGAAGGTTGATAAGGATCTCAAAGGGCTTCTCATAGTCGTGGACCTCGGGATTGTACTTGAAGTAGGAGAAGGTCCCGTTCTGTGGCCCTGAACCCGCTTTCGGACGTACTTGGTTTGCTGAGTCAACCATTTTCGTAGTGGTGCGATTGAATACGTTTCAGGGTCTCTTGAGGAACCCAAGTGCTGTGTTGCACTGTCTTGAGTATTAATGATGGCTATTGACTGACCAGGCACCTACTCCCCCCCGCAACGCAGGGATCTGATTCCCCCAGAATAGGACTTAGCATCGAAGAGACGAGGCTCTAGGAAAAGAACCATGGTCGGTTGATATAGAGGACTTGGTGTGGTGTACGGTGGATAGGGGTGACTGGTCGCCACATTATGCAGTGACAGAAAGTGCACGTTACAAGACAGCGGATCAGTGATATGTGGCCGGCCAATATACCCTGGATGACCCAGCCCTGCAGGTAATTATTGACACTTTTGCTGACCGGCTGAGGCGGAATTTGCGGCCTAGCAAGTCTGTCTTGAGCATGTGGTCTGATAAATGCAAGCTATTTCGCTGCGTTGGTTTGGAACGATGAAAACCCCTGATAGAACAGGGTGTGGTGATGCGGGGTTAGGCCAACTACAAAGCCAGAAAAGCTGCACTTTTTGATAAGAGCCTCTCGAGAGCAGGCTGCAACCGAGGGTGGAGTAGAAGGAGGGAGCTGAGCTGAGCGTGGGATGGCTACTCGCATGTTACTCTTTCGACTAGCAAAATAATGGTGTTTGTGATGATTGCAGAAATCTCATTCTGGATACCCAGCATGACACGTAGCTATCAAACTATATTTCTGCTACATAACATCCAGTAAGTTGCTCACTCCACCCATGGTAACCCCAGCCGCTTGAGAGATTGCCCCCCCAATAGTGAAGATCTTCAAGTGGCCTAGAAATATTTCCAAGGGTCAATATGGCTGGCTCTGAGGCCTATCAAAGCAGCTACGAGGTTTCAAGACGTACTCATAGTAGATCAGTCGGGAGCGTTTACTTAGCCAGACATCCCATGGTCATTGAAGCCCTCGTGGACTTTGAACAAGTCGCCGTCGGGATTGTTGGTCTTGCGATATTCCTCAGCTTCCTTTTCGATTTCGGCAAGGTGCTGCTTCCAGGGCTGAACCCTAGAGTCCTCCGGCGCCTTGCTCACCGTAGACTGGACTATGAACTGGGGCACAGTCGTCTCGGGGGTGCTTGCTGGAATGACCTTGTCCATTGTGATTTGTTCTGTTCTTGTTGCGAGTTGGTGTATCTTGAGTGTAAGAGCCTTGGAGAATGAGTTTCGAGGGGGGGAATAACTCCTGGAAGCATACCAACGAGCGCATTTAATACTCCAAGGCTCCCGATGAGGCTCCGGCTTGACATACTCAGTATTTCGTCCTCACACCTCCCTATGTATAGTGATAATGCTGCCAGACCCATGGGGTAGACAGACGGCATGTGATGGGTGTGCTGCTCTGCATACCAACCCCTGTTCAGCGCTCCTGGATCTGCATTTCTCTCCCCCGCTTAGTGCTTGTCATGTATGAAATCAGGCCAACCGATGTGGTCAAATTGGACGAATGAGGTCTCGGAGATAATATGCACAGCTACTGTGTAGTCCTGACCTTCCGTGGAGTGATGAGCCGACATTCCCAATGTACCAAGTAATCGTATAGGAGGGGCAAATTATCTTGATACTCCAACACTTTGCCAGATACATCCATCTTCAGAAGCTGGTCCAAGCCATCCTTGGCTTCTTTCTCTAGGTTTACAGCAGAGGGATCGTTGGGGTCAGTCTTCTTCAGGGTTTGCGATAAGTAATACTTCCCTCGGATCACGTTTTCAACGGGCCATAGGCCACCCTCGGTCGAATTCAGCACTTTTTCAATGTGCTTTCTGAAGTAGGTCAGCCATGTGGTTAGCGTCGTTGTGGATTGCATTCCTTACTTTGCGTCGACATACTTCCCCAAGAAAAAACAGACGATCCCGATATTAAGCCGCACTTCTAGGGTTCGTACGTTATCCTTTCCACAGTCAAGCTCGCAAAATTTGAGCAGATCCCGAAGCATCGCGAGCGCCTGCGGCATATCGCCGTGTTGAAAAAGTACATTTGCGTAATCGAACTTGTACAGAGTCGCTATTTGAGCTCCTGGCGTAGCCTGTTCCACAAGCTCGTAGCCCCTTTTCGAATACTCGACGGCCGTTGCGCTGTCATTTTCATAAAGCAAGACATAAGCCATCTGATTGAAGTACTTGGAGTACTCGTAAGGGATTTCGTCCTCGGTGCCCCATTCCTGGTATTGACGATAGCATAGCTCTAGATTCTTCCGGGCGCCTTCGAAGTCATTGATCTGCTGTTGGCTGCACACTAGGTCTGTATAGCTGTTGTGTAGCCAAATTCTGTCCTCTAGTGTGACGTCTTGGTATTTGATCTGTGCAAAGCATTGTTCACGGATTTTGACACACTCTTTGCGAATTTCAAGACCCTCGTTCCGTTTGGTGAGGGCCATAAAATCGGAACACATGCCAACGATGGCCAGGGAATCGGCCATGAGCCGGCTGACTCGAGGGTAGCCTAAGCGGTCCAGGATCTTCTCCACCATCTTGTTAATTCTGTAGGCTTCCTCTATCCTGCCACGGTCGTAGAGATCCATGCCAGCAACATCCGACAGTAATTGAGCAAAGAAAATATCGCCTTCTATGTCTGGCCACGATCGCTCGAAAAAGCTGAATGCCGTCATAAGATGGGGGAGCACTCGTGTGATGCGAGGCCAAACGTGGGCTTCGGCAATCTGGAGTTTCATCATAACAGAAGTTTCCGAAAAGTTTTCTCGGAGCAGATGGATTACTCTCCGGAAATGCACATCTCGCTGTTCTGGATTGTGGCTGAGCTTTTGAAGCATCGCTGCTTGTGTTGCGCGATGGATTCTAAGTCGATAGTGAGTGCCGGATGATGTCCGCTGTATAAGTCGACCTTCACCTAGTTCTGCAATGAATGAAACGTATCTATTTTCTATCAGCTTCTATACTGCGTCGGTTCGGAGGGAGATGAAGTACCTCGATTTGTTCCGTAAGAATTCCAAGTCCTGGAACTTCACATCCACAAATAGGCCCTCGCTTATGTCGTCTGGATTCATAAAAGCAAGCATGAAGAGAAGACTCGTGGCTCCGGATGACAGCTTCTCAAGAATCTTGTCGTGGGTTGTAGATGCAGCCCTGCCGTATCGCCATGTACCATCGCTTTTCATGTCCAATGCGGTGCTAGTTGTGCGAATGATATCGAGATAGTCCTTGAGTGTGCTTTTAGAAAGCTTCATAAATCCTTGCGCGTGCGTCAGATACAAGGGAGAACCTCCTAGCTCATCCGAGATCTCGCCAGCGATGGTAAGTGCCGTATTGTCCTTTATGAGCTGGGGCATGGCCATCTGCTGCAGCAAGAACTTGGCGCCGGCGACACGGCCGAAGGGCTCCAGATCTAGTTCGCGGTCTACCCAAGGAGCTGACGTTTGAGAAGTGACAATAACGGAACTAGGTTTACGCGATTTAATGAGTTTGTATCGCTTAAAATTTTCCCAATTCTCCACGTTGTCAAAGACGATCAGCCAGGGCCGGTCTACACAAGTCAGCGATCGATCTGCCATGCGGGTGACGGGTTTTACCTTGGGCTTGAAGCCAGTCCAATACAATTTCCACTTGTGGTTCGCCTATCTCAGCGTTATCAAAGAGACCAAGTCTCCTCCCGATATGGCCAAAAGTCTTGAAAGTTTCCGTCTCTTTCTCGGGATCCGCAGGTATCCAAAGTATGATATCATACTTGGATAGACTGTCGCATCTGTATGCAAGCTCTATAGCAGTTTCTGTCTTCCCAACCCCACCAATGCCATGGATGGAAATGGACAGCGGTCTTGCTTCCTTGTGCTCGCTCAGCCACGCTGACAGCGTTTTCAATTCTTTCTTGCGTCCGGTGAAGCTCTTGTTTCGGTCGATCATGATGTGCTGGAAGGGATACTCTATTGTCGGACTAGACTTCGGGGTACCGTTCGAGTTCTTTGCTAGAAGCAGCAGTTGCGCTTGGCTTTGCATCATCACATCATCGACCTGAATGGCTCGAGCTCGTTCGGCGGAATGAACAGCGCGGTCGAAATCTTCAATGTCGCTCTTCAGTTTTTCTTTTGTCTTCTTCAACGTTCGCCTCAGCGAGGACGAGATGAGGTTTCGGAGTAGAGCCCCTTCCCATCTTCGAGTCAGCATGTAGCCGCAATAATACGGTTCAGGGGTATGCACAAAATGGATTCTTAGCTAGATGCCGGATGATAACCAAACAGAAATCGATATACGTCTCAAAAATAGACTTCAGGCTGATCTCAAGAGACTTCTTGTTTGAATACAGGCTGAGATCCTTCTCGAGATATGGCAGGAGGCTTTGAAGGATGCCAAGTTGGCTCATGATCTCTTCCATGGATTCCGCGAAGATGCAGGCACACTGTCGAGAGAAGGGAACGTAAGCATGATGGGTAGAAAAGAAATGCAAGTTCGCTGCTTGACGAACCTGAATCACAACCAGGAGGATGCCCCAAGTCAGAGATGCGATCGACTCGTACTGTGTCGCAGACGATATTCCGGCAGTGAAGGATTTCACATGATCGAAGGTGGGATAGAGGTATTTGATCACTAATGCAGAGACTTTCCTGTTGGCGAATTGTTTGGCGAGGACGTCTATCGCAGCTTGGAAGCTCTGGAGATCTTGGTTCTGGAATGCTTCATCGAGTGTGATGACTGGCACCTGGGATACGGCATTGGGCTTATTCCTCCGTCGGCGCTCCAGCAAAGCCAACAGTGCCTCCAGCTCCTCCTTCCTCGGCTCTACGCTCTGAGACCAGATATGACTCGAAGCAGATTCCTGGCTCATTGTGCTCTCCTACTCAAGATGTAGCAAGCGTTCTAGAAGGAGGCGTCTTCGGTACGACAACTGTTTATGGACACAATCACAGCCAGCTCAAGGTGACAGACCGCCCTTAAAGTTTATAGACTACAGCGCTTGGCCAGACATACAAATATATTGGGGGGGAACAGCGTAGGCACTCTATAGGGAGATCGGATAAGGAACAGCCTAACTTATAATACCTGGCCCGGTACCGATTAAAAACTAGGAGTAATGAGAATAAATAATACTTTAAAAGGCACACATATCACATAGTTGTTAAATAAGTGTCGCGGAAAACGTAGACGCCTACGTTACGCTGTGCGGAGTGTAGGATTATAATGTGGCTGGTTTAACTGCTACGTGGTAATAAAAGAATTATTATAAAAAGTTTTAGAAGGTAAACCTTAAGCTTATTAAGAGTTGTTAAAAATTAAAATTAACAACTTTTATTCTTTTTATACCGTTTTACTTTTAACTATTGCGTAAAATATATATATCTACATCTATAACTTGTGTATATATGTCTGTAAGGGTTAGTTTAACTGTTACGTGATATTAACAAAGTGTTATTTATAATGAAAGAATACATTTAAATTAAATTTTATTAATAACTCTTTTGATGTTTTAATCATTTCTTTAGCATTAAGAAAGGGACCCAGTATTCTATGGACTAGAAGTATTAGAGGGTACGGCTTGAACCGCGCATAGAAGCGCGCCACGAAACTGCGAGATACTAAATGGAAAGCTAAAAACGCTGTAAAAGTCCTAGCTCAGCACGCCCCTTGTAACATCCTACGGGAGGTCACGGGGTAGCCATAGACGTTCTCCGCGGGCGTTGATCAATACTACCTTATACTACTACTCCAGCAGTGTTTTACCTCTTGGCAGTTCGCCGACGTGGAGGTTAAGTTATATGTAGGACTTGCACGATCCCTTGCTGCCTGACATGGCCTGGTCTCTTAACGAATGTCCGTGGGCTATTAGCATTGCTGACACTGAAGGATTCCCCAGTGTTGCCCTCCTTGCTTCCTCCATCACAAATCTCGTACGGAGTACTGCACATTGTCTGCAACTTGTTGCAACATGGGGTCTGAGGCTTGATGGGAAACCCTCACCGACGTGTGATAAACCGGAAGTGTGATAAAGAATGAGGCTCGACTATCACGCGAATGCCAGCCCTGTTTTTCGTCTATTGGGCAGGTTTAAGCTGAGTTACCCCGCTCCCTTCTCTTCGTCCATGACAGCTGCAGGGAGGCAGCCCAATAGAGGCGCATTTTACGGAATCTCAGGCTTGCTAAGTTGGAATACTGTCAAAAGAACAGACACAGTAGCTGGGCGTCGAATGTCTTTGGGACGGGGTGGCATTCGAAACAACTCGGTTAGCACCCCCGCAATTCGCTTTCTGGTTGCTCAAGGTGCCCCTGTAATCCCCGTTCCGGCAGGCAAGAAGGATTCAGCCGGACGTAGGCAGATATCTCATTAACTGGCTAGCCGATGTGACACGCACGCACATTGATGCAGCCAGCCACCCACAACCAGGAGCCTGCTGCTGTGTATGTGATACATAACATTTGCCCTGCCTCTCTGCATGTGCGGCCATGACAAGGCTGGGCGGCTGTATTGTACTGCCAACAGCTGGCGAAGCAGTCACAATCACAGAGAGAGCGCTCTCTCTCTCAACAGACTATACCCTTCCATCCAGCACCATCTTTCCTCTTTCTTCGTCTCGCCGAGAAGCCTGAGCTGGGCCGCACTTGTTAGACCACATCCCATCCCACGCTGCACCCATCATACTCATCCCGTATGTGCCTGTCGAGAAAGTCCGTCTTGGCTGTGACTGCTTGTCTTGTCATCGCAATAGCAATCAAGTTCAACTTGAGCACACTCAATCACCACCTGTCCGGGCCGACGCCATGTATGTTGAATCGCATCTTGCTGCCTCCTTATAATTTCAGAGAGAAAAAAAACTGACTTCAGCCCCAGACAGGCCACCAAGCACCATGGCAGGCCTGTCTTCTCGAATCGACGCTCTGCGCCCAAAAATCGAAGAGCTGATGCGTATAGGCGGCACCCCAGGCCTTTCCCTCGGTATTATGCACCAAGGGGAACGCGTCTACTATGCCAGTTATGGCTACCGCGATGTCGAGCAGCGTCTTCCGCTAACAGACGAGACTATCCTCCCCGTCTGCTCTTTAACGAAGGCTGTCACTTCAGCAGCTTTAGGAATTCTTGTCGATGAGAAGAAGTCGAACTGGGACACGTTGGTCAAGGACGCTCTTCCTTCATTCAACATCAAAGACGACATCCTGCAAAACCACATGACGCTCTCTGATCTTCTCTGCCATCGATCAGGCATGTCGTGGGGCGATAACCTCATCATTGGTACCGAGAACAATATACTCATCAGTGAAAAGGATTCTATGGCATACCTCAACAGCCAGACTCGCTTGCTTCCATTCCGCGGACAATTTGCCTACAACAACCTAGCGTACGAGCTCGCCGGCAAAGTCATCGAGTCGCTAAGCCAGCAATCCTACTTCGACTTTGTCCAGAGTAGAATTCTTGACCCGCTGGGCATGACCCGTACTTATCTCAAAACCCCCCCTTCAGACCTGGACAACGTCGGAAAGTGCTACAACGCGCTCGGTAACGGAACCTCGGCACCCGTTACCTGCGTCCAGGCTGGGAATGACTGGTTCGGGACTCCGCACGCGGGGATGCGATCCTGTGTCAGCGACCTCATGAAACTATACAAGGCTTTCATGACGGGCTTCAACGATCAGATTGCGTCTGGGAAGACGTCGACAGATAAGCTGCCGTTGAAGCAGGTCAGCCAGCTCATGTCGGCCAAGATATTCATGGACCAGCCTTCCAGAAATGAGGCATCCTACGGTTTCGGCTGGGGCAGAGTTCAACTTCCCGGGAGACTGGGTCAAATAGGCATCAATCCTGGTCTGATGCCGAACGGGATGCCCATCGTTGGCAAGGGAGTCGCGCCACGACTGGTCATTTTCCATCAGGGAAGTCTGCCCGGCGCCCTCTCTCTCAACCTCCTTCTCCCAGACACCGAGAGCGCGATTGTCATCTCTTCGAACGCTCTAGCTCTCAATGATGTTCCCGACTGGGTCGGACAGCTCGTCCTCGAGGAGTTCCTCGAGGTCCCCGAGTCGCAGCGGAACGACTATATCGAGGCTTCCAAAATCTCATCGGCAGAAAACCTCAAGTGGTACCCTAACCTTATCAAAGAGCTTCAGCAAGCTCAGAGGAACGGAACATCTCCAAAAGAGCTTGAGAGTTATGTCGGAACATATTGGGACCGTCTTCATATTTTCAAGATTGTCGTCACCGTGGAGAGTGGGGCGCTCTACTGGGCTCTCCAGGGCCTCGAGTCGGAGAAGTTCCGCCTCTCTCATTATGAGGATGACGTCTTCACCTGGCTCCAGCCACGCGAGGAACTGTCGCGGCGTGGTCGATGGGTGGGTACCGATCAAGGACCGAGCTTCTGGAAGGTCGAGTTCAAGATAGGTGAAGCTGGCAAGCCTAACCGTCTGTACTGGGTGCACGACAACGATGTTCCAGCGGCCGAGTATAGTAAAGAGTGACTCAACGGCAGGCATCCTGTCCGAGCTGCCCTCTAATAGCCCAAACTCAGAACCGACTGTTCGGGAGCCCTTACGTAGCAAGGACTTACTTATGCAGGCATGGGTGGCTATTTTCCACCTGTGGCTAATTCGCAAAACCAGCAGGCAGATGATAGATCTGTCATTTAATCCATTCAAAAGCTGATAGTGTTGTATTTGTTTTGCGCATCGTACTGCCATACTAGCAGGACTTTCCTACGCCAATCGTAATGTATATTGTAATCATGGCTTACCTCGTAGTGAGCGTGTCAAGACCTCATGTTTAGTTTGGGCTATTTTGTGACTATCACGGAGAGGTTGCTCCCGTTAGCTCGCACCTCTTCGTTGCCTTCATTCCTTTAGTTGGTTCTGAGATAGAAAATGTCTTTTTCTTCCCACTCGGCTCTCAGTCGCTCGCTCCGTTGCTCCTTGCGCGTGCTCTCGCACCGCAGCGTATTAGCTCCTAGCTCAGCTACGTGACAGGGACCAAATTACTTAGTGGTCCCATTTTATCCGCGAGGCCGGGTATTACACAATCTGCACTTTTTGACGAAGTGCGTCAAAAGTCGTCCTGTGACAATAACGCAGAGCACACAGCCCATGGGACAGGCTCATCATATTAGGTAGGTAGTTTCTGACAAATGCCAAGTCTGAGAACGCCTTGCCTGACCCAACCCCGCTGTGATCCGTCATAATACGGCGAAGCGGCTCGAGCTCGGTGTCTCGGCGGTGTAGGTAACTGACATGCAAGGCCTGCTTCCATAAATTCAACGCCCTGTCACCCATCCGTCCAATTATATATAATATTTGTTCTCTTTTGACTCTCTATCGAAGACTAGCGATTCATCTCTTTGTCGTTACCGTTGAGTTGTAATCATTACTGCAGCAATTCCATCGATCCCCCTCGATTCGGTCGTTGGTATCACAAGCCCTGCGCCTTCATCCTCTAAAATAGACTGACGATGTCGGTGCCACCAAAGATCCGCTATGTGGTGGTTACTGGAGCTGGTGTAAGTACCTACACGTAAACCTGTCTGGCCAAACTTTCAGGGGCTAAACTCGCCACCGTACATAAGGGAGAGCCAGAAGGGAACCCTTCTCCAGCTGTACGGGACTCTCTGCCGTCGGAACTATCTCTGGACGACGGAACCATGGTCAAAATTCTAAAGTACCCGCGTGAAAGAACATGTTCTTTCCGTGAGATGCGAGAAACCAACGAGGAGATCTGGTCTAACGATCCCTCTGTATTCGGAGAGGCTACAACCTTTGCTGGAGGCCGCCTACCTTATATTGACTTGGTCCTTCATATCGGCAAGTGCACGCAAAAGAAGCCTGGTTATTGGGTCGAAAGCGTCGCCAGACGCGACGTCTACAAGGGCGTCGACGATGAAGGCCAGACTTTTCCGCCTGGACAAACAGGCCCGGGAGGAATATGGGAGCGCTTACCCGACAGATTGAGCCCTTGTTTCGATATTGACAAAGCTGCCAATACAATTGGCCGCGAGCACCCTGTAAGTGTCTTCCTTTCTCCTTCCTCTGTATGATCTGGTAGTACGGATTGTTTACAATAACCAGGACGTAATATCTGGGAGATCTGATGACGCGGGAGCCTCATTCTGCGAGCTCGAGTTGTTCTCTTCTCTTGCCGTCTGTGTGAAGAGAAGGGAGGCTCTTCGAGCCGCGTTCTTTCACATACCGCCTAGACAACTGCCGCAAGACATCCAAGCACATACTGCAGTTACAGTAACTCTTATTAAAGCATTGGTGGCTTGAATTCATGTCACGTAGCAATTGAACCAACCCTCATATGCCTACATACCCCGTAGGGTAATGTAGGCGTCTACGTTTTATGCGACAATTTATATTATAAATATTATTGGGTTCCTTCTGCTGCTAAAGTAACTAGTCGTGAAGCATAATGATTTGATATGATGCACCCCTCAGGCAGAGATCTCCGTCAGCTGTTTGGCAGAAGGCTTGGACGAGGCCGTGGTCGTGTTGGGGTTCAGACGATATATATATCACGCGTCTTCGTCTGATATCCCTTCTTACTTTCCATTTTCCAGATCTCTGATCGTTATACGCTCTCTCTCTTATCACACACACACTCTCTCGCCTCGCTATTGTGGTGCCCGATCTGGACCCCAATATTGCCCCCGGATGCTGGACCAGCCCCGCAAGATGAGTCACCGAGGAAGAGATAGCTGGCCTGCCGCGTGGCCGTAAAGAGGTTGGTAAGGTGCGGCACTTGCAAAGAGGCAGCCAGGAGAGAATATCACAGTGAACTCGCCCAGGGTGTAGCGGCAACCGATCATGCATGGGACTCAAGCAACGCATGGTAGTATAGGTTGTGTGCAGAGAGAACGAGAACAACGACAGAGAGAACGAGCATAGAGCCCGACGTGAGGCCCCATGCCTCCCATGCGTGCGAAGCGCCGCATGGTCGCGCTCCACCGGGGAATGCTTTGACTCGCTTATAGGTGGTAGTCGTTGCCACTGTTGTGCCTCGGGGCACTCTTGCATCTCCCTCTACGTGCTCTCACCCCCTAGCTGCTAGTATCTTGAGCTAACTCCTACAGTCCGGCCTCCTGGGCGCCGTTCAAGTTTGTTCTCGGGCATCCTACTTCACTTTTTATATGCCCACCGGGTTGCTCTAGTGCCGGCGACTAGCTGCCCCTATGCGACAGCCCCCCGAGCCGTTATTAGTTTACTACACCTTCAAGACGGCATATACCAAAATACGACAGCAAGTCGACCAAGACCCAACCCTGAACTCCCTTCACCATTTCACGCTAGACTCCCTTTCCGGTCTCTTATTATTTCACGACGGACAGCGACAACGCCTCCGTGTGCCACGAAAATGTCGCCAACAATTCCTTGAACTTGCTCACGATGGCCGTGCCCATATTGGAGTTGCTAAGACATACGCATTCCCCCGCCATATTATATAGCCTTCACCCCCTCGCTAAAGCGAGTCGTCGACACACACGTACGCGCCTAACCATCCTGTCAAGCACCCAAACTCGATAACAAGAAGCCGCCCGGGGATCTTCAACCGATTTCACCACCTTCTGAACCACCGCGAGTTCTCTTGTTAGGTCTTATCACGGGCCATCCAACACCAGACAGCGGATACGACGCAGCCCTGGTTATAGCCGACACTATTATTTCGAGACATAACCGAGAGTAAACGCCGACGACAACAACGACTTATCTGTCACGTAGCCATTGGACCAGCCTTTATATGCCTACATACCGCACAGCGCAAAAGTAGGCGTCTACGTTTTACGCGACATTATCAAAAAAAGCGCCAAGTAACGGCCCGCTCCTTCCTCCGGCGTATTACCGGCCTCCTCGAAAGCGGGGAGTATAGTCGGCGAAGGGAAGGGGTAATATAAGGCCGGATCCGACGCCTCCGCGAGGGGCGCCGGCCCGAGCCGCGGACTCCGAGCTGAGGACGCGTGAGGACCCTCGGGACACGAGCGAGGGCTTCTGGAGGGGCAGATGCTGCGCGGAAGGAGGGGGGGGCGTTTTGAGACCAGGAGCCTCTGGCGTGGCATCGAGGAGGGCTAACACGAGAGCTGGGGGGGTCCGGCGCTGCGAGGGTGGGGATGGCGGCCTGGAGGCGGCCGGGGGTAGGCAGAAGGGTGCGGGACGGGGCAGTCCTTCTGGGCAGTGCTCAGCAGTGCTCATAAGCAGTTACCTACGTGGCTATCGCTGGCGCAAACGCGCTGCCCGCAAAGGGATGGAAGCAAGACGGAGGAGGGATGACGGGCTGCTGCTAGCAGATAACCGCCATCCTTGCCCCTTCTCCGTTGCGAGGCTGCGTCGTTTTATTAGTCTTGGACGACATGCAGACGAGGCCTCTTAGCTAGCACGGTCGCATCAGGTCCGCACTTATAGGATAGTTCATGCTCAGGTGAATATACGTTCCCGTCGACGGCGATATCGTGAATTGTTTTGAGAAATACGTCTTCATCGTTGTTCCCGCATCCTAACCGGTGTGCCGGTCTGGTATTTACGGAGGTAGATAATATAGGTACATGCAAGTTCGTCGATTGTCTCACCTCATGCGTGTAGCAACACGTTATTCTCCACCCCCTTTTCCCTTTTTACGGGTACATCATTGCAATGAGAGACAAAATGCCCCTGCGTCCCTCTCGAGTCACTATGCCGCATTTCGTCTCATCATGTTCCTCCCACCCGCGAAGACACTGCCAAACCCTAAAAAAGTAGCCATCCGATACCGCCCCCGCTACTACTGCTGTCTCTGGCCTGCGAGATCGCCCCGTTCCTGGCGGTAGCTGTCTGCGATCAGGAAAGCGAGCTCAAGGGCCTGGCGCTCGTTGAGGCGCGGGTCGCAGAAGCTCGTGTAGTTGGTCGACAGGTCGTCCTCGGCAAGCCCTTCGCTGCCGCCGAGGCACTCGGTCACGGCGTCGCCCGTCAGCTCGAGGTGCACGCCGCCGAGATGGCTGAGGCCGAGCTCGCGGTGCACGCGGAGCGTCTGGCGCAGCTCCTCGAGGATATCACCAAAGCGCCGAGTCTTGACGCCGGCGGCCTCGCCCTCGACCACCACCGTCCGCGTGTTCCCGTGCATCGGGTCGCACTGCCAGATGACGCGTCCGCGGTATTCGCTCCCCTCGACGGCGCGCACGTGCGCTGGCAGCAGCTCGGCGACGCGCGATGCGCCGTAGCGCGTGATTAGGGTCACCTTGCCTACCTCGCGCCGCGGGTTGAGCGCCCGCAGCAGCTCGAGCAGGTCGGCCACCGGCGTCGTCGGCCCCACCTTCACACCGACCGGGTTCGCGATGCCCCGGAAGAACTCAACGTGGGCACCGTCGACCTGCCGGGTACGGTCGCCGATCCAGAGAAAGTGGGCCGAGGTGTCGTAGTACTCGGTGCGCGGCGCGCCGTTGTCGCCGACTCCGGTGCCGTTTTCGTCGTCTTCGTCGTAGTCCTTCTCGTCCGGCGGGACCGGCGGGCGCTCCATGAGACGGGTGAGGCTCTCCTCGTACTCGAGCAGCAGACCCTCGTGGCTGGTGAAGAGGTCGACGGTGTCGAGCGTGGGGCTGCGGTCAGCGCCGATAGTGTGCATGAAGCGCAGCATGTCCTGCAGGAAGCGCACGGCCTCGGTGTACTTGGCCTTGAGGACGGGGTCCTGGACGTGGCCCAGGCTCCAGTTCAGCGGCCGGTGCAGGTCGGCGATGCCCGCGGCGATGGAAGCGCGCACGTAGTTGAGCGTCGCGGCCGAGTGGTGGTAAGCCCTGTTGCAGGAAGGGAAGGATGAGAGGACGTCGTAAGCAAGCAAACGAGATTGGCTCCTCTTTAGAGACAGAGACAGAGACAGAGAAAGGGGGTTAAGGTGATACGTACTTGACGAGCCTCTGGGGGTCGAGCTCGCGATCCTCGAGGTGATAGCCGTTGAGGATGTCGCCGCGGAACGAGGGGACCTCGCGGCCGTCGGGCAGGACCTCGGTGGGGCTGGAGCGGGGTTTGGCGTACTGGCCGGCGAGGCGGGCGATGCGGACGATGCGCTTGTCGGCGCCCCAGATGAGCACGAGGCTCATCTGCAGCAAGAGCTTGATCTTGGACTCGACGGCGTCGGCGCGGCAGTAGTCGAACAGCTCGGCGCAGTCGCCGCCCTGCAGCAGGAAGGCGTCGCCGCGGGCCACATCGCGCAGGCTGCGGCGCAGCCGGGCGATCTCGTGGGGGTGCACGACCGGCGGCAGGCGGGCAAGCTCGGCGGTGGCGCGGTCCACCGCGGCCGGGTCGGCGTACTCGGCCGGCTGCTTGATGGGCTTCGTCCGCCAGGACGACGGCGTCCACGCTGACGCGCCGGCGACGCCGTCTGCTGGCTCGGCTGACGGAGCCATGCGTATTTCTGTTTTCCTCTCTCTGCTTGCCTCTGGGGGGAAAGGGAGGGAAGGGGGAGGGGGGGGGTGCTCTCGTGGCAGGGGAATAAGGTGAGGTGAGGACGAGTAAGGGAGGAGGGAGGAGGGAGGAGGGAAGAGAGAAGGGAGAGGGGGGAGAGGGGAAAGAAGGAGAGGGAGAGGGAGGAGGGAGGAGGATTAACGAGGGGCGGGTCCAAGCAAGCCGGTGTCAAGGTCAAGAGCAGAGGGAAGCTGCGATCTATGCAGACGTTCGTGCGTGCCACGGGGGGCGTTCGGTGGCTCTTTCCGTTCTGGTTGTGTTGGCGGTGACTCAGATCGGCTTGTCGACTCGAGAAGGCGCCATCCGTCCGTCACATCCCTCGCCAGTTCCGCCGGTGAAAAGGGCAACAGCGCGACTATCTACGTAAACCAAACATCGGCCGCGACTGGGAAACGTGTCGCAAAGCGCTTTTCCTTGCGTCGACGAGAAACCGGAACGGGCTCGGTGTAGACAGCAGAAAATGACAGGTACCTCTCTGTAAGTACTAGGTAATACCTAGGTACAAGCACTATTACAGTCTACCGATGTAACGGCCAGGGGTAGGTGTGTTACTGAAGTATTGCCGTCTAGCCTTCCGCCAATCAGAGCCCGGCACACAGCTCCCCTTGGTCTCTCGGCCCTGGCGGCCCGTCTGCCAGCTGCTCGACCGGTTCTACTCCTCCCCCCTTCCGCAGTGATCGGGCTTGTGGGGGCAGACAGATGCCGAAGACAGAGACGGCAGCCTGTAGGTATCCCATTCGAAGACGGCGCGACGGTGGTCGGCTCGGGTGGCCTACTGGTGGTGGGCCTCTACGTACTGCAGTGGTGCGGTAGGACTAGCCCTTGTAGGGTTTAATACTTGGGTTATTGAAGCATTTCGCTATATAGGTACCACCTTTCTAGATCACACAGAACACAGAACACACATAGGCAGATAGCCATCCAGTCACGCGCTCGCTTCCACCTGATCTTTAATACCTCCTTCGGTATCCTTATTGTCTCTCGTTTCACCCAGTTGCCACCTACAGCTGGCCGATCACTAGAGAGGTACAGCTGTTGCAACTGCCGTTGCACCTATTAAAAGAGTCGTATACTAAAAGACCACAACTGCCAACAGCTGGACCAGGGTGCCGATTAACAGGAAGTGTTTCATTCCGAAACCCGTCAGGTATAGTGACGACTTTCTAGTCTGTCAACTGGGTAAGCCAAATACTGGCCACAACGGTTAATAACCTATTATATATCCAGAGGTCGAGCTCGGCTGAGGTGGCGACGGGACATCCAGACTGTCTTGGGGTCGTCCGTGTTGGCAGTTTCGTCAAGCATGCGTACGAAGCCAATGTCCGTCGCTATAGGTAGTGCTCGGGGTCTTGAAGCGAGAAACTCTCGACTTTGCGTGCGTAGTAATCCAGGTCGTTGTGCTTCCGCGAGACGTAGAGTCGGGCTTCTGTGCCGTTCATAGCGACACTGAATGCGGCACTGTCGATTGGCTGGACCTGACCGTTCATGCGGTGCGTCTTCTATTAGCGATGGAGGTGCTCGACGATATAGACGCGGGATGTAAAAGCCTTCGCGTATGAAGATATCGATGTCCGTTGTTAACGCTTGTGCGGCATTTGCGAGAATTTTGAGATAGGTAGATCGCCAGCGTATCCACAGAGACCCGTAACCGCCAGGTCCGTCTGCTTTGAACTCGATTAACGGGGAATGGGCATAACAAGCTGTTGCGTAAAGAATCGACGCCTACATCCTACGACTTGCAGATGTAGGTTCCGTACGTGGCATAAGCCTAGACCGTTGGCTACCACGACATCTTCCACGCAAATAATCTGGGCTTGTTATCGGCGGAATACCTCATAGGCGTTGCACGTGTAAAGCACCTAGGCGTGTCTAGCACTGAGATGCTCACTCTGGACATCGACCGAACCCGAGGGACAGCATTCTTTGACATCGACTGCTCATCACGCTCTCTGGCAGATTTGGGCAAGAAATGTAGTGTCGCGTAGCTACCTCAAGCAACGTATGGATAGATTGGCCGAGCGCAGAGGGAAGATAGGAATGTGGTGAGGAAAGGTGTGTTGACTGACAGGTAGCTAAGAAGAAGAGAAAGGGAATGAGTAGCTAGTCCAGTCATATGTGTGTGTGCTCGGCCGGCTTAGGTGAGCCAGGTTAGTACATCAGCTACGGAAGGCGTAGCTCTCGAGGGAGACGGAACCACCAGAGGCGCACGCCTACGTGAGAAATACATTCCCACAACCAAGCACAGCGAGCGGGTCCATTAAACCGAAGCGCAGCACCTGGTCAACGACAGGCCCTTGTTCTGCAATGTGAGTTCGCGAGTTGCCTGGGTACGGAGTAGGCACCGAACACCGAAGAATAGGGGTCAGGACTCGCAGTAATGACAGACGAAGTCGAGTTCCACCGGGACATCCACCTGCCTTAGGCAGGTGTTACCTCCGTCAGGGGCGCCCCCATACCCGCAAAACAGCCAGCACGCGCATAACATTAGCATCGAGTTAATTACTGAGTTCGAGGCGGCTTATGAAGGAACCAATTTTGCGATTCGGCGGTTGCTTGGGAAGCGGACCCGGCGTGGCAGGACTGAATCCCTTGTGGAATGGGAGGGGGCGGGTAGAGAGACCACGTGGGAGAAGGCAGCCCACATAAGCCGTGCTCGAATCATGGAGTTCGAGGGGATTGCTTTTGCTTAGTTCAGCGGATTAGTACCATATCTCAATTTCGATGGTCAAGATAAATTCACGTACTGTTCCCTGTTTCGGGCCTACCGGCATCCCTGACTTTGTATTCTGATGGTGTCTTCTTCTGGGTTCATCAAAGTCCGAAATAGGATCACTCTTATGAGTCGGCGAAGGCAGTACTGGGAAGTTACGAGTGGTGAATTCATAGCTGTTCCCAGCCTCGCATTATGGCAACTGTGGGAATTGTGTACTCACCGAATGCATGAGTACCGCCTTAGAGGAGGAGATGCTAGTTATAGCGGCGAAGCAGAGAATACAACGGAATAAAATTGGCGAATGTCTAGGTTGCACCCTTTTCAGAAACAGAAAAAAAATTGCATTAAAGAAAAAAGAACGTGATTAAAGGAGACAAATATTACTACTTCATAAGACCTCGCAGCCACAGCAGAGCAAGTTCTTAGCAGTGGTGGTGATGGTGGTGGTGGTGATACATGGTCTTCAAATGCTCGCATCCGGTGGCCTCGTCGATACCTTTCCCCTCCTCTTAGTAATGGTAACGCGATCTATCCCACCCTCGAATCTTTTGGTTTCCCTATTAAACCACTCTTTAACACGCTCATCTTCGATTCCGTCGAGAATATCCTCGGGGGCCATGGTGTGGGTCCAGAGGTACGGGATGGCCCAGACCTCAAGCATGTCCGCCCACATGCCGTGGTCGTCTTCAGGGAGCCGCAGGCGAGTGCGTATCAGGCTTTCGAGCAGGACCTGGAGGTGGGGATAGTATAGAAAGCCGTCGACACACGTAAAATCGGTTGCAGCAGCGGCAGCAGAGGTAGTGGCCCCTTCGGCTTCACGAAGTGGCGGAGCGAGCCCGACGAACGACGGCGACACTAGTGCCACTAGGTCGTTTCTAAGTCCAGCGCTAGCCTGGGGAAACGCAAAGCGTACTGAGTTGTTGTCGATGTCTGCATATTGCGGAATAATTCTCTGGTGAATCTTCTTTGCTTGATCCCCCATGCGCTCCAGCTTTGCGGGGTCACATGAGCCCCATGACCACCCTGCGCGCCAAAATCCAGCCTCCAGTAGTTGCGATACGGCCTGTTCGAGGTCACAGTCGTTAACGACTAATATGTAGCCCTGGCGCTTCTGCATTAGATCATAGCTTTTGAGGATCTAAAAGAAACTATTAGTACTTACTCTTATAAAGGCCTTGACTCCACAATGCTCCAATGCAGGTCCGCCCCAGACTACTACCGGAATAGGCTTCAAGGTGTTGGTGATAAGCTCCATGGCGTATAGGTCACTAGCTGGGGTTGTATAGAGATGCAAAGGAAAGGTCAGGGCCTAGCTGGGTTATTGGGCAGGCAGTTAACAAGATGCAGATGCACTTGAGACTAAGTTTTTGGGGTCAAGGGCGACGCCGAGGTATTTATTTGCGACCATAAGTCACGAGACGCTGTAAGTATTACGTACCTCGGTAAAGAGCACGGAAGATTACTGCCGATGTTTAACCGACACAAAACTTCAACTCGCTTGTTCTCGGTGTCCAACTAGTAGGAATTCTAGCGGGCACCGGTCTTTCCCGAAAGAACCAGGGCATAAGAAAGAGAAGAAAGTGAATAACCCTGTTTGCTGCTAAGCATTCCAGAGTAGTACTTTTGTAAAAAAAAAATGAGCGATTTGTGTGCGGCTCACCAGGGTCGACAATTGACGCTTTCATCACCGGGCATGGCCCCCAACTTCTAGGTATGGTTGGAGCCGTTGCCTAGGTAATCGTTGCCCTGCCTGAAACTTTACGCGGCCATGTAGCCGCCAACGAAGCGCCAGCCCACCTAGCGCCAACGAGGTTTCGCTCTTCGGTGATTCGTCGAGGAGGGACTCAGAAGGTATTGCATGGCTAACCCTTTTTTTAGCAGACCTGGATCCCGAATTTAGTAGCCGCTCATCAAACAGGCTCTTCACACCGCCAGCCAGTCACCGTTTCCATCCATCGATGTTGGTAGTCGCCAGTAGGTCTTGGAGGGTCGGAAAGCCCTTTCTGCAGCCTTGAAGCGCTTGACGAAACTCACAAAGGCTGCAGGGCATCCTACAGAGCAAGGAAGCTCGGTATCAATGAAGCCATTGCGGCAATTCAATCCAACTACCGTCTCTGATAACTCGTCCACAGCTTCTAATCATGAAACGCTACCGAGTTGGTGAGATATGAGAGGATTTTCAACCTGGCATAGGACCATGTCACTACGAGGTCCTACCGAGACCTTGATTAAATTAGATGTTCTCTGGTATCAAAAGCCTCTATATATAATGCTGTAGAATTCATGAATAAAATATTCGAACCTTGTTAATCTACCTAAGTTGACCTACCTCACTTACCTGCAAATTGAACAACAATAGAAATTTTATTCCCTCGTCTATTCTTTCAGCCATTCCACCCCTCTGTTCCTCCTAAAGTTCAATATGTCAAACTCGGTTGAGCTTACCCCGGAAGAGCTTGTGGTAGTTTCTCGGGTCCTCTCCGAACTCCTGGATGGCAAAGTCCAATTCGCCATCATGGGCGGAGCTGCCTGCTCGCTTCTTCGAGCTGTATATAACATCGAGTACCGCGGTACCAATGATGTCGACTTAATCATAGCTCCAACACAATCCTTCAATGCTGAGAGCATTTCGAATTGGCTGGTTAAGACACATCCAGGGAAAGTGCGGTCTGTGCAGCAATTTGGGGTCGCTACTCCCGCAATCCCAATCTCACGAGGCGACGATGAATACCTCGTGGAAATCGAGATTTTTGACGTCCAAGCATGGCCCAACAGACAACAATATGACCTCTCAGATGCGGTAGCTAATCCAACGGAGACTCTCTCCTTCGAATCGCAGCCATCGGTCTCAGGGTCGGGATCACCATCAGGCGTTGTCGGTGTTCCTGTCATGCACCCTAAGTGGCTCCTTAGAGAAAAGATTCTTTCCCAACATGAACGACAAGGATCAGCCAAGGAAAGGACAGATATTTCAGATATTCGGGCTCTGCTGGACATCTATAGCGGCGAACCCCTAATCTTCTCAAGCCAGGAGCATGTCGACAGCCTCCAGGCTTTGGTTCAGAAAGCTCCAGACCTAACTAGCGGCCTAAAGCGAGCTGTCTCATGTCCTCAGGTTTTCGGAATCTAATCGATTAGATCGTCCTTGCCGACTCGACCCACGTCTCTTTTCGTTTTGGGTTTTCCTTCGTCTCTCTCGATTCTTTTGAAATTTCTTCTTCACTTCCTTTTTTGTCTTGGTTCAATTTCTTTTCTTGGTTATTGCGAAGTCTTTTATCTGGTTTATATTTCAAGGTGGTAGCTAGGAGGGCAGGAGGGCAACATATAGACCCCTTTTCTTTTGATTGTAGTAGTGCTAGCTTCTTCTGGATTACAGTTACTTCACTTCTCCCAGTTTCCCATATCACGTTCTTGCCCGTGTCATCAAAAATATTTAATTTGAAGTTATCTGAACCTACAAAACCTCAGGCTCAGGGAACCTGCAGTTGGGTTTGGCCGAGATTCCGGGTTAGACCTCAGGATCGAGGAACCTAGAGTTGGGTCCGGTCGAGGTTCTGGGATAAACCCTTACTTCGGCGATCCTGAAGCTGGGTCTGGTCGAGGCATGCGGCCAGCCGAAATTTTCGACTGGACCCGACTGAGGGCTACCCCGGAGACTCGGTCAAACCCAGCTCTCGATATTTCTAACGCTGGGATTTTTCTAGGTCCTGGGTTTTTCGAGTTTCTGTTGAATGATTAAACAATCTCAGTCGTAGACTAAAAAAAGAATACCACTTTAAGGAAGGTGAACTATTTTCCCTATTACGTTAATAATTTAAGGTAAAAATTAATAGATAAAATATGTATTCATAATATAGGATCTAATACTATCCTATGTTAATATTAATAGGTAAAGAGTTAAAGCTGGCTGCTAAGCTGGTCCAGCTCGAATTACCAGCCTCTCGGGCCGCACCAGTCAATGAGGTTGGAGGCGAAGGGGATGACAGGCTTATTGATATACCGCTGCCAGCCACTAGGAGTAAGCGTCCAGTCGGCACACTGCGTAAGGTCCAGGGCGGCGTCGGCCTTTATGGCGCAGAGGTAGCGATGGACGGCCAGGGCGACTATATATCCACTGGCCCACGCGGCGGGCTATTAGGTAATGGCGGGCGCCATCATACGGAGCGGGTAGGTATGGATTGCTGTAACGGGTACTCGCGGAGATAGGCGTCGAAAGCGCCGAGGGCGCAGAGCGCGCGCGTCTCTCTATCCACCGGGTCCGGGTCTAATATCCATGCTTCACCACGGCAGGCGTTAAAGGCGATAGCTAGCAGGTGCGTGCCGGCATGGACGGGCTGGACATAGCAGCACCGGGTGCGCGCAGCCGCGGGGATGGCTGCGGCGTAGAAGTCGTAGGCGGCGCCATCGGGGCCCGTGACCCGGGAATGCTTGCGGCCATAGCGGTCATGGCGCGGGCACCGGCCCAAGAACATGGGAGCTAGCACGAAGGCGTATTCATCTTTGCCAACCGAATCGGCTACCAGCATGGCAAACAAATCATCTTCCACCGGGGGCTCCCGGCGGGTGATGCGCTCTGCCGAGTGGTAGAGGCCACTGGTGACGTCGGCGGGCCCCAGGCCATGGCTGGCGCAGTACCTAGGTAGGCACATCGTGGGCGTAGTAATAGGCGCGGTCGAGGAAGGGTTGATTCCACTATGCCAGCTCCTCGTTGCTTGGGAAAGGAGTGCGGAGGGTCGTGGGGCCAGCAGCCATCGTGTCAGCGTAACGGAACCTCGGCCACAGCTGTGGTAGCGATGATCGTGGGGACCTGCGACTGTTAGCCGAGATCTCAGGTTGGCTCTAACACCGAATGGGCTTACCTTTTGGAGATCCATGATGCCTTATGCAGAGATGGATATGAGTAGGCGATTATCATTGGTGATCAATTTGTATCACATGACATACCTAGGTAAATAGAGCAAGCGTTGCAAGAGCCTTCAACTAACCAATTGGATGCCTCAGGATCCACAGGGGTGTCGTAACACCCGGTATGCGCATCTAATATATAAACACACATCCCGCATTACCGCATACCGAGCTCCGCAGCTCCCCGCACTTCCTTTCGCACTTCCCACCGCGTCGAGCCCTCCAACCCCGCCATTTCTCGCGACCAACTTGCGCGAAACCACCACCAGCACCACCACCATCGTTGTCGTCCAGCCGCAACACCACCACCAACAACCCCAGTAGCCCCCCTTCTCCCTCTACCACATACCTCCGCACCATGGCCAGCCAAGACGACGAGCCAGCGCAGGCGCAGTCAGCCGAGGACCGGCGGACGGCGGCGGCGCTAGCGAGCCTGGACGAGGACGGGCCGGGGTCGGCGGCGGCGGCGTCGTCGTCGGGCGCCGCGGCCATCGACCAGGCGGCCGTCGGCGAGGCGGTGCGCAGCCTCGGCGGCGCCCCCGCCCCCGCCGAGCCCCGCAAGAAGGTCAAGGTCGACGCCGCCGACGTGGCGCTGCTGGTACGTTGGAACGTCCCCTCGGGAGAGGAGAGAGGAGAGGAGAGGAGAACAGAGAAGAGAGAGAGAGAGAGAATCCCCCCGCTGACTGACAACTCCCCCCTTAGGTCGACGAACTCGACCTGCCCAAGGCCCGCGCGACCGAGCTGCTCAAGGCGCACGACGGCGACGCCGTGCAGGCGATGCGCGCGTTCGTCACGGCGTGAGGCGGCGGCTAGCTTCGGCCTCGCCGCGGCAGAGTCCGGACGAGTGGGTGTGTGGAGGCAGAGGTAGAGTGGAAGAGCGAGCAGTGGAGGAAGGACGAGAAGCACAGAAGAAGAAGAACTCATCCATATACCTATCTACGAAACGCTAGCCGCTACGAGGGAGCGCCGTGGAAACCCGGCGTGGCGGGGCGAGGAGAGGAAAGCAGGAGGAGGAGGGAAAGGAGAGAGAGAGAGGGCCAGTTGCACGCTGCGGCGGACGCATACGGGGAGCACTGCTGCGTAGTAATGGAGGGAAGTTCAGTTTTGGGAGTGAGCGGGCGGGCTCGGCGCAGGGAGGCGGCCTCGTCGGCGATGGTAAATGCTCCCTTCGCCCCTACTGTCTCCCGTTCCCCTATATATATTATATATAGATATATATAATTGTTACAATTTCAGCAATTGCCGCGGCCCGTAGGCAGAAGAAGAAGAAGCTCAAAAGGTAGTGCGCCCCCTACGTGCCCACACACCCGCGAACACGCACGCATGCGTAAAGGGGTAGTAGCCGGCGCGTGAGGAGTAGTAAAAATCTCTGCGCGTGTCGACTCTTCCTTCTCCCTCTCCCGCCTACATCCGCACCTATACCGTACCCCCATTTCCACCACGCCCCGTCCACCGCCCATGCTCTCTCACTTCGCCTCTCCGCGACTAACGGGAGGCAGACAGTCAGAGAGAGAAAAAGAGAGAGAGAGACTCTCCCTCCCTTGCGGGTGCGAACAGGCAAGGACCCTAGAGTCCGGGAGGTCGCTGAATCAGACATGCTTTCTAGATAGACGGGCACCCGTCGTAGGTAGATACATATATATATCAACCTATACGCTAGAGGAGACTGCGCGTTTCTCGCGTGCCGAGGGGGGAATCCAGTCAGATAGATTGGGGCCTACGTGCCTATACACGATAGTATCTAGGTATTATAGCTACCGCGCGTCCGCGACTACCGCCATGATATAGCCCATCGGCAGCGCCATTCTTCTGATTCCTCCCCCCCACTCTCTCTCTCTCTCTCTCTCTCTCTCTCTCTCTCTCTCTCTCTCTCTACGTCCCACCCCCTTCCCCCCTTTGCCATTTATTCTATCGACATCTATTACAACTACGTATTTGCCCGTGTGCTGCTCAAGCCACATAACTAACTCGGTCTTCGCAAGAAAGCCAGCTCTCGTTCATTTTTGCTCCGTACTGCCAATTCATCCTTGTAGGTCCTCGCGAACGCCTGATCCCCAGTTCGTATGCTACCGGCTCATCATCTTTTTGGTCGTCTCCCTTTCCCGTTCGTAAACGCCGGCCAGGTGTAGGCATACATTAGACAAGCAAAAAGAAATGACGAAAAAAATAAAATGAAGAATAAAACAAAGTTCACAATAGCTGGAATCTGCCACGTTACGCCTACCATCCCGGGGCGAAGTAGGTGCTGTCGGTTGACCACCTATGTCCCCCTCCCCCCGTAAAGCTCACCTACCCAGATCGAACGCCTGAACGAACTGCAGCCCCCCCGCCCCCCCTTAAAAAACGGCTAGGTCCCGTATCTTCGTAGGGAGGGGGAAGAGGCTTCATAAATTCCTGAAAGACTGCCTTCTCATCCCCACCTGCTCCAGCTTCTGCACGTTCTCCTCCGTCAACGAGTCGCCCCCGGGGAAGGCGTGCGCCATGGGCTTGGCTGCCTTGCTGCCGTCGGCAGCGTCGATGAGCTTATCATCTCTCAACTGCATGGCTAGCTCGTCGCTGTCGAGCTGCCTAGCCGGCTGCGGCACTCCAAAGAGGAACGGGTTCGTCTCGTGGGAGCCCTTCCTCGTCGACGTCGGCCTCGGCGTGAGTAGGGTCACGCGCTCGTCATCTCCCGCGTCGCTGTGCACTGAACGTTCCTCCGGCGTCCTCGGGAGGCGGTTTACTGCGCTGCCTAGCGTGAGTATGCCCACGCCGTTGCAGTGATCCGCCGCCTCGGAGCAGTCCGAGACCGACTGGTCGGCCGACGGCGGCGTCGAATCCACCTTCCGGCGCGATCTACTCCATCTCACCAGCATCTTCTCCAGCGTGTTGCTCTTGACGGGCTTGGATAGGTAGTCGTCCATACCCGCCCTCGTGCACTTTTCCCTGTCTCCCTGGATAGCCGACGCCGTCATAGCTACAATGGGTACGTCGTTTGCATAGGCTTTATACGGCACGTGGTGCCGCAAGATGTGCGTGCACCTGTATCCATCAATCACGGGCATCTGCACGTCCATAAGAATAATGTCTGGCTTTGTCAATTTGCCCTCCCTGCACCCCTCGAGATACTCGAGCGCTTCTTTTCCGTTCCACGCGGCCGAGACGTTGAACCCAAGTTTCTTGATGGTCCTAGTCGCGATTTGTTGGTTGACAGCACTAGAAGAAGCATCGCGTCAGATGTGAAGGTTGCCTCGCGTGACACTGGGCTGGAACTCACTTATCCTCGACGACGAGAACCTGAACCTTGGCGCGTTCCGTCATGGGCAGGTCCTCGAGCTCGGAGAAAGCTCGCGGGTGCGGAGATCTCCTCCGCCGGTTCCGTATCGTCTTGTCTCGCGGCGCGTGTAGCTTATCCGCCGGCGGCGTGCCCACGTAATGCTCGTGCTCGGAGCTGTTGCAAGATACGCTCATCTCGGATTGCAATCGATCGGGAAGGTGGCCTATCTCGACGATGCTACCTCTGTGCGGGGTTTGGGGCTTGTTAAACGGTATCCAGAACGTCGCCGTCGTCCCGCTGCCGACCGTGGACTCGAGCGAGATTCTCCCGCGCATCAAGTCGAGGAGGTTCTTCGATATCGTTAATCCTAGTCCCGTGCCTCCGAACTTCCGCGCCGTCGACGCATCTCCTTGGCTGAACGGCTGGAATAAACGCTTCAAGACGTCCTCTTCGATCCCGATGCCGGTGTCCTCGATAACGAACCTAATCTCTATAATGTCGTTTGTCTCCTTCTCTTTCCACACCGAAAACTTGACATAGCCGATATTGGTGAACTTGATACTGTTGGTGAGGAGATTCGTAATGATCTGTCGCACTCGGCCCGGATCGCCGAGGACCACGAGGTCATTTTCGATGTCGGCTGAAATATCCGAACGGAAGTCCAGGCTCTTCCTCCCAGCTGCGAAGCTCAGCATCTTGGTGACGTCCTGCACTACTACCGACAGGGAGAACTGAACCTCTTCTATATCTAGTCGGCCGGATTCGACCTTTGAAAAGTCCAAAATGTCGTTGATAACGGTCAATAGCGCATTTGCAGACCGACTTAGGTTCTCGGCGTACTCGCGCTGTTCGTCGTCCAAGGGCGAGTCTAGAAGCAGTTCGGCCATTCCTATCACCCCCGTAATCGGAGTTCTGATTTCATGGGACATCTGACGTGCATGTTAACGCGGAGATCATGCCCTAGAATGGAGGGGAGAGACAGAAAGAAAAAAAAAAAGGAGGGTGGGTCAAGAAAGCGAAAATGGCGAATCCCTACATTGGCCAGAAATTGACTCTTTAGGCGGCTTGCTTCCTTAGCCGCAGCCTCGTTAGCCTGGAGCTGCCTCTTTTCCCGGACCTGCTCTTGAAGATCTTGCTCCCGCTTCTTCAGCTCAGTCACGTCCATGATGACGCCGACGGCACCCTTGATCTGCGGCTCGCTAGAATGTCCGCTCCGCGGAACCTTCTCGATGAGGGGCATAAACCTAGTGCGATAAAAGCGATCATCTGCGAAACCGTTAGCGACACGCGATCACCGGCTGCAAGAAGTCACGCCTACCTAGCTTGTGCTCGTATACGCTCTCCGTCGGCATCTTGCCGGCGAGGATGCGTCGCGCAGGCTCGAGGAATTCTGGAAACTCGCTCGACCGCAGCCGCGGGTTGAGACAGGTGAATACCTCGTCGATCTTCCTCCCGACGTACTCTCGCGACTCGAGGCAGGAGGCATCGTCCGTCATCGCGTTCCAGGTCATGGCGCCTTCTAGCATCATAACGTTAAGATCGTGGTCCACAGAGAATATCGTGGTCTGCGCGTGCGTTAACACGCTGAGAAGCTGCTCTCTGGTTTGCTTCGCGGCCATCTTGGCTTCGAGGGCCTCGTGGACGTCGGTACAGGTCCCGAACCATTTCTCGATCTTACCCGTCTGCTTGTCCTTGAGCGGTAATGCGCGTCCCAACATCCACCTCCACTCGCCGTCCTTGGTACGACATCGATACTCGGTAGCATACGGCTCCCCCGTGGCCACGCTATATGCCCATCTTTTCAACGACGCCGGGATATCGTCCGGATGGAATTGGTGGACCCAGAGACCGCCTAAAGAATCCTCCAGCGACAAGCCGGTGTAGTCACGCCACCGCTTATTGAAGAAGTCGTGCGTCCCGTCGGGTCTCGTCGTCCACACCACCTGGGGGATGGTATCGCAGATCAGTTTGAACCTCTCGTCATCCGCCAGCCTGATATTGACAATCTCCTGGGTGAGGCGGGTTACATCCCGACAGGTGATGATCCCCGCGATGACTTCGCCAGACTCGTCATCGGTGACCACTTCGCCGAGCACATCGTATACGAGATCGACCCCCTTCTTGAGGTCCCGCACGCCAACTTTCCAACCGGAAAAGGGCTTCTGCTCTCTGAGGAGTACGGAGATGGGGAGCTCGGACGCCTGGTATCTTCTCGAGAAATCGCCGGTATAGACTTCCCACCGCGAGAGGAACTCATGTTCGTCTATACATTCGGCGCCGGTGGTGTTCATGAAGAGGTCTCGCGCGGCTCGGTTTAGGACCATGGCGCTGGCGTCTTTCCACATGGACAATATCGGTGTTTCCGTCTTGTCCAGGAGCGCGTCCTTGATGACCGTCATCTTTTGCAGGAATGACGGGGTGCTGGACGGAGGCAGGCGCGACGGGGGGCCCGAAGGCGGAAACGAGCTTGCCGAGACGGATACGGTGCTGGGGCTGTAGTTCATAGATGGCGAGTTCGAGCTATGACCGGAGCTGAGCGACGGCGAGTTCGAGTTCGATATAAACTTGCGCTCGGCGGCCTCGAGCGAAGAAGGACGGGCGACGCGGACGTGCGTCCGAGGAACCGGCGACGAGCAAGACTCGGCGTTGGTGAAGGTCAAGGTGAAGTAGGTCTGGTGGTCTTCGATTTCCCATATCGTGATGATCATCTTGGCGTAGATCTGGTAGTCGGACCGCCTCGACTTGGGGATCTCGGCCATGTTGAAATTCTTAGGCAGGACCACAACATCGACAGCAGAATCCGACGCTGGCCTTCCCGAGACGTCGAGACTGGACTCGGCGCCGGCGCCGTTGCCGTTTCTTGAGAGCGCGGGGCCGCCGTCAGCAACATCTCGGCGTGCTGCCGCAGCGGTGGTGATAGCCTGCTTCGCGCCCATCTCGACGACCAGTCCATCCAGGAAGGACTCCCAAGAAACCCAGACCAGCCTCCCGTCCTGAAGCATGTCCACGCCGATCTGAGAGAGGGTCTGGCCCCGTAAGCTCTCGCATATCGCAGACACGTCGTCCATGGGCTGAGGCGAGTCGCCTACCAAGCCCAACATCTTCCCCATGGCCTCGTTCGCTAGGACGACGGTCTTGAGGTTGTTCAGCACCAGCACCGGCACGGGCAGGAATTGCATGGCCGAGAAGGCGAGCTGGCTCGGCGAGACGAAGGGCATAGTCAACCTCAGAGGGCTAGCGGAAGCAGAACGCCTCCCCTTGATGGGCGTCACCGTCGGCAGGTCCCGGAAGATGCCATTGCTAGTGAGGTGGAGGGGCTCGCCACCCCAAGGGCCATGCCGGTCAATCGGGCCGGGGACGGGCTGGCAGCTCTCGTGCACAGCTTGGCTCGGCAGCGGTACGAAATCCGGAGCAGGCGAGGGCTGCGGAATCGTAGGTACGGGAGTCGGGGTATCCAGAAGGTTTGGGGGCGTCATGTCGCCGGAGCAGGTGGCACAGACGAAGGAAGGCCCATGAGCTGCACGCGACACGGACAGGCGGAAGGGCGGAGTGAGGGTGGGAGAATTAATTTTGAGAGACGGCGCGGGGGCGAGGCCAACGACAAGATTTGCTAGGGAGCAGCCATGAATGAGACGGGACGGAGGCGTTCTGCAACGGGCCCAAGTTAAGCTGCGCTCGTCTCGTTGTCAGGGCCGGGCCCAGCTCGAGCGCCAATCTGGGGCGTATTCTGGACGGGGTCTCGACCGTTCGGTGACACTAAACGAGGAAGGACAATCGGCCAATTCGCATCAGATGGTTCGTTTTTTTTCTTCCCCCCCCCGGACGTGATCGATTAAAAAAGGATGCTAGCTGACGGGAGAGACGACGGTCGTCAGGTTTGCGCCTTTGTAGTCGGCATATAATATGTGTAGATAGAGAGAAATGCTACGCAGCATTATCCGTCCGAGCCGCGATCCCGAGCGCAGGAGTGTAATAGGGCGCGGCACGCCGGCCGCAGAGGGCAGTCTACGACAGACAGAGCGACAGGCAGGAAGCAAGGCGTTCTCGGGCGGGCAGATGGCAGATGTGTGGCTCCGCGGACGGGACGATCAGGTCGGCTGGGAAGAGAAGGGTCTCGAGGGTTCTCTCGTCTGTAACCTGGTTCTCGAGAGAGAGGGCGGAGAGAGAGAGAGACAGGCAGACATTGGAGGGACGGACGGACGGGAATGGGGATGGGAAGGGGGATGGGGGGCCCATGCTGGTCGGTGTGTGCGGTCTGGCCTAAGCTACCTAGAGGTAAGTTGACTAACACCTACCTAGTCGACGCTCGCACAGAACCGGTACCTCAGCCACCGCCCACCTCGCACACGCAGGCCAGGTACCTGTGCACCCAGCTTCTGCCTCAGCGAGCAGGCCTGCGCTATGCACGTTACCTCAGAGGCACGTACCTACCTAGCCTAGCTCCTAGGCCGGCCTACACCTTACTCAGTATCCCTCCGGTACCTCCTCTAACCATGGGTGTACCCGCGAGTCGCCGGGAGAGGTGGTTGGCAGGTCGAGCTTCAAAGGAGTGGACCTTGGGCGTCACGTTTGGGAAGCATGTACCTCTACCGACGTCTACCAACCTGTCTAGGTACCTACCTTACCTCCTACCCATCCGCACGCAGCCATCCAGGCGGGTAGCCGATACTAGCTCGTCTACCTAATACGTGAAACTTGTCAGTAGTACCTCCGGTACGGCCGTGGATGGATCCGTCCGGGTCGCCTCCTCCTCCCCTCCCTCCCCCCCCCCCCCCTCCAACCCATGCCACCGCTCCCTAGCACTGTGGTTATCGTCATGTCTAATGCAATCCCATACGTAGGCCCATGCCCCGGCCTGGCTGCCTTGGGTGCCCTCTACGTCTGGACGGGTGCCGAGTCTCGGGGGGGTAAAACATGTGATAACACGAGTTTGCGGGTCTCGCATTGTCCCCACGGCACGGACGAGTCCAGGTATAAATATGTATCTATCGCCGTATGCGGGCACGCATGCCTGCTAAGCGAGGAGGCAGGCAGGCAGACGGGCAACCTGCGAATCGCAGAGCGTGCAGCGGCGGATGGGACGGATGGGCTGGATAGGATGCGGCAGATAACACGCGAGTCCCAAGCAGGTCCGTGGATGGATTAGGATCAGTCGAGGCCGGCCAGAGAAAGGGGATTGCCGGAAGCTATACATGGTTGCGAGACATGCGCACGCGCGCGCATCCCATCTGACGAGAGAAGCTCTGAAATCGGCGTTGTCGCATAGCTACACGCGCCTAGATGCGGTGCCTCACCTTGGGTACCCACCTCCCTCCCTACCTACCTAGGTGGGTAAGACCGATGTGGACTCCTTTTTTTTTTCTTTTGTTTTCTCTTCCTTTCTTGTCTTCTCTTTTCGGGTTAAGAAAGGGGGGGACGGTGGCCCCAGTGCTGGCCTCGCCCAGCAGGCTGCCGGACCCCGGACGATAAGAGGGAATACCTACATTTGGGAGCCATGCCCGGCGCGAAAAGGCGCGAAGGACAGGCCCTCTCTGGTGCTCACGATATCGAGAAACGCATGTTAGCGGCTCCTTCGGCATCGAGGGCTGCCCGTCGCTATGGCGAGAGAGGGAGAGGGAGAGAGATAGGCACTGTTGTATGAATACAATGCTGAGGCTCTCGCAATCTCTTGCAGCTTTCTCCGGCGCTCGAGAGCCCCAGATCGCCAGGATGTTGCGCCGTCAATCCCATTCAGGGTCCCGTCGTTACACACATCCACACTCGCGCTCACACACACACACACACACACCACAACTCCCACACCACACACACACATACCTACACATACACATACACATACACATACACATACCCACAGACGCACACGCGCACGCACTTACACGTACATCCATGCCCACACACACACACGTACGAAAGCAGCGCGCTAGGCGAGAACGAGAACGACGGCCTCGAGGGAAAAGTGTGGAGTAAGACAAGGGCCCAGGGAGCGCCACTTATTACCGTCCCGAGTACCGACTCAATACTCGACCATTGGGTCGTGGCGCGGTGGGGACGAGCACCGCCAAGCCTGGACGCGAACCAGAACGTCGCAATAATTACCTGTCATATTCCTCCATCCCTCTCCCGGTTTCTCTCCACCTCTCTCCCCCTCTCCCTCCCCGCGTCTCTCTCTCTCTGTCTATACTACGTAGTATGTATATATACACATATGCTATGTATGCCACGGCACATACAGTGCCGGACAGGACCCGGCACGCCTCCATGTGTACATCCCTCCTCGGCGCTAGGGTATTACCATCCTCATATGCGCATGACACCCTCCCTCAGCGATCCCTCCATCCATCCATCCCTCTCGCCGTGTATGCTACCTAGTATATATTAACCTGCATGCTGCCGTGCCCGGCAACCATGAAGGCACTCTACCTGCCGTCGGCCCGTCGATACCTCGCACGCCTCCCTTCGCCGCATACTCGACGAGCGTACATCGCAGCCAGGCCGAGGTACCTACGCACGATGCTGTGACCTAACCTCACGACAGGTTCGGCCTACGTCTTCCCGAATCCGTGGTTGCGGGACGGGCACAGCTGCTGTGTCGGTAGTAGCAGGGCGGCAACGACTGGGCTGGAGCTGGCCAGAGAGGACGGGCCACCTAGCCCTAGCTTTCTTGCTAGAGGAGGGGGGGGACTTTCTGGATCGATGACTTCGACATCGACGGCATATCGCCGCCGCCTTCGCCTCTCACCCGACGACAGGTGCTCCGACAGCTCCCTAGCAGGGCCGATAACGCATGCGGTATACACATATACCTCAGGTACCGATACCTATGTGCGTAGTCAGGCAAATGGTGAAAGAGGATCGCGTCTACGAGTTGGGTAGTTCGAGGTTGCATTCCATCCCTTTCCTCCCTTTGTTTAACCTCCCCTCTGTTTCCTTTTTTCTTTTTTTTTCCTTTCCGGTTTCCCTCTGCTCGATTGTTATGTCTCCTTTGGCATCCCTGCCTCTCCTCTCTCATCGAGTCTTGCCCCCGAAACCCCAACCTACGTTACACACATGTCCGTCTCTCTCTCTCTCTTACGTAGGCACGTACGTAACACCCCGTCAGTAAAAAGAGACGAGTAACTCCAGGCTCACCACCTGTACCGCATGTGACCATCTCGCGTGCACCCCAACTACCACTCCGCCCTGTACCGAGTAGGACGCGAGACAGAGGCAGAGCGCCCAGAGAGAGAGGGAGACGGAGGACGGGAGAGAGAGAGATCGCCGTAAGCACCGGCCGGGGCCCAGCGGCTGACGTCGACCGCCCACCCGCGGCCGGCCAGCCCTACGTGGGAGCAGCTGGCGCTCGAACGCCCTTCTCCGGCGCCGGAAACATCAGTTAAGGGGTGCCAGCCACAGGCAAGCCCAGACGAACCTGCACCACCGCCCGTACTCGCTCGCGTATGCAGACACGGCCGCTGGGACCCACTCGCATCTAGCCCTCCCCTCCCCTCCCCCCTCCTCCAACCCTCGCGCTGCCCGTTCCCGCCGGGCTCCACGCACACCGGCATCCCTATGAGTATGCGCGCGCATACACGGACACGCCTGCATGCGCTACCTACGTCCGGGACGCACACACTTCAATAATACCCCCCTCCCTTTCTCCCCCCCAGAACTGCGTTCGAGAGATGCCTGCCGCCCTCGTCGGTAAGGAATACGTCACGTCGAGTGCGCCGCGCGACGAACACGGCGCGGAGGCAATGCGCTGGTCGCTAGTGCGCGCATGCGGGCGAGTATGAGTAAGTACGAGAGATCCCCGGGGGTGGGGAAGGGGAGAGGGGGGATGGGGGGGGGGATGAGATCAACGTCCTCCCCACTGCGCTCGCCACCCCTCAGCGATCACAAACGTGGCGGCTCGCTGGCTCGCTTGCCGGCCGGGCCGAAAAGGAAAGACTGCAGTCGAGAGCGAGAGCGAGAGCGAGAGAGGGAGATGCACCTACCTACGACAAGACCAGCCCACACATGCTTGACCTAGGTAATTCGATGATGTGCGAGCGTGTCTCGCACGCTGGCCCCAGACCGCGCAAGCCCGCCACGGCCGGCCCGCGTCCGTGGCGGAATATAGCTAACGTATCTACCGGGTCCACGTATTGCCTGCTAAGGCGGGCTGCGTTGCTAGTAGGGAATAGAGTCGCGTAGCGCGGCGGCAGGCCGTTCCCCCTACGTTCGCCTACCTACCGCTCTGGCTTCATCGCCTGCTGGTCATGGGTGGCCGGTCCATACATACCTTCAATACACATTCATGGCATACGTTCACAGTAGGCACTCATGGCATACGTTCGTAGCATACATCCCTAGTCGGGCCCGCAGAGCGAAATAGCCAGCGACAAGCTCAGCAGCCGCAGCGCCCTGCCGTCACCTGCAGGCGTTAAAAGGGCCTGCTAGCAGCCGGTGAAGCCGTCGCGGCCGAACCTTTACAGCGACCCCCCCCCTGCTAGGCCCGCGAACTAGGAAGTCAGGTGCTCGACAACACATGCAGGTATGAGTAAGTCGACGTAACGGCCCCGGGGGGGGTGAAGGGGGGCGAAGGAGGCCCTCCCCAGCCCTCCTCCCACCTTAGCGTAGGTAGACTGATCCCATGGTAGGTATCAAGGGAGAAAGAGCGGCGTACGCGTCCGTATACGCAGGCTTACGTCGAGGGGACATCATTCCGGAGAGAGAGAGGGAACAGTAGGTAGTTTATTTGCGCTTACTCATAGTAACTACTAGACTTACTCGCCCGGCGGCTAGCGCGCACCGTGCGTCCGCTCCGCACCGCGCCGGGCCCTCCCCTACGGCCCCGCTCACCTAAGGGCAGAGAGACAGCACCGAGTAACGGAAAAGCATCGCACCCAAGTCATTCTCGTCATCAGACACCCCCCCGCCCGCCAAGCCAGCCGCCCGGACGACGCCGCGAACGTAGGTACCCGCACACTCTGCATACCGCGTACCGGGACGCAACCTCACGCCGGCCCGCCGCGTCCCCGTCTTCACCTCGACGAGGTCTTGATCGCGCCGCAGCGGTCGCACGACCACCACTCCCTGGCGCGGACGCGCCCGCAGGCCGCGCACGTCCACGTCGCCGGCCGCGTCGCCCCAGCCCCTGCCCCCGCCCCCGTCGTGCGCGAGGGTGCGCGAGGCGGCGACCGCGTGAGGTCGATCACGGGCGGCGGGCGCCTCGCGCGCTCGGGGCGCGGCGACTCGCAGGCGTCGCAGCGCGGGAGCGCCGCCGGGTTCTCGAGCGTGCAGACGGGGCAGGCCCAGGCGGGGGGGGTCCGGCTCTCGGGGGGCGCGCCCCGGATCTGCGTCCCACCACCGCCACCACCACCGCTCCTCTCCGCCGCCGCCGCCTCCTCCTGCTGCTCCTGCCCCTGCTCCTCCCAGAACCGCCCCGCGCGCGGCGGCACGTACGCGTCGCCGAGGCGCTCGCGCTCCTCCTCCTGCACGAGCTCCCACAGCGCCTGGGCGATCGCCGCGTCGTTCGCCGTGTCGTCGTCGGCGCGCGTCCGGCGCCCGCCGCGCGTCGCCGCCTCCGCCAGCCGCCGCCGCTCCGCCTCCGTCCCCCCGCCGTTCCCGCACCCGCGCAGCGTCGCGCGCCGCCGCTCCGCCGCCGCCGCGATCACCCGCCGGATGTCCTGCTCCGGCCGCGGCGCCGCGCCGCCCAGCCGCTGGCCCGGCCCCGCGCTCTGCTTCTTCTTCTGTCGCTGCTGCTGCTGCTGCTCCTCCGCCGCCGCCCGCGCCAGCCGCCGCGCCTCGTGCCGCGGGATCCGCTGCCCGCCCAGCCGCCGGCCCGCCGACAGGAACCCCTCGCCCGTGTACCCCTTGCGCACGAGCGCGTCCTGCTCGTCGCGCAGCTGGTTCCACAGCGCGTGGAACTTGTCGTCGTGCGGCCCGTGGACGATGTGCGCGAGCTCGTGGAGCATCGTGTCGAGCACCGCCTCCGTGGACATGAACAGGCTCGAGTCGCTCGCGTACCGGAGTCGCAGGCAGATCTTCTGTCCGCCGCCGACGTTCAGGCCTGTCCACAGTTGCTGTTAGCTACGGTGTGCCCCCCCTTCGTTATTGATATATATATATATACATATACATATGCCTACGGTTTCTTTTTCCATAGCTCCACCCCCTTACCTGAATACTTACCTAGTAGATTCGGTTGGTCGGGGTAGAACTCGGTCAGCTGGTTAACCCTCCAGCCTCGCGCCCTCATGATCGGCTTCACGAGGGAGGACACCTTCTTCAGGGTCTGCAGCGCCTCCTTCTCGCGCGGGAAATTCACCAAGTGCGAATACGAGAGAATCAAGGGATCTATCTCTCCCATGTTGTCGACGAGTCGTGCGCTGTCAGTCGTTGGCTCGGGACGGATGTACGGGGGAACGGGGAAAGGGGGGGGGGGGTTGTGCTTTTAGAAGAAGAAAGCTCGGACAAGAGCGGAATCAATCCCTTAGAGCTGATGAACAAGAAATGAAAGGATGCGAGCCGAGCATCTATCCATTCGCGAGGCTACGGATGCTGCGAGGATGTCAGGTAAGCCATGTCACGGCGTCTGGCGAATTGCAAATTTCTAGAAGTGACTGGTCGGCAATCGTGGCATTCGCTGAATACGCGTCACCTCCCCCTTTGACAGACATACGTGGAGGCGGTGTCTGTTGCCTGCGGTCCGACGAGTAACCCCGCTTAGCCATGGTAGTCGCAAATATCCTGATATATTCATATACATGCATAGAATGTATATACCTATATATCGTGTGTTCGTATGCTTCTCGGTTGGTCCGCTTCCTGTGATCCCACGATACGAGTTAGTAAACAACTAATATGCGAATCTCAGGATGCAGAACCTGACGAACCATTGATCAGATAACCAGAAGATAGAATAACGCGATTAAAGAGCTTGTTCATATGTGTACTTTTACTCGGAGCCCGGATTCACGATAATCGGGATCCGCACTCGTACCCGTATAGTATTCTTATATAGGCACCTCTGTTGCACAACCAAAAAGGAGACGAACACGCACTACGCACACCCTCACTATATATACCTGCTAGGCGAGACAACATACATAGTCGTAGAGCTCACGGCAGGTCGCGGAGCGCAGAGATTAAAAATCCCGGACCGTAACTTCTCTCTACATATACGCTTATCACCTCACGCGAGACAAACTCACCTTAGCCTAGGATACTTCTCGTGCGGCGTCGAAGCCGGGGCCCGAATACTGAACGCTGTCTGTAATTATTGCTTCACTCTCTGCCTGATTCCTCCGGCCTGGTGCCAACCCAAGATCTTCCCTCCCGACTTGTCTCGTCGGTACTAATTACCAAAACTGCGCCAGCCGCGGTTGGCGACGACGACACTTCCCGCGTCGAGCAGCAACAACCGCCGGCACCCCTGGTTCCCAGTAACTCGCACATGCGCACGAGGCCGACACGTACCCTCGTCATTCACGCACGCCTAGACCAAGACACTTCGAACAACCGTCACGTCACGGAGGGCCGACTTTTGTTGCATGGGAGTTTCAAATGCTAACAGATGAGATAGTTTTGCCATAGGCGAACTCGACGTAACCGGCCCTTCTACGCATGCCGTCCAACTCCCCAACTAAATGCCCTTTGCCGAAATAGAGGAGTATTGTTGGTTGTGAATCGCCGCGGTTCTCACCTCGTCGCCTGCTCTTCCAAACTTGAGGTTCACGGCGTCCGAGGGGCCGCTCGGCCCGACGAGTACTAAATGACCGCCCTCCATCAACCGCTACCCTCCCCCCCTCTCCCCCACACGCACAACAGAATAAAATTAGATCGGGTTCGGGAACGGCGCGTCTTCCCGTATTACAAGATGGTAACGTAGGATATAAGACGGCGACGAACAAGGTATCATCAGCGTCCAAAAAGTTGGGGGAAGCAATTTCAGTTAGTTTTGGTACCCTAGCGCGCACCCGCAGAGTCCTGAGTTGAGTTTGGTAACGTATTTCTTTGTCGCGCCATCGGGACGTCCTTTCTATCGGTAAGAAATCTCACCAAGCCCTCTCCTCCTCCTAAGGCTCGCCGCCTCGTGCTCGCCCTCGCCTCCGGAAGAAGTCCATCACCCTCTTCGCCGCGCCACTGCTGCCCGCGTGGTCGTGAGGTCTTCCGTACTCTTCTCCGTCGTAGGCGTCCACAAACCTCCGGTTTTTCTGCAGGACACGGCTCCCGCGACCCGACGACTGACGCGGATCGTACGGCTCGGAGTCGTAGCTCCCTTGATAAGGCGCTGAGCTTGGTGGTTTCCGGTGACCTTGATCGATCGATGACTCCGAGCCCGAATTCGGGACCGCACCCTGCTGCAGGTAGGGCGGAATGGGCGTCGGTCTCGAGTTGGACGGAAACCGCTGCTGGATCGGGCTTGGGTTCGACTCGGATTGGGAAGCCGAGGCAAAACGTGGCGATTGTAGTTCATAGGTCCCATCTCCGTACTGCTGTGCCGTATTCCCGCGTCCCTGTTGGGTGTCGACATACCGATTGTATTCATCAGCGTCAGGGGGTTCCTGAATGGGAAGATCCTGCTGGGAAGCGTCGAGTGGCGATGCTTCCGGCTCTCGACCCAAACCCATCGCTTTCAGGAGCGAGAAACGGCGGTTTGGCTTCTCCAATGATACTTGCGATCCGGCTATGCTGCCGCTCCGCTTCTTGCCCAGTCCCAACGTGAAGGATCTCCTCGAAGCGCGGGAGTCCATAGAAGTTCTCGAGTCGCCCGGCAGAGCATTTGTCATGCTAATCGGAGGATACTTCTTCGATGGTCTCTCTCCTTGCTGGTCAGGCCGCTTCTTACGTCCGCCAAAAATAGACCCGTTACGACCAAAAATCTTACCGCCGATTTCGCCAATCGTGTTGGATCTCCTGTGGCCCTTAGCCTCTCCAGACTGCTGTTGGCCCGGGGCGACGCCCGACACCTGTGCAAACTTCGGCGGCACAGAGACGCTCGGCCGGCCGAAATCCATGTCGGGCGTCTCCTGGGGTATCGGGTTGGAGATGACGTAGTTCTTCGCACCTCCCTTGGGTTGTTGTATGCTTCCGTGAACGTTAGTGCCGGCAACGGCTGGGGGCAATGGTTGGCCGTACGATCCTCGCGTAGACGACGCCAGCCTCGACGCGTTTGAGTGCATCGAACCTCCGGTGGTTGGTCGTGTCCCAGACGTGCTGGCGATGGTGGGCGCGGTCATATAGCCATTATCAGATGTAGTACGAGGTACATTTGTCCTCGGAGGCGGCGCGTCACGACGATGGGAGCTAGGTGGCTTCCGCGGGTCCCGCGAGGAGGCGGAATAATCATCTCTCGAGACTGGCGGATCCCTCGGCAAGGGCTTGTCAGCCGGTTGAGAATGAACTTCGACGGGGCCTTGACTAGAAGACCTCGCCCGCGTCTTTCCACGGGGCGTGGCGTGGGCGTCGAGCGGCTGTTCAACTCCTCTCTGAGTCTGAGTCACGGGAGCCACATATTCCACTTGAACAGTTCGTCGTTTGTTATCCTTAGGCGGCATTCCGTACGCCTGCTCCTCCGCATCCGCCTTGCCCGGTTTCCGCGACGAGTCGCTAGTGGCGGCAGCAGCCGACTTCGTCCTAGATGATTCTCTCACGGATGCACTTCTCGCCAAGGACCCGGCATCCGCATCCTCGGTTGGCACGGTGGTGTTCTGAATCTCGCTGCTGGTGGTTGTAGTGCTAGTAATGAGCTCCACTACGTGCGCGTACTCGCTCAACCAGCTGTGTCGCGCTACTTCAAAAAGGTCTGCACGTTTCCGCGGGCTGGGAACAAGTATACGACGTAGGAGGTCTCGCGCGTGGGGAGTGACATATTCGGGGAATGTCAGAGGGGTATTCACGATGTACTTGTAAAGGAGGTTGATATTATCGCCTTCGGGATTAGCCGGGTCGTCGTCGAAGGGTAGATATCCGGCAAGCATAGCATACTGAAGCACGAGGTAGTAAGCAAAACCGCTAATCTGCAAATCCGTTCGCTTCTACTTACGAGGATAACACCGCAGCTCCACACATCGACCTTCCGGCCTGTATATAGCGAGTCGCTAACCACCAGCTCTGGCGCAGCATAGCAGGGGCTGCCACAACTAGTTTGCATCAGATCGCCCCTGCGCATCCCGTTGGGCTTCGTCTTGTCGAGGCCGGAACGCTTGACGAAGTCCCGGTCAGACAGGTTCAGTTCCTCGTCCTCAGTGAGTTCGTCGTTGGCATCGAATGTGTTGGCGAAGCCAAAGTCGGTGATGATGATGTTGCGATTTCGATCGAGCAGTAGATTTTCAAGCTTCAGGTCTCGATGAACAATGCCCTTCTTGTGTAAATACCCCACACCCGAGATGAGCTGAGCGAAAAGCCTCCGAGCGGGACCATCTTTCAAATATCGATGGTTGAGGATGTAGTCGAACAGCTCTCCACCCGAAGCGTACTCCAAAACAATTCCTATGTGACGTTCCGTTTCGGACATCTCGTGCAACCTAACAATGTTAGGATGTGATAGACCGCGAAGGATAGCTACCTCGCGATAAATCTTGGCGAGTCGCGAAGGGTTATTTCCCACGCTATCCCGTCGGATGAGTTTGATGGCAACCTAGGGAGCAAGTACGATTAGCTTTGCCCATCATCGGATGAAGAATGCGTCAATCCTCACCTGAACGCCACCGTCTTGTTTCCAACCTAATTTCACTTTGCCGAATTCTCCTTCGCCAATCGTGTTCCCCAAATAGTAGTCTGCGAATCTCGAAGTCTTCTCCCGTTTGGAATGGTCGTGGCGACTTCGACCGCCGCGGCGGCCATCCTCGTGCGATCCGCTGGCGCTAGCGACCGGAAGGGGGGAAGCGTCGTCGTCGTCGTCGTCGTCAATGACGTGGTGTCCCGTGTCTTGAGCCTGTGCTTCGCTCAAGCGTTCCTTTTCACGCTCGATGTCGTCCTCCGGCTGGGAGATAACGACCCGACTAATGACCTCGCTGGCTTCACGCGACGGCTGCTTCGATGAAGAGGCCGTCGCCGTTCTCACAGGCATAGTAGTCGTGACGGTCTGACGGTGGTCCTTGTTGCTGCTGGTTCGTTGGGTAGGCTCCTGCATGAGATGCTGGGATGCCGCCCTGCGACTTCGGGAACTCGGGTCATCATATGTTCCCCTTGAGGATTCTAGTTGCCCATTTGCGCCACTCTTGCTGCCATCTCCCGGCGTCCGTCGGGGGGAATTCGCCGCCCGTTCTTCTGCACGGGCCGCTCTTCGGGGATTAGGTGCTCCAGAAGTGGAATGCTGCGTAGATGAGGTCCGGGGGGGTGCAACGGGAGGTTCATTCTTCCGGCGACTTGACTTCTCCTGCTCGGCCGAGCCACCCGTCACCGGTATTGGTGAACCTAGGGCGGTACGCGACGTCATCGGAGATGATTGGGCCTGTTCGGCGTGGGTCGGGATCGGACTCGTCGCGTTCGCACTGTTTCCGCTCGGCCGTCTCGATGGTCGCCTCGAAGATGCGGGCGAAGCATTTGCGTTGTCTCGACTAGCAGCAAGACGGCCTTCTCGGCTGGGAGAGTGTGTCGGGGCGTATTGACGTTGTGATGCCGAAGCGCCAGCAGGCGACGGGGTGTTCAAGGTAGGCAGGGACGTTGGCTGGTGTGAGGCTGACTGCAATGCAGCAGACGACATCTTCTACGCAACCCGCGTAGGTCTGCTGCGTCAAGATGAGGGTATGCGACCCTGGAGAAATGAGGATTCAAGGATGGTTAAGGATGAGGAGCAGATAGAGACTCTCCTCTTTGCCTCGTTTTGGATGGCGGGGCGAGTCGACGAAGGCGGTGTTGATGATAAAGAGAAGAGAAAAAAAGAAGAGTAATAAAAAAAAACGAGAGGGAAAATGAGAGTGAGAAGGTCAGAAGATACCTGCGCGCGCGCTGGATCTCTCGGTAAGAAAACAATTCCAGAGGGCTGCCGGTTCGTTAGATCCTCCAATGAGCCCGTTCAGATTGGCATTGTGCGCCGCAATGAAGAGCTATCTCGTAGGAACAGCGTTGCCCGTGGATAAAACCAGTGATCGGCGATTCGGTTCTCCCTTGCTAGGCTGTTTTATCAAACGGGGCGGGTTTGGGTAGCGAGGGAGCGATGCTCTCGGTGTAGTCGATGCTACGAAAAGGGACGTGATAGTCTGAATCTACTTGCAGTACGCGCAACGTAAGCCGACGGATATGACCTGGCCGCGCCTTTTTCTGCTGCCGCTGCTACTGCTGCTCTGATACTCTTCCGCTAGCGGTAACTGTCGTGGCCGCGGTGCACGATTTAAGGGGAGGCTGAGTTGCGCATGCAGGACCGGTGCAGCTTTTGGGCACCAGTAATCTTCAGCTTCTTAATTTCCCGTCTCTCTGCGTTCGTTGACGGGGTTGTCCTGGGCCGCCGGAAAACACCAACGTCGAGTGGCAATAAAAATTGTGCTGGTCCTGTCTTTGGGGCCAGTGAGAGAGCCAGAAGAGCGATAACCCAAGGAGGAGCCGATACTGGGCGGGTTTGTTGTTGTCAGGACCCCTTGACCAACTTGCTAAAGGGGGAGGGGGCGGGATATCGAGCTCGGGTATCCGTATAAGAGGAATTGAGACGGGCTATGCGGAGTGTGGGATGTTTCGTCCTCGTCTAGGTACCGTTGGTCGACCTTGGTTGCGAAGAGCCGACACGCCCAGGCGCGCGCACAGAAGCACATACACTCACCCGCCACGTACACCACAGAGATATAGATACGTGTTGTTGGGTCGGGGTTGATTCCAGCGACGATTACCGACCGACAATCAATTATCTGCGTTGGGGGTGAAGAGGGATCTTGGCTCATGCACCGTTTAACGAGGTGCCGGGGAGAAGGCGTTGCGATTAGGGGTGGGCGGACAACGACCGACGGCGCAGTCTGCAGGGAAAGAAAAAAAAAAAAGGTACTCGCGCGAGGTCCGTATTAGGGAGGCCCCCGAGAGGCGAAAGCCGACAAATAACAGCAAGGGAATAGCAATAACGGTAGGAGAGGCAGGAGATGGGGACGGGGGACGGGGAGGGGAGGAGAGAGCTGTGCTCAGAGAGGAGTGCGAGGAGAGATAAGGAGAGGGAAAAAGAGAAGAATCTTGACAAGATGCGGACCACCAAGACTCTCCAATTGCATTCACACGCTCTCTCTTCCCGTCTCTCTCGAAGCGAGAAAAAAAAGGAAAGAAGGACAGAGGCACGACGGCTACAACTGCGCGAGAAGAATTTCGAAGCCTGGCCTCGGAGGAGAGCCAAGGAGACGACGCGATGGACGAGCGGGAGGAGGGAGGAGAGAGAGGAGGTGACGGCGGCGTCAGTCCAGTCGACGAGAGTGATAATATGGGAGCGAGCATCGATCAGGCTTGTCGGCGGACGGGGGGACGTGGGAGAGACGTGTGGGTGTGGGCAAAGCCAGGCATGGTCGGTTGCTTTTTGGGCTGGGTCTTGGATGGCTTGGATGCTGGGGCGTTGCTTGGTTAGGGGAGGTAGGGATGCCCTTGGGGATGGGAAATTGGAAGATGGGCGGATGGAGACTCGCAGCCAGGGGTCTCTCGTCTCACTCGCTCCAAGTACATGCAGGTCGCAGCCCACCCACGGAGAGGTACCCTATCTACCCAGCCCAGGTACCTTAGATAGGGGGGTACCTGCGTGGCCAGCCCGTTATAGCGGTTCCGTACAGGGCATCAGGTATCTGCGTAAGTCAGGATGCAGAGATAGGTACCTGAGGTACCTAGAATACCTCCTACGTACATAGACAGGTACGCATCGAGGCAGGTCGACACGAGCGGGAAAACACCATGTACCTAAGGGAGGAGGTAGGTTGGGCACCCGGGTAGGTACCTCCTATACCTAGGGGTTCGCACAGTGCGCCGCAACATTCGGTTTAGTTGCATGGATGCCATTTTGCAGCCCACTGCATCTTGCCAGTTCCCGTGTGTGAGTACGCTATGTAGGTCATCTTAATTGCATGGGAGTTCTGCATGCATATAGCATATGTACCTGAGATGTGCCAATTCTCCCACTCCGTCCCGACTCCATACCTGCTGCGACTCCTCCGTACGTTCACACCTGCGCGCAAATTGTCTACAAACCTGGATGCCCGACGTCGACGCATGCCGAGCTACGCGATCCCCAGGCAACTGAGAACGCCGGCAGGCAGAGTGGGCGCAGGCAATTGGTCGCCGGCCTGCGCCAGGCAGAGGGACCTCGGGTGACCTGCTAGTTCTATATATCTCTATGCACGCATGTGCGTACCTCCGTCACCACGCCCGCACCGAGCCATCCTGTCACTGTCCACGTCTTGCCCTCCGCCGTTGGGATGCCGTCTTCGTTCCGGCCTAGGGGACAAGCCAAACTCCACTTTATTCGAGCGGCCCACTAGCCAGAAGAAGAATGCGAGGTGGGCTAAGAGGTGGAAACTGGATGGGCTAGATAGCTAGCCGCACTGGGCGACGGGTCACGACGGATAAACGACGGCGGAATGTCAGGGTGATGAGAAACGAGGCGGCCTGTACTCATATTGACTGACGCAGGTACGGCGCGACCGAGCTTGCGCGCGGAGGTACCTAGGTAGGTACAAACTGCCTACCATATTACCACATCATCCCAAGTACCTCCCAACATACGTGACCTTGACGTGCGGACAGAAATCCCTTAGGTGCACCACGTCCATCGGGATATACGCGATCCCTACGTGCAGACACGCATGCCTAAGGGCAACCTACCATTAGGCAGGTACCGCGCTTGTGTTCAGAGGAGATAGCCAGGTGGGGGCGGAGGTAGAGGTAGAAGTACTACCTTAGGTACCTATATAGACAGGATTACAGCGAACAGGCCGTTTTCTCGGATTTGCCGCGTGGGCACATGTCCAATACCTTACTTAGAGGTAGGAGGTAGGTACCTATCTCAAGGGCCTACTGTAAACCCATCTTATGTATAGAGTGCCCCGGACCTTTTGCCCTCAACCCTTGCCGATTCCCACCTACATCATACTGCATAATTGCAGTGCACAGTATGTATCGACGCAGACGTCGACGCGGCCGGGCCCGGTAATGTGCTGGGTACCTGGCGCAGGCAGATCAGCACCTCCGCGAGCAAGGTAGCCGATACTTGAGGCAGAGAGCAATTGCCCGTTTGCGAACTGTCGGAACTGGAATACTCATATGATGATGATACTTATTTGTATACCTACATATAATCGGCTTCGGCGCTCCGTCACGTCACGTCACGTCTTGGTAGCGAGCCATTAGCGACGGCTTCTCTCACCGAAAGCCTCCGCACCCACCTAGCAAGCGAAGCTCCCAACCTCACGTCATACTACCTTCATCCGTTCGCTGCCTCCCGCCGCCTCGATAGCAGAGAGCTCTTGGGATCAGACACGTTATCAGATACGTTTTGCGCTCGACCATGTGCGCCTTACATCGAACCGCACGCATATATACGCATGAATTGCCTCCCGAGGGAATCCAGCTTGGGGCCGGCGTTCGGTGCGTGAGTATGAATTGTGCCTAACCAACCCTGATAATCTGCCTACCTCCCCTACACAACCCTCCCTCTCTCAACTCCATCGGGCAAACCACGACGATGCGTCGAGAGACGCGCAATGATTTCCCACCGGTTGCCCGGCATCTGCGCACGAGTTGGCTCTGCGTTTGTCGCCATGAGGCGCGTGTGTGCCTAAGTACAGAAGAAACGACGCGCAGCTAGGAAGGATTGCAGGACCTGTTCCTCTTTGGCGCATGTTGCTGGCTATCCGTCGAGCTTGCAAGGATGGCGAGGACAACCACCAGCTCTGGTTCGACCTAATCACTCGCAACCACGATCATACGCCCGCATCCACACATATCCGTAGGTACATACATGTCTACCTCCGCCTAACATGCTTATCGATGTCCAATGCGATGCTGAGAACATTAGCACGGTCACGGTAGAAACTGAAAGCCCGGGGAACGAGGCATCGTGCTGTGCCTCGCCGCGCCTCGCCCGAACTCCTGGCCAGTGCATGCCCACGGTGCGAGGAGAGTGCCGACGCGGCCGGCCCTACGAATACCTATGAGTAAGGCCTGGCGATATCGAACCGACAGATCTATAGGATAGATAGGTATACGTGCCGTGCTTACCCATTACAAAAGCCACTTACACTATTACTACCCAAGCTGACTAGGACCCGGGCGGCATTGGCTGGCTGGTGAGACTGGAAACCGGTGTCGAGCGTGTGTTCTCTACTCTTGTCTCTCTTTACTTTTCTTTTTATCCCCCCCCCCCCCAAAACGAACCAGGATCAGGCATCACTTCTTGCCGCCGTCTACGTCGCGAATAACCTACACGCATCATAGTATGTGACATTGTGGTCAGCCACAATATACCCAAGGTGGCTTCATTTCCACATGGCGTTTAGCGCCGTTTCCGGCGACAAGGATACTTGGCGACCTAGGAGATCCGTCCCGCTGCCGCTCTCTTTCTTTTTCCTGCATGTGATGTGATGTTCGCCAAAGCCGCCGGGATGCTGGGTCGACCTTGGTAATAAACGACTCCCGAGTCCCGACTTGGGCGCTCTTGAAACGGACAAGGATGCCGGGGCCTACTGAAATAAGAAGCTGGAGTAAGGACAGCGCGCCCAATCCGTACGATGAGTGTTTCTTGTCGCCGCTTTCGAAATCCCAACGAAACCCCTAACTGCGGACGAGACCAAACATCGTCTTCATATCGCATCATCGTCACATTATCGCATACTATACAGCCTCCCGAAGGACCCCAGCCTTCCATTTACCTTCTCCTCGCATTCTTCATCGCCGTTCCTCCTTCTCTCCCTGCCCCGGCCCCGCCAGCAATTCCGTTTGAGATCGGCAACGCCAGGCCGGAACCCCTGTGTTAGTATGCAGCGTTACTTCTCCAATTCTCTGCCTGCGGCGCTCCTCCCGAGGCCATATGCCTGTATGCATATATGAGTATTTGCCTATTCGATATCTACCTAGCTTGTCGAGGAATTGTTGACTCGAGTACGCGTTTTTGTTTTCGTCGCATGGCTTGTCGCAGCCTCGCTTCCAGGATGGTCGCGATTTGCGGCCAAGGCCCCCCCGCCCCTGGCTGTTTGTTATTGTGGCGGCTATCCAGGCCGCCACAATACACGTACATAAACAGATTTTTCGCTGATCACCAAGGGCTCGAGGGTTCGAGTGCGAAAAGACGTGTGTCCCCGATCCCGCCCCGACAATTGAGGCGAGATGGCGGTCATCTCCCGCGAGATCCTCAGTACCCACCTAGCCAGGGTTCGAGGTATGCGAGTGATCATAAGAAGAAGAAAAAAGAAAGAAAAGAGATAATTCTCCCCTTCCCTCTCCCCTCGGTTTCTTCATTCACTCGATAACACCTACCTAAATGACGAGCGCGTCCCAGCCGCTGCGAGTCGCGGCAGATGACAGGTCCCACCAGGGCTGATAGGCTGAAAAAGATCAGATCTTCTTGCATTGACATCGGAGATGACCTTCGATGGATCCGGACAGGGGTTAAGGGGAATAACTCGCAGTTACTAAAAGCTTACAGGGCCGCGGCCCACCGAGCGGTCAAGCAAAGACGAGATCCGATTCTCGAGATATCAGACTACAAACGTCGTATCATTCGACTCGACCAGACCATCGTCCACGTTGAACCGCCGCGAGGCAGGCCATCACATCTCTTTGTTCAAGGGCTTCCCTCCCAGTCATGAAACAAAATGGGAACACGAGAGCCTTGTCAGCCCGTACGACCGTATTTCGGGAAGCAGGCAGAACAGGCTCGTCTCAGCCTCCAAGAAACCTGATCCCTCTAATTACCTACATACCGAGAGATCTGCTGTCTAACCAGCAGGGTAGCTTGAGGGGGAGCAATTCTACCGTATTCTCACATCTACACGCTCTGCAAGCAAGTGCAGATCCTCTTCAGAGCAAATCTTCTTCGGAGACCAACCCCAGTTCAACATTACGTACTCGTAAGTACGTCCACATACCACGTAGTATGCGCGTACATACATGTAGGTGCATCTCCCCATCCCATTGAAACCACGGATATGGTCCCGCGTAACCCCCTCCAAACCCGCTATTCTCCGCGTTGGCGGCCGACCGCGTGCCCCCCGGCCGTACGTCTAGGCGGCAGGCCTCGATACCTACGCAGTTACCGCCGGAGGTAGAGCGAGCCGAAGATGATGTCTCGGAATGAACCTCGGTGTGCCTATCAAAACAGGTTGTGGCAGGCCAGAGCGAGACACCTAGCTAGCCGTGCTCTCAGTCGGCCCTTGATAGCGGACGAGGTCAATCAATAAATTGGTTTCTCCTGGGGAAGGGCGTTGTCTCGTACTACTCAGCGCGTCCAGCTGCAGACATATACGTTACGTAGCAAGTGAATACTATCGCCGTCGTTGTAGCTCGAAGGGGTGTTGGTCACGCGCAATCCCTGCCGAGCTCATCTTCACCTTGGCCGCATACGGTGCATATTCTCGTTATTGCTGGCGACGGAGATGGGGAGATGGGATTGCCGTACCAGGGCGCGCGGGACGAACAGTGGCGTCTTGACCAAAAACGGCGCCTCGCACGGGGACGGCGGCGCATCAGAGGTAACGCGCATCTCGATTTCCGCCGAAACATCTCTCGCCAATTGATCTAGGTTGGTCGCGGTATGCGAGCAGGAAAGCAGGCAGAGCAAGGCCCGCCGTCGCACTCTATCTCGCGGCCCCAGCATCCGCGAATTAGTAGGGTCCGCAGCTGCAAGCGGGAGATACACGCAAAGTGTGATGCGACGAGATCGGCCTGTATCCAAGCAAGAAGGCAATCGGTCCATCCGTCCCTCCGTCACTCCCACTTAGCCGTCCCCATACACCTGCACACCTGCACACCTGCACACCTGCACACCTCCACATACACACACCTCTACAGTTCCGGTATAAGGTCAAGAGCGTGCCAGGGGGGCATGGTCACATGCCAACCCGAAAGCTAAGTTGCGCGCTTATACGCAGGCGGGGAAGATGGGGAGGAGGGGGGACTGTCTCGGGGCGATCCGAACATTGCCGGATCGGCGTCACGTCTCTCGGTTCGGCGGTGGTGGTAGTGGTGGGTGATGGTGGTGGGATCGTGCGCTGAGACAACGAGTGACGCAGGCACCTGACGATCGGGGTACCTACATAGCGTAGACCTGCCTACATGCGCATATGCACGCCGACGCCGACGCAGAGGAATATGAACGTTACATGGCACCGCCCTGCTCGGGCGTTGGCAGAGTGCGCGATATCGCAGCGCATGCGACAGCGCCGGCCCGGAGGCGGCCTCGTTAGTCAGCGCGAGGCGAGAAGGCGCGCGGGGTGGCTACGAGACGTGCGGGCTAGGCGTCGGTGTTGGCTGAATCTACGGTCTAGAATGGAAGTCTCCTACAAGCGATGTAAACCCGCGTGTTGGCAAAGGGGCTAGCTAGCTACTTCTAACGCCTATCTATACGAACCTGAACTGAACCGTCGAGGCACTGCACACAACCTCGCATAGATAGGTACCCAGGCACCCGATCCCCGAGACAGGGAACGGAACAGGCGGCCGCAGCATTCCGCGTCGCCAGGGAGGCGACGACACCGCCGCGACCCCCACCCTTCGAGCGGACTCATCTCGCCCGAGAATACTGCCCAGCCGTACGCGGCAGACGGCCCGCCACGCACTTACCTCCCTCGGTCCCCCCGCTCCTCTCCCCCCTACGCAGCCCCGGAGAGGAGGACAGCGACACCCGCCCACCCGTCACCGCCAGCGCCGGCGCGAGCGCAGCACGTATGCGTATATAAGCATGCAGAGGACGTGTCGACGCGCCCCCTACGCCCGCGGCGCCTCGGTCCCCACCCTGACCTCCACCCTGACCTCGACCGCGGCCGGGGCTTGGGCTTGGGCTTGGGCCTGGGCCTGGGGCTCGGCGCCGAGCACCATGTTCCGCATGCGGCGGGCCTTCTCGAAGCCGCCCAGGTACCACAGCACGCAGCGGCCGAGCGACGCGACCTCGCCGTCTCTGCGGCGCGGGCGCTGCTGCTGGTCCTCCCGCGCCGCCTTCTCTCGCCCCTCTTCCATCGCCCGCCTGCCTGCGCCGCTGCTTTCCGCGCGCGCGCGCGCTGCGCTGACCTACCTGCCTGCCTGCCTGCCTCTCGCGAGACGACGATAGTCCCGAGGGCGCGAGCGGCCCGCGCGGGTAGGTATAAGTGCCGGGCGGATAAAGAAGGGTTCGTGTGAAAGGAAAGGGGAGAAAGGAGAAGAGCCCCCCTCGGCCCGACTCGTGCTGCTACCCGCGGATTCGTATCCGGGGCACCTAGGCCCGCGCGCTCGCGCTCGCGCCACGTCCGCCTGCTGCGTATCTGCGTGCCCAGCGTCCCTACGGCCTCCCGCCCCAGCCTATTATCTCCGGCAAGCGGGGAGTCAAGCGTGTTTCTTTCGGGAGGCGACGCGCAGGGCCGTCGGTTAGGGGGGGGGGGGGGGTGGACGGGAAGAAAGAGGCAGTGGATGAAAGAGAGAAGAAGGGGGAGGAGAACGCGTCGTCTTAGTCTCCGCGACGAACCTACCTAGGGCCTGCTTGCTCGCTTGCTTGCGTGCCCTCTTCTCCTGCTGCAGCCGCTCCGCTGTCTCCCCCTCGAGCGCGAGCGAGCGCGCGGGCGTGGCTGGGCTAATAACAACCCCCCGGCGACGCCTGCAGGCACAGCTTCGACGGCGCTGTTCGCGCACGGCGCCTTTGCTGCCGGCACAGGCGCAGCAGCGCGCGCGCAAGGGGCGGGGCGGGGCGACGACAATCTCTTTGTCGCGCGCGCGCTGGCGCTGGCGCTGTTTCAGCGCGGCGCGTCGAGACGGGAGCGAGGCGGACCGCTAGCCCCCCCCCGGGCTCGCGTATCTGCCTGTCTGGCGGGGCCTGCCCTTTGTCTCCTTTGACGGGACGGGGCGGAAGCGTGGGGGGAGCGGATGCGTGGGGCGGGGGGACAAAGAGGCCTTGGCCTGCGGGAGCCGCATCTCGGGCGCGCTTGTTGGCCAGCCGTCAAAAGAGGCCGGCAAGTATAGGCCAGTCGTCGCGGTGAGGTGAGTAGACAGGGCGGACGAATGGCACCGCGAGATGCCGAGGTCGGGTCGGGTAGACGCGGGAAGTAGGTATGTGTGTTCTATATCATCACTTGACTCCTATGTACGAAGAGAAAGACTTGGATCGAAGGGTTGCATGTTAGGCGTACTAATCAGTATGTGCCGCTCTCGCTCTCTTCCCAAGGTGGGAAATAATAGGGGTCCCAAACGCAGAACTGCCGTATCTAGCTCTATGAACCCAGAGTTGTGATCCAACAGTCCCTCGGTACACCCACGGACGCAAACACACGGAGACGATGTCGTTCCCGGCGGGTGGTGATTCGACACGATATATGTACGCTTGTCATTCTCTCTATATCCAACGTATGCAACAAATTTACAGCTTGATCGATATATTCCAGGCGTCCAGCGCGACCGCGAGAGCAGCCAGCACGGCGGCGTACCCCACCAGGATCCCCATTGCCACCTGCGGCCCGACGTCCAAGGTCGGCACCGTCATGTTCACCAGCCCTGTCAGCAGGTTCGCCGCCAGGAACATAGCCAGCCCGTTGCGGTTGAAAGCCCGCAGCACCCGGCTCGTCGCCGTCTCGTAGGCCTCCTGCTCCGTCCTCGAGTCGGTTGCGTTGTGGAAGGACGGGAAGAAGGCGGTCTCGATGGCGCAGCACGCGAACAACTGCGCCGAGTTGAACGCCGCCGTCCACAGCACGTACGGTAGGTTGGCCAGGCGCCGCGACACGTCGAGCCCCGCGCCGTAGGAAAAGTCGGTGGCGAAGAAGTAGAGGGCGGCCCAGACTGACGTCCACACAGTCATAGTCAGGAGCAGGGTAGTCCGCTGGGTGCTGTTGCTGGTGCCGCTGCGTGGGTTGATGCTCCGGGGCAGAACGAACATGCCGGTGTCCTGCCCGGCTAAGAATACGGCGAGGTATCCAGAGAAGCTGCATATGCCCTCTCTATTCATGGAGAAGAGACCGGTCCGCGGCGCGGTTAGGATGAACGCCTTCAGGCCCGTGCTCTCCAGTACGACTTGGTAGATCACGCCGAGAAGGAGAGCGAGCGCGGCGTAGGACGGGATGACTTTGAGGGCAGACTGGAAGATAGCGACGAAGGGAGGAAGAAAGCCTAGGGTGAAGAAGAAATTCCAATGGACGCCGTACTCGGTGACGTGCTCGGCGTAGTCGAGGCCTTTGACGCTGATAAGGCGAATGACGCCCAGGACGAGGAGCGGGAGAGAATGGCGCATCGAATACAGCAGCCGTCGTAGGAGTGGGGTTGTCCGGCCGGCGGCCCTCTCCCTCAGGACCGGCCGCGCGGCGACTACGCCGGCCGAGAAGACGAAGGAGCCCACGCCCACATCCATCAGCGAGGTGCCCCAGGTTTCGACCTTGGCGAAGCGTCTAGGAAAGATCCTGAAATCCACAGCCAGGATAGCTAGACAGGTAATGACCAGCATGAGTCCGCGGTAGGTCGTCAGGAACGGTTTCGTAGATAGGGCACTGAGGGCAGCGGAGGACTTTTGCGCGTGCGCGCTCGGGGGTAGCTTGGGCTTCTTCCGGGAGGCGGCGAAATTGGCGGGTAATGCGTAGATGAGGGGGGCGGGGGCGAGGATCAAGCCGCATAGCAGCAGCGGGGTGTTCGCGTAGAGGGTGATGGCGAGCAGCACGGCGACGACGTTGAGGAGGAAGTCGACGAGAAAGCTGAGAGGTTTGTACGGCTTGAAGAAGGACTGGCGACTCTGCAAGATGGACCATAGGGTGAAGGCAACCTAGCGAGGAGAGAGAGAGAGCGTCTCGTTAGCTCGGAACGCCAGGAACTCGGGGGTATCGGGCCTAGGTTGCATACCGGTCCTATTAACGTGACGTGGTTGATTTCCGCGATCGACCCCCCCGAAAGGTTGGACACGAAGTCCTCCTTGAGCTGCTTGTAGCTCGGCGCACCGGATGCCATTTCGACGATGAGTTACGGGATGTGTTGGCAATGTCGTGATGCGGGATGAAAACTACCGGAAATCGATGGGCATCGCGCCGACAGGGAGAGGGACGTCGCCAACCGTGTCGTAGACAGAGGGAAACTATATATGGGAGAGATTGGCGCTGGCGGTGATGAAGGTGGTAATGATGTTGTAGTCGTGTCCATCTTGCTTAAGGACATGTACGCAAGGAGGAGAGCTATTGGAGAGGTCTGTCTGCAGCTTTGCAGAGTGACGCCACAGTTGCAGTGGGATTGACCAATCATATGCCGCAAAATTCTCTGTCCGTCCTCGTCTCATATTCCATAACTCAGGTACGTACCTATATTACACGATGCATCTATAACGTGTATGTAATTAAGCACCAATATACACCTACCCAACAAAATACTGTAACCAATACTGCCTGCATACATATATATAGGTAGGTATAATACATCTCCTCAGCAAGATATATCTATAGGTAGGCATGCATAGAGCTATAGAGTCATCGAAACTGTCTATAGCTCAATACTACATGCGATTAGTAATTGACAGTATGGATGGAGTTGTCCGGGTCCCGAGTTGATCCCCACAGACCCCTAACTCCTATCTTAGGTAAGTCCCGCTCTCTTTTGACGCTGAACCAAGACAGCCTCGGGACCGCGACACTACACAACCATCTCTTCTCGTCCCCGTTCTCGTTCTTTTCCCAATCTTACGCGCTGACGTCGATATGCCCCGTTCCAGATATCCCTCCTCCCTCTTTCCCGCCCTCTGCCAACTGTCCCGATGAAAGAGGGCTCTTGCTACCTGCCTCTCGCCGTCCTAATCTGTGGCCACCTGCGCCCTTTCTTTGTCGCCGATGACGAGCGACGAGACGATGCCCGTGATTTGGCATCTTTGCTTGCCTGAGATCCTCGATCCCTCATACCTGCTAGAGCAAAGAAGAGCGCGTCTTGGTTCTTCTTTATTCTTGCTCTCGGGCGGAAGATCGGCTATTATTTCCACTTTTTAGCCTGTGCGCAATGATGGCCTCTCCGTCCTTCGCCTCTGTCTTACAAATGGAGGGGACGGCTCCTATTGTTGCGACGCCCTACACCGTGACAATTAAACGACGACGGTCTTTGATCTAGGCCCGCCGCGCCGCTCCTTTGAATAGCCATAAAGGGGGCTCTAGAAAGGCCTTTGTCGCGCTCAGTCTATTCATAGCCAAACGTATTAAGGTCACCCCGGTACCATCGAGCTCTCCGGCACACTGAGGTCGATCCCGTTTCCTAATCATAAGCATTGCAAACGATACTAAGAGAATCGTCTAACCACCAGTTAAGATCGAGAGTGATCACTACTGCTTCTACTTTGGTTGAATTCCTTTTCTGACACCCCGCTAAATGGCCACCGAAGTGAACGTCTCGGAGCGTCCGAGTCTGGAGCCCATATGGACCAACTATCGCAACCCCGGCGGCGCATCCCAGACCGCTCTCCGGCCTGCCCCAAGTCCTGGCCTGTCTCCGTCGCCCAGGTCCCCCAGGAGCCTGCCGAGCCCGAGTCCCATCTACCCCTCTACTTCAGACGGGTCGATGAGGAGGCAAGATCGCGCCCTGGTCAACAGCCTCGACCAAAGGGCGAAGCGCAGCAGCGCGATCAGCTTGAGTGCCCTGACGCCCATCGACGGGTACTGCCCGTCGCCGTTGGTCTCGAGGCTCGAGAAGATCAGCATCTTACCGCTGCCCGGTACGTCTCAGGGGCTCCTGACACCGGTCTCCCCGAACTTCCCACCGCCCCGGGGAGAAGGCGGCAATTCTCGAAAGGGCTCGGGATCCGCAGCTTTCCGTGATGGTCTACGGGGGCCTCCCGCTCCCGCACATGACCGAAAGTACTATGCCACGGACCGCCAGGCGTCTCAAGCTTCAACAGCTGCCTCCCCGCGGAGGATCCCCTCCGGCGGCGCGGATCTCCGGGACCAGCTCCGGACCTGGGGCCACGTCTACTACGGGAACGCGAAGGCGGCCGACGCCTTTATCATTGCCCGGTCGCTGCGCCAGCACAACCACAGCCGCTCGGCCGACGCGGGCCGCGAGTGCAGACGGGGCCTGGTCTCGTCGTCGAGGCACGCGCAGACGCCAGGTAGCAACCACCTGACGGTCCGCGCCATCGTCCGGCCACGGGCTCTGGAGCGGCCGTCGTTCCTGCTCCAGCGCAGCTTCAACACCGACGAGCTACGCGCCACTGTCCCCGACCCGCTGCCATCGTGGCGTGCCCGCCGCGCGAGCACCCACCTCCACGACGGCGGATTCCACGAACAGCAGCCTCCTCCGGCGGCTCGCCACCGCGACCTCTCCGCGGCGTCTCAGCGCCGGCGGTCGAGCAACGCGCGGTCGGGAGCATTCATCCGGTCCGGCTCGAGCAGCCTCGACGTCGAGAGTCTAATACGGGACGCGAAGGCCGTGCCGATTCGTAAGTCTCCCCGCGCCTACCTACCCGTCCTTCTAGCTTCCTTGCTACCCCCCCCCTTTCCAACTCCCGGTCTCATGTATTGAAAAACACGTCAAAGATAAGTTGTGGCGGAAACTAAAGCATACGCAGACTTCAAATACGCGCGGGCCTTCCTGCCCGTCATAGCCGCCCTGCTCGTGTCTGGCCACGTACGCGACGGCGACGTCATCTATTTACCCATGCCGCACGCCGAGGCCTGGCCCCAGACCGCCCGGTACGTGTACACGGGACAGGGCGAGCTGACGACGGCTATGCGGGAGAATATCCTGTATCTCGCCGGGAAGGCGTGATAGGGGGCTGGGCGACGATTATGGCGGGGACACTTGTATTCCCCTTCAACACTAGGGTTACATTCCTTTATTTCCCCTTTTCTTTGAGCGCTCCACTCCCCCTCCTTTGCTCTCATGCTTCTTAAATGAGGTGTATTTGGCTAGGAGGAGCAACCGAGGGGGACACAGGCGTAATAGCGTTACATTAGGATATATGGTAAAGTTGGGCAGGGTCGGTATGGGAAAACTGTGGGTGATTTATCGGCGTGGGCAGACGGATCTTACGCAGGACACATATAATGAATGAACGCGATGTATCTAGGCCTAGCTTACTCGGTCTTCACCTGGGAGCCACGGGGTTAATCTGGCTACGGGGACGAAAAGTCCGGCAACGAACTTAGTCACAAGGAATAGCAGTATTGTTGCTGCTGACCTGATCTGAGTAGTATGCTTAGTGTCCCTTACTGCCCCGTAGCCGACGATGTCGCTCGCCACTACTCTTTGTTCTGTATATAATAAGGCAGCCTTTGTTTGATATATTTTAGGAAACAAGGAGATCGCTCCAAACGTCGGGAAGAAAAGCCCATGCAGGAGGCCGTTGAGCGGGCTCCCTGGGCAAATGTAACCTGCCCTCTCCACTTGCCGCTGCCTACGTCTACTAGATCTGCGATCTATTCGCCAGGGTGGACTAGCTGTATCGCCACTCGTGAGGCTTCGCTTGCCTATCGCAAGCAGTAGGTATCAGGCTCAATACGTATATCGGTTGCCCACCGTTTCGGTGGATGTTGGCCGAGCTGCAAGCTACGCACTCGCATGTAAGACGAGGCTTTTGATCCGAGACGTGCCCCGTGCCTCAATAACGGCGCATGCGGTTAACTCGCATTACGAAGTCAGGGGGTTGGAGCATATCCTTTCCAGGAAGCGCTTCTACAGTTGACGACGTGATGGTACAGAAGCAGAGAGAGGCTCTTAGTTCAGTACTCCTGCCGATCTCGTGAGCGCCTTTTCATTGTCTACGACGTCTGTGATGAGAGTTGAGTCACTACGAGTATCTCTGGCGTACGTAAGCCCTGTGCCACACGCGGCCTCGCCTCTCTTTCACGCAGAACCCCGTCGACGCTTGGCCTGGACTCGATGCCAAGCGGATGCTGCCAACACGATGATTAAGCCCCGGGATTCCTGTCGAACTACCGGGGATGCGGATCCGTACAGCGAGGCCAGCCCTTGCCGAGAAGGGAAGTCTTGGAGGTGCGGCTGATTCTAAATAAAGGTGCCGCGTCCGTACGAGCTGCCAGTTCGCGAGGTCCAAGGATGGCGGGCTGCTTAACTAGCTACTACTATTACTACGAGCCTATTGGCCTGCAGTAAGGAGGAGGCAAGGGCACCTCCCGTAAAGAGCTGTACACTGTCGATCGTCACCGATCTGCCTTGTCGAAGTAGCCTTCAAGGAGCTAGCTTCTTTGCCTCGCTATAAACAAGGGTGACCCAAGCCCAGCTTAGTAAGTTGTTGTTCAGGCGTTGAACCGACCTCGAGATCGACAGGGTCCTGGGTGTCGTCACTACAGGCCGTACGTCACAATACATGCCCTACCCGGGGTCACGAGATAGCCGTGCTCGACGTTATAAGGCGAACCGCCGTCCAGCCACGCACAGCCTCCGCCTTCCTTCCTTCGCCTAGCGCCCGCCGCTGGAATACGATCCCTCCGCGACGAGCCGCCGCCGACGGCAGAGCTCGCTAAGGCTTACTCACCCCGCCCGCGGCGAGGCCGGGGAACGGAGCCGGGCAGCAAGGTGTGCGTTCGTAACTGGCGATGATCTTTGGCGTTCCCCCCTCCCCACCCCTTAAACCCACGCCCTCCCCTCCCCCCTCCTTCCTCCTGCCTACGCCGCAAGCCGGCACCCGGACGACGACACACCTGGGCCTGATACGGAGGAGAGCGGGAAAAAAAACGTGTAGAGTATTATACGTGTACGTACATTAGCGAGGGATCTCGGATGGAGACCGGGGGAAGACTAGCCCGAAAACAGCTTCCTGACTATGTCACGACGTGGTAGGCTCGGCACGCACGCACGCACGCACGCACGCACGTACATGCGTCAGTATTCGCTCTCTATACCCCCCTCCCCCCCTCCTCCTCCTCCTTCGGCCCCTCCCTCTCTCCCCCAACATCTGCAAGATGCCCAGCCGATGATAACGTGGGGAACCCCGGTGCTATAGCGAGGGCATCTAAGCCCGCGGGCCCTGTACCCTGGACGACGGCCTCTGGCCCTCCCGCCGCTCTTGCCTCCTCTATCGAACCCGAGCGCCGCGTATACCGGCTGGAGGGAGGAGGAGGAGGAGGAGGAGGAGACGGGGAGGAGAAGATGGAAGGCAGAGAGGGGGAGGGGAGGGAAAAGGGGGGGGGGGGAACAAGCAGAGGCACTGGCCGAGATAATACCTATAGGCAAGAGACAGTTGTAGCAACGCAATAGGTACCCGACGCGCCTGTAATACAGCTGTACGCGGCGCACAGATGCTGCGTACGCAGTGCAGCGCGCATATAGGCATGCTGCCTACTCATACTCCCTACCCACGCTGCCGACACGAGGCTCCAGCCACACCTGTCTCCGCATAGGGGTAGGTATACATCGACGGGGGTGAATATACCTACCTACCTACCTCCAACACACCTCCGCGTTATGCGTACAAGTAAGGGTATCGTACCATACTTACACAACGTATAGTAGGCACAAGCACAAGGGACGGGATACCATTTATTATTTCGTCTCTGCGCGCCCAGCCCCTCCCCCCCCCCCCCCCCTCTGCCCCGTTTCGCCCCCTCTTACCACCCCGAGTTAGAGTCTAGATCGCGCTCTAGGTTTATCTCGATCTCGCTTGGGGGGGTCTGCGCCGTCCGGGCGTCTGAGCGTCCGGGCCGATGGTCCCATCAACCTGGGTCGGGGGGGCCGATATTAAGCTTAATATCGAGTATATAGACTCGATGACCTCTCGCTCGCGGCGCCTCCCCCCCCTCTTCCTCCCCTCCCGCCCCCCCCTTTTTTTTTCTTTCCTCCTCTCCTGGGCGCCGTCCCGGCTTGCGTTAAATATTGTCGCAGACGACGCGATGATGCCATAGGCCCGGCGGGTGATGCGTTACGCGTGCAGGTTCCAGGGCATTGTCCCCGGGGAATGCTACCTCCCGTGCGTGCGTAGTCCGACCCAGCCTCATACGATAATATATAAATCGTCCCATCATGACAACACCTCGTCCAAACCACAGGTCCCCCCATCCTTCCCCCCTCCCCCAAAGTGCAAGTGCAGAGATGGAGATGGAGATGGAGATGGAGGCGCGAAGACGACACCGTGGCTGCTACGCCCGCACCACCCTGCGGTCCTGATTTACGTAACTACCGTCTTGACGAAGCTCTCATGAGGTCTTATCTCCAAACGAAAATTTTTAAATTTAAAAAAAAAAAAAAGCCGGTGCTCAAGGTTCGACACAGCACGCTCCCTCCTCGGCTTCGCGGCTCTCGTATAGGTAGGCATGCACCCCCCTGGCGGTTCCCTTGGCTGCGCCCTCAACTGCGGGTAGGTATTTTCTCGCGCCTTGGCAAGGCGCCCCCCCCCCCCCCCCCTCTGCCTCGGGCCAGCTCGCGACGCTGCACCAACAACGTCCACGCCAGCAGGCGGCGGCGACGGCGGGCACGGCGGTAGCAGCAGCGCAAGCAAGCGAGCAAGCAAGTCAGAAGCGCCCACATCAGTCTCTTGCGCGGGCGCGGGCGCGCGGCGGCCCCTCTTCCTAGGTACTCCACGAAATCCGCCGGGGAACGTCGGCTTGCTACCTACCTACCTGGGGCTCAGGATTGTTGGGGAAGGGGGGAAGGGGGGGAGCGGAGGGGGATGGGGCGGATCGCAATCTCTCTCTCGCGCACCCAGTATAGTAGTAACGTCGGCCGACGGATAGGATAGGATAGGATAAGGTAGGGGGGAGAAAGGAGAAGAAAAAAAAAAAAGCTTGCGTGTCAATACTTTACCTATGTGCGCGCACGCAACACGTTAGATATGTGGGGAGCGGGCTTTTCTAGTCGTCGCGAAGACGCGCAAAAAAAAAAAAAAAAAAAACCCGAATCAAGATTTTGGGGTCGATGCCGATTACCCAAGAGGAGGAGCCGAAAGGGGGGGGGGCAAGACGGGGGGGAGGGGAGTGTGCTGGTGGACCGGGGGGGGGAACCAGCCATTGGGAGCGTCGGCCTGGAATTGGAATAGGTAGGTAGGAAGGTAGGTAAGGTAATGATAGCTACAGGTAGCTGGTTCAAACGTGCAAGGTCATCGTCGACCCATTGGGCGGCGGTGTTGCGCGTAGGGGCGTCGACAGGAGGCATGTGTATAGGTAGGTAGGTAGGTATACTATATGTCCGCATGTCTAGATGTAGGTCTTGTCTCGAATGCTACGCCCTTGATCCGACCGTTGCGCGGACGAGCCCGTCATTTTTATCTTTATTTTTTTTTCTCTCTCTCCCGTTTCTTGCCTCCCCCCAAATCTGACGAATGTCGTGCATGAAGAAAGGAAAAAAAAAAAGGACGATCCGTCCATCGATCAGCGGTGCGAGATCAGGACCAGGGGGACCTCCTCGTGTGGAAATGAGCAAGGTTCTTCTTCTCCCCCCCCCCTCCACCCAGGCTAAGGTGACAGGTAACATATAGGCAGGTAATATCTCATGCTCGAACCCTTCGATACAGTAGCATTCGTGACAAGTTCTCTTCTTCTTTCTTCCCTATCTCTCTCTCTCTCTCTCTCTCTCTTCGGCGTCCTCCTATCTATCTGGCCTTCTCCCCCCCCTCCCTCTCCTCCCAGCAGGCCCAGTAGAGCAGCACACAGGTACAATATCCATATATTACATAGGTACGTGCATACGCGCATACGTGCCTTAGGTACATCTCGTAGCCCATGTCGCCCCGTTCGTTCGTCAACGTCTGAGTGGGGGGCCAGGGGGAGAGGGAGGGGGGTGAGCTACTTGCGAGATACTTACCAGGCTAGACCTCACACCCCCCTTGACGGGTACTTAGCTGTAGGCGTGTGTGTGTACACGATGCCACGTAGGCCAGGTACTTAAGGGGGGAGAGGGGGGGGGGGGGGGCACTGCCTCCATGCTACACCTACATCTACACGCCATGCCTAGATGCGTCGCGGGT